TACTTGGCTTGTCGGGTCTACTCCTTGTATATAATGCTGCGGCCCTATGGAAAATTCGCTGAAACCGGCTGTTCCATCCAGTGAACATTTCTCATTCATTGTGGGTCTATATACAAAGTTTCCTCCAGCGGGTAGCTAACCCGCACGATTCGACACAGGAAGACGTAAACGTGACCAAATACAATCGCAGACAAGCAAGTACGTACGCCCAATGCAAAACATCGTCTTCGAGGTCTATCGTCATTCGTAACCCCATCGTCGTTCATCGTCACATGAAGTCATTCACTTCCAAGCGTTCAGTCCGGCCCACGGGTCGTTGCTCGACGCACCCGCCTGCGAGGACTGCGACTGGGCTTTGTGGTGCTGGCTCGCACCGTACGGTCTGCTTTGCGCGTAGCCTCCCGGTCCGGACGGGAACGGCCCCGTCGACGGCGGGTACGTGGTTTGCTGGGGCCGCGGCGGAGGCGGAGGCGGCACGTAGCCCTGTGGCATGAACTGTGACGGAGCAGCCGCTGGGGTTGGCACTCCGTAGGCGCTGTACGGAGTCGGGGTGGATGAGAAATACTGTTGTGTTGGAGGGGGTGACACGGAGGGTGGCACTGGGTATGCCATGGGATTGTAGCCCTCTGTTAGGGGCGCTGCGGCTCCTTGTTGGAACGGCGTGCCGGGGTTGTATGGAACCCCGGTGCCTGGAGGCATGTACTGCGCGTAGGGCGCAGGGGAGTGGGAGAGGGGAACGCCGTGCGCTTGTCCGGAGACGGGCGCAGGAGGGTAATGCGGCGACATCTTCGGAGAGGATATGCCGGGTGTTGGGTAGCTCGGAGTTTGGACGGGAGGAGGAGGGGACTTGACTTTGGATGGGATGCCGGGCGAGGTCGAGGTCGCCGACGTGGGCTTGGGATCGGTGGACAGGCGCTCCATGAGTTGTCGGAGCTTCTCGCGCTCCCGGTCCTCCTGTTCACCTACACTGCTGGCCTTGTCACGCTCGATCTGACCCAGCAGCTGCGCCCCCTCTGATCGCCGGTTGTTGATGAAAGTCTCGACGTTTTTCTTCAGACTGTCGACCGTTTCCGCCATCTCCGAGTAAAAGGTCTGTGCCTGCGTGATACCGGACCGGAGGCTGTTGAATGAATCGTATATCTTTTTGTATCGCGCCATGACGGTGTTTCTTTGGCGGGTTATGGTTTCGTACTTCGACTGCTCGGCGCGGACCCGCTTGTCCTGCAACAGGTCGCCATAGGTCTTGGTCAGTTCCTTCATCAAGGAGGATTGCTTGTGGTTCGCCTGGAGGAGCCGGTTCTGGTGCGGACGGAATTTCTCCAGCTCAGCCTCAAAAAGCTGACTCTCCTGTCCTGCGATGGACTTTTTGTTGAGAATCAAGACGTTGGAGATGTCGTCGTTGTGGACCTAGTGGTGTCAGCTTGGACATATAGAGACCGAAAACGAATCCATACCTTCTCCTTCAAGTCCTTCAAAACCTGGGCCCGCTCCCGCTTGAGGAGGTTTAACTTTTTCAAAATCGACTCGACCCTGGCGATTTGATCTGCCACCGACAGGCTGCCCTCGTCATAGACATCGTCGAGTAGACTGCCTTCCGGAGTAGCCGAATACGGACTGCCATGGCCATTCTTGCCCTTGCCGTACTTGGATCCCGCCTTGATCATCGCCCTCTGGAAAAGCACGTCGGCCTCATCGGTCTCGCCCGCGGAACGCATTTCGTCGAAATCCGCCTCGTACTGTCGAAATGTGGACAACAGCTGCGTGTCGCTGGCACTAGCTTCGTTGATCGTGTCTCGGTAGGTCCGCACATCGCCACGCAGTGTAGTGTTCAATCTAGCACTCGGTTGCTGACTCCAGTCGGCACCGTATTTGGATCGCATCTTCTCACAGACACTCTCTTCCAGGTCGAGTTGTTTGGCACAGTGGTCCAACTGTGAAAGAACCTCGGATTTGCGTTCGTGTAAGCTGTCAAAGGCCTTTGAGAAAGATTGGTGGCCGGCAAGCTCTTGACACCATTGGCGGAACTCTTCGTCGACGGTCATTTCTTGGTCCATTCCACCCTTTAGGATATTCAGACTGCCAGGCAGCTTCAGGTAGTCGAGACTAGCTGCCATCTCTCCGTTTGCTGTCTCGACCTTCTCCGCCTCAGCCCGGATCAATTTGGCTTTCTCCTCATCATAGAGACTCGCGGTCTCTGTCACGGACATAGGAACCAGCTTCTGGAAAATGTCGGGACCGATGATGCGCTGTATATCCTGTCCCTGATAAAGCTCGCTGACGGGGATGGCCTTTGCCGCCGGCAACTTTGCGACCGGCGAGAGACCGGTCTCACTCGGGACGGGCTGGTGATAAATGAAATCGTTGTCTTTCACAAATGTGTTGAGTCTGGCCTGTACATTAGTCAGATGGAACCTGATTAGCTCCACGAGGGTTGATCCGGATTCAGATGTCAAATTCGAGCTGGCTGGGACGGATGAAGGGAACGATTTTGCCCATCCCAAGGCGGTCGTCGAGTGCTTCTCAGCGAGTTGAAGTCTAGCGATAGCAACGCCATGCGAGCCGCTCTCGCCATCCGCTAGCGCCTGGTAGTATGAAGCAACGGAGGACATATGTGCCGCCTTAGCCTGCACCATAATCACCCACACTTTCTCAAAGACCCCCTTTACTGTCTCTTGCATTCCCTCCACGGCTTGAGTGTAGAGATAAGCGGACTGGCTGGCGAGTTTCGCCAAAAGACCGGGCTTCTTGTCATCTGCGATCTGCTTTTCTAAGAAAATCTCCTGTCCCTGGGCCAAAACGATGTTGATGAGTGCCTTGACAGTCTCGCGGTTCAAATCGGTTGACGGCGCGTGGAGGAAATTCTCGTTGATATAGGTGAACATCCCAGCGGCAGCCTGGAACGAGTGGTACGCGGTTTTCAGTCCCGCATCTTCCGATCTATTCTGATTCGCGGCATGGCAGGAGAGAACGGCGGAGATGTTGAAGATGATGGAGGCCTTCTCGAAGGCCAGGGAATATTGGGAGGTGGACTTGTGGGTGAACGCATCATACCTGGAAGGAAACACGAAGCAAGGTCAGCCCAGGTCTAGAACGTCTGAGAAGCGAGCACGCGCTAGGTCATACCAGGTGAAGGAGATCTTGATGTGATTCTCATCGACGGGAAACCTCAGGTCCAGGAGTTCCAGCTGTCCGTAATAGCGATAGAGCAGATCGCGACCCGTCGCACTGTCTTTCCCGGCGCCTCTCATATCCTGACGCAGCCGGTTGAGGGTTGCGCATTCTTGACTGTATCGCTCGGGGTCTTCACCGTAACTCTGGCGGATGTAGTCCTTGAGGGGTCGGATCCAGTCGATCTCATTGGTCTGCTTCAGCGGACACGAGATCATGGGAGACTGAACCATCTTGCCGGTCAGAAGGAGCGGGACGCTCCCATGTAAATCCGGAGAGGATGCGACTAGGTGGATTCGATGAGGGGAGTTCGAGGGAAGAGGCGAGGTGGGAGGGAGGGGGAGGAGATCGGGATGGCTGGAGCTCCAGCTGTGGGGTTAGTTAGCCTTGGATCCTAACCGTCACGGCGGGGGTGGGCCAAGGAGTTTAGAGGGAAGAGAAGGTGACAGATATATGAATGGAGAGCAAACCAGGATTGGACAGGGAGAGCGAGGAATGGAGAAGAATGTATGGGAGGGAGACGGTGAAAAGACGATGAGAGAGAGAGTTGGAGAGTGGAAGAATGTCATGATCTTACTCGGAGGTGGCAGTGATACGAGGCTGCCTCAGGCAGAACTACATACGCCAGTTCTACTCCGGAGTACATCCTCAGGTACCAACGTCCCCTAACATCGCATTTCTTTTCTTTTCTTCCAAAATCCCATTATATCCTGTCCAAATGCATTCGGAACCGTTGGAAATTCTTCTACCATCGCATTGCGTCCATCAGAGAGCTAACACGACGGTCCCTGATATCGGTTGATCATTGGGACTATTTGCGCTGAATGAACTAGGCTGCCATTTCAAGACTATACGTCCTCCCACCCCAAGGGTACCAAACTAACTGTTACTATGGTCACGGGTTGTCTATAAGATGTTGCTGTCATCGGTTGTAGAATGAATCATCCTTACAGAAGTATACCAAGACTATGCACCCTTTTGTTTGACACTGTCTTTGACAGACGAAGCACCATACCGTTAAGAAGCTACCGTGAGCCCCATGCTCCTTAAAGAGAGAGCTGTTCCAAATTATATGCGAGACGGCTGCGGTGTTTGCTGACTTATGCCGGCAAGGGGTTATCCCAGGTATCCAAGAGTTGACTGACCACATGGCTTCTCTCCTAGACATCATAAGTCAGTGGAACAAACAGCGCAATAATAATATAACAGAGCCAGGAACTATAAGTACCGTCGTTGAGGTCGGGTGCCTTGCCGACAACATAAACATCGGATACCCTCCCGAGCCCCTCCATCCGGTGGGGATCATAGAAATATATATGGTGGTAGCATCTCCCGCCGGTCTGCTGCAAGATCCATTCAACCACATTTCTTAATATGGCCGAATTAAGAAAAGCCACTCTCTGTATCCTTGGCTGCGGTATGGACAATGCCCATATCAAATTGAGCTCCTCTAACAATTGACGCCTAGGCAACCTGGGAATTGCCATCCTGGACAGCCTGATCAAAGCAATAAGCTCCAATGAACACAAAGATAACCTCCTCTTTGACCGGGTCATCGCCTGCGTGCGTAGCGAAAGATCTGAAAAACGACTGAAGGAGCGATATCCTGCAGCGTTTGACCACTTGATGATCTCCCGCGACAGCAACGTCAACGCCGTGGAACTGTCCCAAGTCATTATTTTGGCCGTTGATCCCGCAGACATTGAGCAGACCTTAGCACAGCCAGGTCTCCGCGAAGTCCTGGTCAACAAGCTACTGATCAGCGTCGCAGCTGGATGGACACGGAAGGGCTTGGAAAACGCCCTCTATGGCAGCGACACAACGCTGGAAAACAACAAGGGCCGAGCGTGGGTTGTGCGCACACTACCTAACATCGCCGCTCAGGTCGCTCAGTCCTTCACAGCCATCGAGGTCTCGGAGCCGGCCGTGCCTGCTCCATACATGGAGGTCGTAGATGGCATTTTCAAACAAATTGGACAGATAGCGCACATTCCACCCCGGTTGATGGACGCTTCCTCCGCGGTGGCGGGGTCAACTCCTGCTTTCTTTGCTGTCATCGCAGATGCACTGATCGATGCGGCGGTGGCGGTCGGCATGCCGAGACACCTGGCCCAGGCGATGATCTTTCAGTCAATGCAGGGAACAGCCAGTATCCTCCAAAGTGGAGTGCACCAGGCGATCCTACGAGACCAGGGCACAGCACCGGAAGGGTGCACAATCGCCGGGTTGATGGTAATGGAAGAAGGAGCTGTGCGAGGGCATGTTGGGCGCGCGTTGCGAGAAGCTGTCACAGTTGCTCGTCAGATGGATGGAACTCGTCACGTTAACGACACCAGGCAATAGATGTGACTCGTTGTGTATATAGATATCATTCGATAGTCTTTGGACCACAGATCATGTCGAAGACTGACTAGACAATTACTATAATACGCTACAAAACTACGCAGCTGTAGACGTATTTGGTTATTATGTTGAAGTATGACTTTTCAAAGACATGTATATCAATCTGTTGAAAGACGCCATGAGGCTCGGAGTTCTCACTCTATTCCACTGTTTGCTGCCATAGATCAAATATATCTCCTTACTGCGTCCCATCTCACCCTACTGGCATTGGAAGGTTACATTCAACTGCTTTTTCCTATCCTGTCCTTGTTCCAGATTGAATGGCGCCATGTCGGCCTGGCCGAGATCATGTGCCTCCTTGCAGCTGATACTGCAAGTAAGATAAGATATACACAGAGGATTGGCCATTTGAGGGAGCAAGGGAAGCACATCGTATGTCTGTATGTCAGCACGAGAATAGCTATTCTACAGTATAAGGAGCCAGATGTCTCCAAATGGCTTTGGCCTCAGTCGGCCTTATGTCACAGACTAATGCGCATGAAACGAAATGCCATAATAGTAGCGGGTCATTGAAAGCACAGTTTGTCTGCAAATATGGCTTGCAACATCTCGTACAGCCGAGATACAAGAGTGAAATTCATCAGATTCTACGTGACCCCTTACTTATCCCTTTAAATTGTAAGAAGCAAGCAATGCTTCGCGAGAGATTATTTAAACAAAAGTCCCTGATCTACCTCCAGAAATAAGCAACTTATCTAGATCCATAATTATGAAGGTAGAAGCATTACAACAAGTATCGAGCGTCAGGCAAGCCCAACTATTTGGGACCACCGAGGACAGACATGGACAGTTCCATCGCGCCTTCACTCCCCGCCAGATCCATGTACGGACCAGTTCCGAAGTCCTTAAGAAAAAATATGGCTGACTATATAGATGATCTCTTTGGGGACGGCTATGGGAAGTGGAATGTTCATCATGGTTGGACAAGCCCTGTCGACTGGGGGCCCTGGGAACATGCTCCTCGCGTATGCTCTTGTCTGCTCTTGTGCTTGGGCGGTCCTGTATACGCTCTGCGAGATGGTAGTAGCCTTTCCAGTATCAGGGAACTTCGTCGATTACGCAGATCGCTGGGTCGATCAGTCGGTGGCCTTTGGCGCTGGCTTTTCCGAATGGCTAAGTGTGACTGGCCTTTGATGACATATGTTCGCGGGCGACCACATGCTGATTACTGCAGGCTACACGGCAGTGATTTCTTCCGAAGCGGCGTTCCTTAACATACTTATTCAATATTGGGCAAATCAACGGTTTCCGGAGGCAGCCTCATGTACGTGCAACGCCCCGAAGCCCAGCGCTGGACTGACTTTCAAGGGCAGTGACTATCATGCTTGTGCTATTATCGATTATATTCGTCTGCCCTGTCAAGGTTTTTGCGCAGTTTGAGTACTTTACGTCAATGGTGAAGGTGATTCTCTTCGTCTTGCTCATCGTGATATGCGTGGCCATGATTGGAGGCGCTGGCAAGACAGGCCATGTCCATCACGGCTCGACTTGGACGGACTTGCCGCCCTTCAAGAACGGGTTCTCGGTATGTTTGGCTATACCGCACCATTTGACTCCGCTGACCTGAACAGGGATTTGCAAAATGTGCCACGTTGGCTGTCTGGGGCATCGGCGACCAGATCCCCGTCACGACGATGGGAGGCGAAGCTCAAAATGTCCGATACTCGCTGGCGCATGCCAGCAAGCTCGTGCCGGTCCGGATAAGCGTTGTCTTCCTCCTTAGTATCTCCATGATAAGTATCCTGGTTCCCTCTGATGACGACCGTCTAATGGGCGGGTCTGGCGCGACGGCCTCCCCATACGTGATTGCCATGAACGATGCAGGCATCCCCGTGATCCCGCATATCGTGAATGCAGCGATCTTGATTGGGGTCATTGGGAATGCAGCAGAAGCTATGTATACTGCGTCGCGTATTCTGCGCGCGATGGCCCACCAAGCCCTGATCCCGGAGATTTTCGCCAGGGTCGATAGCCAGGGCAGACCGAGGTTTGCCCTTCTCATTACGGGGACAATAGGCATACTCCTGACGTATATCAACTTGAGCGGTATGTTTGCAAGTCATCCCGTAGTCTCCGACACGCACGGTCTGACGGATGATTAGCTGGTGGCGTGGAGACACTGACGTGGTTACTTTCCCTAAGCACCACGGGCATTCTCGTGAACTGGGTTATCATCGCCTGGACCTCGTTTCGCTTTCACAGAGCCCTGGAATTGCAGAAGGACCCCCTTCTCACGGAGCCATATGCATGGAGGTCCTTTCTGTGGCCGTTGGCACCCGTGTGGCTCATGTTGACGTCCCTGTTTCTACTCGCGGGCTGTGTCACTATCGGCTTGCAACCGCCGGTGAGCCTGCTGTACCTGTCTCGCGGGTTCAAGCGTATAAGAGCTAATGCGCTGCGTAGGGTAGGCTCACTATCAGCCTCGTGGAAAACTTCTTCCAGTATATTATCGGCGCCTTGGTCATTGTGGTTTTCACTATCGGCTACAAGGTGATTTTTCGGACGTCTTATAGACAACTACGAAAAGCAGACCATGGTACTGGAAGACATACAATAACTCCGGACGAGATGAATGAATTGGACAGATACTATAGTATGCCTCGCTGGAGACAATTCATGACTTATGTGCAGTTCTGGTGAAGCCAGGTCCGATTTCCAGCTGTCCGGCTGATATCGATACACATATGGACCTTGGAGACTATGACTAGGACGACTGAGAAGCAGAGATGTCTTGTCTAATAATGTACATACATCCAATCAGAGTCTCTATGGACACAGTGAAAACCAATGCATACAAATCCCAACATGCAGACAAATGACACAAACCCCCCGATCTCGCCGACGCTATGATATTTCCATAATAAATACAGATAAAGTGAAAAGTAACCCAGAGGAGTATCTCAAAATCCCAATTGTACAAGTCGGCGCTGTTTATTCTTCAGCTCGAGGGTTTCTTCTCGTCACTTTTGTCACTCTCGCCGGAGTCTTTCTTGCTAGACTCTCCACTTGAATTCTCTGATTCGGCGGACTTCTTATGGCTCATGAGCTTGTGCCATGCAGACTTGAGGAAGCCTTCATTCTTCTGGTCTCCGGACGTGGATTCGGTCCCGGATGGGGAGCTAGGAGTAGTCAGTATCTTTGGACGAACGCACGCATTCAAGCGACGGACGACTCACCTGTCCTTTCCAACGTCCATGACCCGACGGGCAGTCTTATCATTCATCTCATCGGCAAGTACCTCGAGGATCGTCCGCTGGTTGGCCGTGAGCGATTTCGGCATGGCAACCTTGAACTCGACCTTCAGGTCACCGGTAGGATTGAAGCCGCGAGAACGACCACTGAGCTTCTTCATTCCCATACCCGACAGGGTGATCCGGTCGCCGGTGCCGGTGCCAGTGGCAACCTTGATCTTGACTTCACCGTCCAAGGTAGGCACGGTAACCTCACCACCCAGAAGCGCCGTGGTCAGGGGGATCGAGGCTGTGTAGAGGATATCGGATCCAGAGCGGCTGAACCGATGATCAGGAGAGACGCGAATCGACACGTAGAGATCGCCTCGCTGAGTGCGAGAGCCAGGGGCAGCGGATGTGCCCGTAGGCGGGGCATCTCCTTCACCTGCGACCCGCAACCGCATACCATCCTCCACACCGCCAGGGATATCGACCTGAATGGTCTTCTTGTCTCGGACTACACCGTTGCCGTTGCATGTTCCACACTCCGACCCACGGGGAACAATGAGACCGGCACCGCCACAGGCATCACAAGTAGCGGCCACCTGGAAACCACCCTGCATGAAGTGGACACGGGTTCCGGACCCATTGCACTGACGGCACTGTGTACGCTTGGCGCCCTTCTTCAGACCGTCACCCTTGCAAGTACCACACTCCGTCAAAGGAGTGATGACAATATCTTGCGACGTGCCCTTTGCAGCTTCCATGAAGGAGATGTTGGTCTGGACTTCGATATCCTCTCCGACAAGTATCTCCTGGAACGGACCACGCCGTCCGCGGCCAGCCCGACGAGCACCGCCTGTGAATGCGCCAAAAAGATCTTCAAAGTTGATATCGGCGCCGAATCCACCCCCAAATCCACCTCCGAAACCTCCGCCAAATCCGTGGAAACCACCAGCACCGGCGAACGGGTTGCCACCCGCGGCGCTAGGGTCGAATCCGCCGTTCTGATCGAAGGCGGCGGAGCCAAACCGGTCGTAGTTCTCTCTCTTCTTGGCGTCCGACAGTAACTCGTAAGCCGACTGGGCTTCGGCAAACTTTTCCTTCGCGTTCGGTTCTTTATTGGTATCGGGATGGTATTTCTTGGCCATTCCATAGTACGCTTTCTTGATATCGGCGGCAGATGCATTCTTGTCTACTCCTAGGACCTTGTAAGGATCCGGAATAGCGGCCAAGGGAGCGGTAGTATGGAATATCTATTGGAAGAGAAAAAAGATTACATCAGCGATGGCCCGAGTATGTCAAGGCGGGATGGTTGTACGGAGGCATCACCTACCCTAGTCGAGGCAAAGACGGGGTGCCTTTTACTGTCCAATCCGCTGCGCTGACGTCTATCGTTGGTGTACAGGGATGATACATGGTAAGCGCGAGACTGGATGGGGGATTGAACATTGGCCGTCGGGTTCTGTTTGGAGCATTGTCGCGAAGTCCGGAGTAAACGAGCGGGGAGAGCCGCGGCCTTGGGCATAGCGGCGGAAGTAGCGTTCATTGCGAAACACAGGAAGACGCGCAACAGCTCTAGACCGTCATGTAAAAGAGACGAGGAGATGCGAAGAGCGATTTAAGCAGAAACCGAGGTCGTGGATGGTTTGCCGCCTCCTGATGGGGAGAAGGAAATCAATGGAGCTTTAGAAGCTTCGAGTCGTTCCGGCTCGAAAAAGTTTCCCGACCGGAGAAACGATGCGCCGAGGGGGAACCAACCGATGATGAAAGAAGAAGCCTGCTTCGGTAATCAGTCACTCTCACTTTCTCTCTGTCCATCTGCTCTATCTCTCCATTCTTATCCTTCATTCTCTCCTGTATTATACCCTCCCATAAACACGCCCTCCCCTTCCCCTCCCTCTCCTCTCGCATTCGCTCGCATCCGCCCCATAATATAGCATGCTCCGCGGCCAGACCCTCCCCTGGAGAGCCGCGCTCCAACAAACACCGCGTCAGCTGTTCATTCGACCTTCGCTAGCTGCACCGAGATACAATGTCGTTGCTCGATCCGTTCTAGTCCCATCGCGTCTCTCCCGGTCGCTTCCACCGGTCTCCCGACCCTTTTCCTCGAGCTCCATCCGCCGAAGAGAGAAACCCCCGCCCGGAGACGAAAAGGAGGACCCGGAACAGAAGGATCAGAAAGAGGAAGTCGAGGAGAAGGATGCTGAGCGTCCCTCAGAACCCCGGCGAAAGCCAATTGAGCAATCGGGGAAGCAGGGGTCGCCTGACTCGGGAACTCCGACATCGGGATTCGCACGACGGAAGGAAAGATCGGCGGGAGAGAAAGAACAGCGTGCTCTAGAGGAAGATTCGAAGAAGGAAAATAACGCGGCCGAAGGAAAAGAAGGAAAAGCAAACAATGATATACCTCCGTCCCCTATACCGGTCAGTGGTGGCGGCTCGGATTCCAAACCCAGCGGGGCGAACAATGGAGGCAACGAAGATGGCGGAAAGAAGGGGAAGAAGGGGTCCGGTGAGAAGGCACTTCAGAAGCCATCTGTACCAGAGGTGTACCCCCAGGTGATGGCCATCCCTATCGCCAAACGTCCGTTGTTCCCGGGTTTTTACAAGGCCATTACCATTCGGGACCCCAATGTGGCCACCGCGATCCAGGAGATGATGAAGCGGGGTCAACCGTACGTTGGTGCTTTCTTGTTCAAGGATGAAAATGCCGATGGCGATGTGATCGAGAAACTGGACGACGTGTATGATGTCGGTGTTTTCGCCCAGATTACTGCTGCGTACCCTCTTCGCGGGGAGGCCAGTGGCGTCACCGCCGTGCTCTACCCTCATCGTCGCATCAAAGTATCCTCACTACTCCCCCCTAACGACACGAAGCCCACACCGACTGCGGAAGAGAAGTCCACCGAGAAGCGTGGCGATGTCGTCGCCAGTTTTGAGGAGGGGGCTACGGATCTCGCACCGAAGGATCACTACGAGCCGACGTCGTTCTTGCGCAAATATCCTGTTAGCTTAGTCAATGTTGAGAATCTCGCGGAAGAGCCCTACGACAAAAAGAGCGCCATCATCCGTGCAGTGACCAGTGAGATTGTGAATGTCTGCAAGGAAATCGCCAGCCTGAATCCCCTGTTCCGTGACCAGATCTCCGCCTTTTATACCGATCAGTTCCCCGGTAACCTCAGCGATGAGCCGGCCAAGCTGGCAGATTTCGCCGCAGCCGTGTCCGCTGGAGAACTCCACGAAATGCAAGAGGTTCTGGAGCTGATGAACATCGAGGAACGACTGCCGAAGGCTCTCGTTGTGTTGAAGAAGGAATTGATGAATGCGCAGCTTCAGTCCAAGATCTCCAAGGACGTGGAAGCGAAAATCCAGAAGCGGCAACGGGAGTACTGGTTGATGGAGCAGATGAAGGGCATCAAGAGGGAGTTGGGCATCGAGTCCGACGGCAAGGACAAGCTGGTCGAGAAGTTCAAGGAGAAGGCAGAGAAGTTGGCTATGCCTGATGCTGTCAAGAAAGTGTTTGATGAGGAAATCAACAAGCTGGCTCATCTGGAACCTGCTGCCTCAGAGTTCAATGTTACCCGCAACTATCTCGACTGGCTGACTCAAATTCCTTGGGGCCAGAAGAGCGTGGAGAACTTTGGAATCAAGCATGCAACCAGTGTTTTGGACGAGGATCACTACGGGTTGAAGGATGTCAAAGATCGGATCCTCGAGTTCATTGCCGTGGGCAAGCTCCGTGGCACGGTTGAAGGCAAGATCCTGTGCCTCGTGGGGCCTCCCGGTGTTGGAAAGACTAGTATTGGAAAGTCGATCGCTCGCGCCCTGAACAGACAGTACTATCGCTTTTCTGTGGGAGGTCTGACCGATGTTGCGGAGATCAAGGGTCACCGGAGAACCTATGTCGGGGCTCTCCCCGGACGTATCATCCAGGCTCTCAAGAAATGCCAGACCGAGAACCCTCTGATCTTGATCGATGAAATTGACAAGATCGGCCGGGGTCATCAAGGGGACCCGTCCTCTGCTCTACTTGAACTGCTTGACCCGGAGCAGAACTCGTCCTTCTTGGACCACTACATGGATGTCCCAGTTGACTTGTCTAAAGTTCTCTTTGTTTGCACTGCGAATGTCACTGACACCATTCCCCGTCCTCTCTTGGACCGTATGGAGCTCATTGAACTGTCTGGCTATGTTGCCGATGAGAAGATGGCGATTGCTGATCGCTATCTTGCCCCAGCAGCTAGGGAGCTGACCGGTCTCAAGGATGTGGACGTTTCTTTGACCCAGGAGGCTATTGAGGAGCTTATCAAATCCTACTGCCGCGAGAGCGGAGTGCGAAACCTGAAAAAGCAGATTGAGAAGGTTTATCGCAAGGCCGCTTTCAACATCGTTCGGGATCTTGGTGAAGACGTTCTTGCCGAAGAAAAAGCTATCACGGATGAAGGCAAAGCGGCGCAGGAGGAAGCCAAGAAGGAGGAAGAGACCAGCGATGCTGATGCGTCTCACGCTGAGTCGGAGAAGTCGACTGCTGAGACGCCCCGTGTGGCGTTGAAGGTCCCTGAGAGTGTGCATGTCCGTATCGGCAAGGACAGCTTGACTGACTATGTTGGTCCTCCGATTTTTACCTCTGATCGATTGTATGAGACGTTCCCGCCTGGTGTGACTATGGGCCTCGCGTGGACTAGCATGGGAGGTGCGGCCTTGTATGTTGAGTCCATTCTGGAGAACGCTTTGACAGCCGAGTCTCGCCCGGGCATCGAAATTACTGGCAACCTGCAGAACGTGATGAAGGAATCATCCCACATCGCATACTCTTTTGCGAAGTCGGTGATGGCTCGTGAATTCCCGGAGAACAGATTCTTTGAAAAGGCGAAGTTGCATATGCATTGCCCGGAGGGTGCTGTTCCGAAGGATGGTACGTCGATGGAATCTCCCAAATTATTGCCTAACCGCAAGACTGACCTGTTTAGGACCCTCGGCCGGTATTACAATGGCCACCTCTCTCCTTTCCCTGGCGCTGAACCACCCTCTCGATCCGACAATTGCCATGACCGGTGAGTTGACGGTTACTGGAAAGGTGCTGCGTATTGGTGGACTCCGAGAGAAGACTGTTGCTGCTCGCCGTGCTGGTGCGACGAAGATCATCTTCCCTGCCGATAACATGTCCGATTGGCTGGAACTTCCTGAGGTGAGCATCATATCAATGAGTTCCTCTCCAAGCTGAAATCTAACGTCTTGCAGAACATCAAAGAAGGCATCGAAGGCCATCCCGCGAGCTGGTACTCCGAAGTGTTCGACATCCTGTTTGCCGACCTGGACAAGAACGCTGCCAACCAGATGTGGAAGAAGCAGCTCAAGGAGGCCCCGAAGAAGTCCAAGGAATCTCACGAGGAAGAAGACGACTAAGGTGATATGTCGACTCTCTTCGTTTGATTTGGTATATAACTTTTTCGTTTTCCCCAGCAATGCCCCAAGGGATTTTTGCTTTTGGTTCCATTCGGGTGACATACAGGGCGTTTCGGGATGCATGACCGGAGTTCCGTATCTCTTTCTTGACTTATGTTACCAATATTCCCTCCATCATGTCCATATCATTTCCATGTCATAATCACTGTCTATCCCAAAGCCCCAGGACCGGGCTTTATGTGAAGGCTGTGGATGCGATAGATGCAAACAACTCAGCTTTCTTCCGAAGCTTCGGTCCTCGGGCTGTTGGACGCTGGACAGATACGATAGAATTTTTCACGCAGTTACTCCACTCTGATAAGATGAAGGCCAGAGGGTGTCTAGAGCAGTAGATGGTGTATGCTAAACTGTGGCCGGGGTTGTTGACGGTGTCAGTTTCATGTATATATTTCAAGTACCATATGAACTGGAACACGTGGCCTGAGCGTTTCTCTGGTGTATTCAATGCCAATGTCCCAGAACTGAAATCCAGGAGACTAATCTCCAGACGGTCTTATTTAGATTCTTGATCACGGCTATCTTGAAGCATGGACGCCAATTGCATCCCTACATGAACTATTCATAATAGTAAGAGTGTGTACGATTGATCTCGCCCTCCTCGTAATCCAAAGCCTACAAGGGAGTCAGTCAGTCGATATCGGAATGAGGTCTGTCACCTACCAAATTCTCGACAAAATAGTCCATTATCTCGTTCTTTTTGATCAAATTTTCTTGCTTTGGTGAAAGAGAATCCTCTGAAAAGACCCGCGCAGAATCAAAGTCGATCCACAGTACTCTGTCCAGATCACCTGAGGAGACCATCATATTTCTCGGCTTGGGGTCTCCATGCAGGATCCCAATATCATGAAACTCATGGAGTATCTTCCGAAGCTCATCCAGCCGGCATTTCGAGTAGTTTCCAAGACTTAGTGGCTCAGCCCCCGGAATATGCTCGATAAGAATGGCATTTGGAGGCAGCTTGTCTTCAACAAACATATGTAAGTCTGGCCAAAGCGTTGCCTGTATGTTTGTGATTGTTCCATAGAAATCGGGAACAACCCCCTCGACCAAAGAATCCTTTCGCTTTTAGCCGACGGTATGCGGTGGATTCACGAACGAAGAGATTCATTTCGCGGTCTGGAAGATCCCATTCAGATGGGCCTCTGTCATGGAACTGATGCTGTTAGAAGGGTCTAAATTAGGGGCAAAGCTTACGTACCACTTTCATGAGACAAGTTGTCTTATGGATAGCTACTTTGAAAACGACTGAGTGTTTGGATTCCTGTAACTTTTCAAGGAATGTTACGTCGGAAGCTTTTGCTTCGTCCAGCCCGTCAGTCATGATTCTATGCAGATAGGAGGTGTATCAGGAAAAAGTGGCGTATATTGCAATGTGAGGGGATGGTCGAATGTGCCAAACATTGCCTGAGAGCGCAGCTGCAAGAGAGAGCGTAAGAAGGTGAGCCCCGTGGGACTGCAGATACCGTGCGCAGACAATTCTCACACCCATCATGCTAGCATCACATTAAAGTTACCAATACCGCACCCAACTACGCCGACTTCGTGAACGACATCTGTAAAGGCACAGGGCATTTCCTATCGAAGAGCACATGAAGTCAATCTTAACCTCCATTACTAGTCCAGTATGTAAGTTAGAATCTCGAACATGCTTGCACCTCCCCATCTATATGGATCAATGGCGCCCAACGTCTTCCTCTGCAACATCAACTACATATCTCTTGAATTTGCGACTAGGAACTCGCCTCTCAAACAGAATATCTAGCTCCTCGAACGTCCTGCTCTTGGTCTCAGGAAGGCAGAAGAAGCAGTAAACGGTGCAAAGGAGACTCAACCCGGAGAAGAGGAATCCCAGTTTACCACGCCAGTTGCCTTCATCCTCGTTCATAGCATACGGGATGACCACGGAAAACACCAAGGACATGATATGACAGGTGACCGTGGCCAGCGCAATGGTCACGCTGCGGAGCTTTGCGGAGGAAACCTCTGCCAGCAACACGAAGCAGAATGGACCGACAGTAAGATCGTAGACAAAGTTGCATGCTAGAATCAGTGCGCACTGCGCCCAGACCGGAGTGGTGCTATGATTTCGGGGTGCCAGGTCCAACGTGCCGATCACGAAGAGCGCCACGGTCAAGCCGGCACACCCCCAGAGATAGGCCGTTCGGCGACCAATGTAGGAGAGCAGTGGCCAGGCGATGCAAGTGCCCAGAAAGCCGATGGCGGTGACGCCGACGTTCATCGAGAAGGCATTGGCCGTGTCGAGACCGGCCATCTCGAAGAAATATACCGCATAGTTGATGAAGAGAATGTTCCCTGTGAGGGCTTGCATGTCGTATGCCATGATGCAGATAATGAGACGGCGGAGGTTAGAGCCCTGAAAACAGGCTAGGTACTTTGGCTTGTCGCTATACTGCTGGAACAGCTCCTCCAGCCGTAGCGTCTCCTTGATATGGGCCAGATTTAGGCTGACATCTATACCGGGGGTTGCTAAGCGGCGGAGAGACCGCTCTGCGGCTTCGTACCGGCCTTTCTTGCAAAGCCAGTAAGGAGGGTCTGGGCAAAAATAGATAAACATGAGGATGACCACAGGGAGAGACCACTGGGTCGCAATGGGAATTCGATAGGCGAAGGCGTTGTCCAGACTGTCAGTGCCTTTAAGGATCCCGGATGCAATGAGCTGGCCCATGACGAAGCCAAGGTTGGTGATTGACGCTGCGAATCCGCGTAGTGACAACGGTGTTACCTCACCGACGTAGGCGGATGCACATATAGGGTAGAATGCAATGGTAATTCCATTCAGAAGCTCGCCAGCGAATAACTGGGGAGAATTGTCACTGAAGAATTCAATGAAGAGTATGGCAATTGAGAGCGTGGAACAGATTGCCATCATGATGCGAGGGCCGAGGCGGTCGTACGCCCATCCTGAAAAGAGGGCTCCAACAATACCACCCAGGGGATTTGCATAGTTGAAGGCAGAAATCCACCGTGCGGGAATGACATAGTTCCCCTGGTATTCGTAGCCAAAGGTCCTCTTGAATGGCTGGAGACCCACCAATGAGCCCACGATTCCTCCATCCTATGCCACATTAGATGATAGACCGGACAAAAATCGGGAAAAGTGTGCGACTTACCATTCCTTTGAGAATGGTGGCCTGTAAAGTCAGTCTGGGCTTGATCCCGGTAGGGTGGAGGCTGGACACACCAAGTTTATGTAGATGGACCACATAACGGCGGGCCAGTATAGTCTCATTGCTTCCCAGAACCCGAGGGAATGCTCATACTCAGTGGACCGAAGACTCTTTTCCGCTTCATCTGTCACTGCGCCGGTCGACCGAAGGGACGTGTTATCCTTCTGCTTTTTGATATCAGACATGATGGCAGGAATGAAGTGTGCTAGAAGAGCCGTGTACGATCTAGGTATTTAACACAGCATTACATGCGAGGTTGCATGTGGTTAGGCGTCGGTATTTATCAGGATTGGCATAGGCAATACGATAACCAAGGGCAACCTCAACGATAAAAGCATCCAGTCAGAGAGAGGTTGTTTATCATGCTGTGCTGGTGACGATGCTACTCTACGGGGGTTCTTAGTTGGTATACCCCATGTTGATTCGCCCTCAGGACGGAGTATAGTATGTGTAGTCAGCTGATGTCTTTCCTAAATGGGAAACAGCCACAGCCCTGTGTAAGGCTGCTCGCAGTGATTGGTCCCCGCATTGTCGATAAGATTAGGTTGCTTGATTGTGTAACCCTAGCCATGCCTCTTGAGGGCAGAGGAAGGTCCAGGCGGAATGTACTCCGTAGCCAAGGACGCTATTATAAAGAACGGTCCGATTTCCCCATTTGCGCTATCTCCGGATAGCAACCAGCAGCATTCGTCTCCTCATTCACTAGACGGAATTATCATTTCTCAAGTTGACCATGCCCGAATCAACGATGCCGCAAATTACGATGATCGAGCTCACACCTGAGGAGCTGACATCCAAGAGCATCGGCTCTCATAATCTCCAAAAGTCCCTGGAGGCTTTACACCGTGACGGCATCGTGGTGCTCAAGAATGCGGTTGATCCAGATCATCTGGATCGGTTGAATGCCCGCATGGTGCCAGAGGCAAAACAACTGTACGCCCGCACAGAAACCCATCGGAACTTCGGGCCAAACACAGGGAACATCCAACAGGAGCCCGTCTGTGAGCCTGAATACATCTTCGAAGATGTTATCGCCAACCCCTTTGCCACCTCCGTCATCGAGGGCATCATCGGGCCTCACCCGCAGCTGAGGTTTTACAGTGCAAACACTGCCTTCAAGGCGACCGCACGACAACCAGTGCACATTGACATCGACTTTGACATGCCGAGAATGCCGTTTGCGTTCTGTGTTAACATCAATCTCGTGGATACGTCACCCGAAAACGGCGCGACAGAGGTGTGGCTGGGCAGCCATATCGACACGGACCAGAGTGTGTTGGACCATAGTGTCAAACACAAGCAGGTCAAGGCTGATTTGTTGGAAGCGAGGCGCAAGATCAGCCCTGGAATACAGCCCGGGTTGCCCAAGGGCTCTCTGGTGATCCGTGACTTTCGTCTGTGGCATGCCGGAATGCCAAATCAAACGGACGATCCCCGGGTGATGTTAGTGACGATCCAATTTGCTAATTGGTACCGAAGTGAGCAGAAGCTGTTGCTACCCAAGAGCCTCCAGGGCAAGGTCAACTTTGGGAGACTAGTTCCATGTGTGGATTGGGTTGACGACGGATATGACTATCTGAAGGGGGCACACACTCATGACTTTTCGTTGTTGCCTTAGATGCATACCATCTGCCATAGATCACATATCAAGCATAGCTATCGGACTATACACTGAGTAATCTGCTACATATCTTCGTTTGATGTCGTATGCTTAGAAGGGTGTTAACCCCATTGGGGCCACAGTTACAGAGAAAACCTAGCGAAATTCCCAAACTCACAGTTTCCTCACTCTCCAACAGTTGAATCAGTTCTTCAAGTGCATAATTCTGAAGTAACCGCAGAGTTGTCTAGTCAACCTCGCAATGCAGAGGAATCCGTTATTAAGTAAAGTGTCCCCGCACTCTATTCGGACCGAGTGTGCGGGGAATGCGGGGTAATGATACACTATAGTTATCACCCTACCAATAGCTAGGTTGTCTGGGCGATATCCTACGTGCAGCGTCGCAACGTATTGATATCGCTTCGTCGCAGCTCCCTCCAAGCTTACGGGAAGGATGGAAAGACAGGAGGAACTAACAAGAAACACGAACGCAGACATAATTCTTGTACCGTAAGTTTGCACAAGTTAACCCCGTGGCCAGGTCCATTACATAGAATTGCTCCATGGCAATGCCATAATTTTAAACAGTGCCTGCGGGGATAATATCATCGATGACAATTATATCTGTTATCGGCTTAGGTCGCTAGAGTTAGAAGCAGCGGCGTTAGTAATTGCAGATATGGCGTGTTAAGAAGGCGCACACAGCCAGAGGCGGCACAGGTTTGCTGTGGCTGATGACCAGCTGTGGTTGACGCCACTGATTTGGTGGAGACCCCTGACATGGCTGAGACTCCTGCTGAAGTTGGAGATGAAGTTGTGGCTGAGACGGATATGGATTCATTGCTGACACAGACAAAGTATCCAGGCTGTAGACCCTTGCAGCCGCTGGATATGGAGCTTTCGGTTGTGTTAGAAAGGCCTCAATACGACCAAGAGGTTGGATGTGTCTTACGGATTCCACGAATAGAACTGCTAAAGCGTATAGTTCATGAACCTATCTTGGATGGTGTAGCAGGTATCGTCGCTCTGCACTAGGTAGTACATTGTGCAGGAGGATACAACTCCACTCTGCGTTGGCGCTGCTGTTCCTGAGTACGTCAAGGTACCAGCCGGTGTCGGGGTGGTCGTGGTGCTGGATGCGATAACGGGGTCCTCAGGTCCTTCGACACAATAGATCCAGCCGAGGGACAAGTCTCATGAATATGGCACCGAAGGGTTCTGTGCTTGTTAGACAGAATATACTCCAAAAACCCACTTCGAGAACGCACCCAGGCATAGCGCCAAGAGACTCAACGATAATTGCACCATTCTCCTACTGGGTGACAATGCTCAGACTTGGAAATGTTGTTGACTTCAGTCGAGTGAAGAATGGTTGGAATATAAAACCGCTGGGTTTCCTCTACTGTCTCATCCAGGGGTCGTCCTGCTCCCAGATTCGGATACGAGTGCCGGATTCTCTCCGAGGCCATTACAAGTGAACAGAGCGGATACTCCGTACCGTACCTTGCCCCTTGAGATCTCGAGATTTAGAAGACTGGTTAGCGGGTCGGTAGATTACTGTCTCCGCCCGACCTGCCACCCCTGCACACAACGTCTGGACTCCGGAGCGGGATTGGAACTCGCATAAGCGGTCTCACATGATGATGAGTTCTAATATCATTATAAATCGCTTCATTTAGTAGGTAGTCGGTTCAAAATCTCAAGTCCTTCGCACCTCCATCATTGGCGGTAGATTTACTAGCGCGTAGGTAGCGGAAGGGACCTAAATAATGACCCACTAGGTCTGTGACTTAGTCCCTTTAGACCCATCCTTATACCCTGGGTAGGGCTGTGATTGATCTGAGACTAGGACATACTGTACCAAATCCGTTTAGCCCGGAGCCATAGAGGCTCTGTCAATAATACCTCACCAAATTTTGATAACCGCTCTTGATCTCATGTGTGACGTGCAATGAGGCCAAGTTGTACTTCTGCAACTTTCGTACCTCATGGCAGTTCATGCTCGAGATTCGTGGATACGAAAGGTCGCGAAGGGGCTTTGACTCAGCCTCTTTCGATACGGGGCTTGACTCTCAGTGTTAGCCAGAAACAAGCTTGAGGGGAAGAACGGTTTGGGGGATCGGACGAGGCGGGATCATTTGGCGGTCTGCCACAGTCCTATTCACAAGCTCCATCTACGGAGTAGATAGTGGGCCCATGCTACGGAATACAACCCTGCGTATTGACCGAGTCCGTGTCGGTGTTTTTCGATAGTTTTCGACTCAAGTATCAAGGGGTAGCTTCCGTGACCCACAATTAACCAAGATTAAAGCTTGAAAAGCAGAAAGAAGAGCAAGCTCTAGATCGATCGGAATACTTGCTGAACGTGGTCCGGTGGTAGAAATCCCGGCGCAGCCGACCATCCCCGAAGGACTAGTGCAGTAGCACTTTTCGGACCAGGCGAGATTTAGGCCCACGTTAGGGTTCCACGGAAGATGCGGGACGCATCCAGAACTAGGAAATTACTAAGGCTTGTCTATCATGAATAAAGCAAGTATGCTCGATCTATGTGATACACCCGGAACCTTAGATGATGCTGGCACAGTGCGACTGATGAACAGAAAGGGAAACAGAACCACATGAAAGAGACAAATGAGAGAGAAGTGTAACAAACATGGTATATACGAACATCTAACACGTAGAAAGCGACAGGGAGAGTGCTTCGTTAGGTCTCCAGCTCTTCCTCTTCCTCTTCATCTTCCTCCTCAACTTCCAAGTCAAATTGCATAAAAGAAGCGGGCAGCTTTTTACGACAAAGCCCGTACTCATCATCACTATCCCGGTCTTCCTCTTCCCAGTTCCTCTTGTCCAAGTCACCAAGTTTAGCAATGGTGGCGCCCCGAGACTCCAAGAGATGCACCATATATCGGTCATTTCTCTTCATAGCAGCGAAGAGTGCAGGGCCCCCAAATTCAGCAGCATTTAGCTCACTATAGAGAAGAAGTCGAACCATTTCCTGATTACCGCGCAATACAGCTAGCTTTAACGTCGTATCTTGTGGACGCACCCCGTGTCGCACCAGTACAGCCGCGATATCGTGCCGATTATCCTCAACCGCTCGGTACAGCGGTGAGGGTGCGTATAGCTCAGCCTTTGCTCCTCGCTCCAAAAGCAGCTTCACGAGTTCCATATGTCCGCACTTAACGGCCATGAACAATGGTGGAGGGTCAATGGGCACATATCCCCACTGCCGGCTTTTAATTCTTGCCGGTGGTGAATGAGCCCGTTTCCCACGGTAGAAATTAACCTGCGCCCCACTGTCTAGTAAGAGTCGCACCATGTCGGAGTATCCACCGCTCACAGCTTCCACAAGGGCATGTTGGGATGTTCATAATACTCTGGACGCTATAGCCTTGTCGATAGAGGGGGTGGTTGTAGACATCCTCCCAGTAATCTGCATCCCGTCGCCGCATCATACATCCCGTGTCCTCATCTTCTGTTTGCAAATCAGTCGGACTGAACGGTGGGTGGTCGTCTTTGCTGGCAGCACGCAGCCCATTGAGTAGATGGTGTGCATGAGAGAGGTTGTTCTTCTCAACGACCAAGGAGAGTGCGGCCCCTTCGTGATATTGTCCATCGAAGCGGTATAGAGACCCAACTAGTGCGCTGTATAGGCTATGATTTGCCTTCAGCAACGCGAACAGGTCTCGTTGGCGGGGAAGAAAGGATGCAATGATCCAAAGAATCTCGTTAGGGAGACAAGTGAGGTCCATCAGGGCGAATGGGAGAAAAAGTTGATCTGATAGTGGGCTCAAGGAGCATCCAAGATGACAAGACCTCCACGCTAAAATAGGCAAAGAATGTCAAAGTGGACTAGCTTTGGCGTGCCCTAACCCGTAAAAATGACCCATTCTGCCACAGTCAAAAAATATTGTCGGCAGGAACACTCGGGACATTCGTTCCTCCTCCCCAAGCGGGTATGTTTTGGCTGTGCTAAGAGACAATATTTCAACATGTCTAAGGCTCCAGAGAGAGTCCACAAAACAACCGCGGATGATACTGCATACTATGAAATCCGCCTGACTAAGTGAATGAACTTAGAAGGCAGCAAATGGATGGCTCGAGATTAATTGGGTTATACCCGTCAACGTGGAGCTTTATGGGGCCGCACGGCCATATGGCTTTCGACCTATTCCTTTGCTATAATGACTGTCAGTATTATCCAATCCGATGCTGAATTTGAGAACCGGTTTATACAAGCCCATTTATTTCCAGCTCAGTCCTGGAAACGAATCCCGTGAATAACAGCCGACTTGCAATATCGCTTACTCTCGGCCAGGGAAAACACCAGGGTCCCCCGAACAATAGAACCGCCATTTATGATCACCTCATATCTCACCACTATAGGACCGAGATAGGCTGGTATAAGTCAAGGATGCTGGCTTTCAGAGTCGAGGACCGTTGAAGAGGATATAAAGCTCTAACCCAATTAACCGGTAAAAGACGATATTATCTTTGTGCCCAGTTCAAAGGGAAGATCAGGCAAGGCAATCGTGGTCGATTATGATCACGGGGCGATAAGAGGTTGTTCCAGGCCGATATAGAATACTAATAACACTGCAGATGCACATGTAGGGGACGCGGAAAAACCACTCTCTATTGGCGAATTTTAGTCTGTTCTTGTTGATGGAAGCGCGTCCCACGTCATGGATGCAACCGTGTCACTCGTCATATCATTCACGATAGGGGTGATTATCCCCATTAGAACATAAGAGATAGCCCTGTGGAATGAGTAAGGGCAGTGTCATCCTGCAGCCGGCTACATTTGATGATCCACATGCAGGACTTTTGGTGTCGAAGGCGGGTGGTGGGCGAGTCATCAAGCGACGTGAGCCTTGGAAACGGTCTATCGAACGTCGATTGGCAGTTTCCATGCAGTAGTGAAGGGTCAGTTCTTTCATGGTTGGTGCAGTCGGGCCATTTGTCGACGTTGAGAGGGGATGTTCTGGCGATTGGACGCATTGCCAATGTTGAGTTGTTCGCGAAGCATCACTTTGAAAGTCTATTGTTGATGGTCGTTGTGGTTGTCTGTCGAGAGTCTAGTATGGGTGGAGATATCTGTATATTCTTGACTCGATATGGAACAAGAACTCTCTAATCACCGTTGGACAGCCCGAGGACTGCGTGGGATTGGCAGTGAAGAGATAATAATTGAAAAAGCAAACAAGCAGAACTGATTGCGTCTTTAAATAGGAGTGATCACGGCTTCTTCCAGAAGGCCTTTGGGCTGTGCGTCTGCAGTAGTTCGGCGATATCAATGGACATGGAGGGACGAGAAGTCCGACAGTTATCGCCTGGGGGAAGGCGTTGATAATCTCTGTCTCTTGCCCTCCTTCTTTCCATCTCTTCAAGTCTTTCTCTAAATCTGCCGACAGAGAAGCGGTCGAGATGGTGGACTGAGGTTGGATAATTCAGGCACTTGTCAGGCCGCTCTGCATCTCCACCTCTTCCTCTCTTCCTCTCTCTCGCTCTCCCACCCTTCCGCTCTCGCCCTCTCCTTCCATTCTCCTTCGTCGTCTTCTCTTGCATCGACAGTCTCCATTGGACGGGGGGCTTCACTCCTCATCCCTGTGTAAAGACGACATATCATCCCCATGCATTGGATCCATCCGTCTGACTCGTCTGGAGTATTATCTTCTGAACTATCCACTCCATCCGTCACAGCCACAGCCACAGTGCTTCTTTAACGACCGCTCCGATCTGAGATCCATCTCGCATACGGAGTACGTCCGTCGCATCCAGAAGAGGAATCCCCTCCGACTCTCGCAATCATCCCCGGTCGTCTCTGTTTATATCGGTTTCTCCATGCCTGTCGCACCGGATCCCTCCATCCAAACGGTTGCCTTTCATGCTCATGAAGCACACGCACAATAACAGCCAGTTCCTGCAATCGTAACGCTGTGCGACCAGTGGGACGGTAGAAGCAAATCCTCGCCGACAACTCAAATCCTCACCGACTTCTTCCAACGTTTTGTGTGGGTGAATTTCTTTTCTTCTCTTCTTCGCTTCTCGCTTGGGAGTTGGTTGGGTTCCCCTTATGCCTTCCCTATATTCCTCCTGAATTAATGGTCTCGCTATTTCGTGTGGGATTAATTATTCGTTCCAATCTAATCGACCCGACCAGGGGCAGAAAAAAATTCTCCGGTCTTCATATGGACATCGCCGTCCCAGCCACCGAAGCCTCCCGTTTCATTCCTTGCTCAACAACCCGCCCCTCCTGAGTCTGACTCCAACTTCTTTTCTTTTTTTCCTGCTCGCCCCCTCCCCTCAGCACCCATCCTATCCGGATGGCCGTCTCGATCGCCGACGATTCCTGTAGCCCAACTCGATCCCTGGGTCTGTTGTTAGACCCGGACGTGGTCGAACCCCCGCGTCCCAAACAGAGCATGTGGCATCGTCTGGGTCTGCGCAGATTACTGGGTCGCGATGATCGCGATGGTCGTTCTCCGTCCCCAGCGGGCGCCATTTCCCCTCCCGCTCCGAACCACTCCCACAGTAATAACTTGACCCGTCGCCTGTCGCGCAAAGTGGGCGTCGGCCTCCCCAGATCCACCACCTTCAAGCGTCAAAACTCGGAACGACGAGACAACCTGTCCCCGCTCGATCCCGAACCCCGTCGTGCCGTCTCCGCCGACCGTCGCACCCTCAGCGCTCAGCGAACTAGATCCCCACTGCCCTCGGCGGACCCCAGATTATCTGCCCCGGAGGTTCCCTGGCGCGGTTCCGACGAGACCACGGTTGAAACCCCCGCCGAAGCGAATAAGGACCCGGATCTGACCTCGGAATGGAACCTATGCCCTGACGTGACGGATGTGCCCGAGGAACCGCCCTTCGAAGACAATATCGACATGGAGTTGGAGAAAAGGTGGATTTTGAACCTGAGCATGCACTTTAGGGACCGCTCCGAGCGGGAAAAATTCTTCGTCACCTATGCCGAGGCGCCCAACCGATGGCGCAGAGTCACCATCTCGTGCGACTACCGCGCCGCCCCACCCGATTCCCTCGAGCAAGATCTGAAGGAACTGCGCTACCAGCGAGATAAATGTGCCCGCATCTACGAATCGATCCGCGAGTCTCTCCCTGAGATCCAGTTCTACGATACCGTAACGAATCTCAAACTGGAAACCCGCGATGGTCGGCTGCACGTTCACGTCACCGAAGATGTCAACGAAATTATCCCTTATCCGCCAATCTCGTGCATCGGTCACCTTCCCGAAGCGCGACTCGTTCCCGAACGTTGCCTACATTTTGAGGCGCATCTGTCGGGGTTTGTCTACAACGTGAAATGGGATGGACGGTCATACATCAAGAAGGAAATCCCTGGTCCCGACACGGTGGATGAGTTCTTGTACGAAATCAACGCGCTCCATGCGCTGCAGGGCAATCCGAATGTCGTGCAGGTCGAAGGCATTGTGGTGGACGATGAACAAGAGGTTGTGAAGGGCTTGCTGATCACTTACGCGGAGAAGGGTGCGCTGGTCGACATTCTCTACGAGGATCGCGGCACGATATCCTGGGAACGTCGGGAGCGCTGGGCGCGCCAGATCGTTCAGGGTCTGTCGGAAATTCACGAGGCGGGTTATGTCCAGGGGGATTTTACCTTGTCCAACATTGTGGTGGACGCCAACGACAATGCCAAAATTATCGATATCAACCGTCGCGGATGCCCCGTGGGTTGGGAGCCACCGGAAATCGCGGTCAAGATTGAAAGTAACCAGCGCATCTCAATGTACATTGGCGTGAAAACGGATCTCTACCAGTTAGGTATGACATTATGGGCCCTCGCGACGGAGGAGGATGAACCTGAACGACAGCCACGGCCGTTGGTCTTGAACGAAGACCTGCCGGTACCGGACTATTACCGTCGAGTGGTATCGATTTGTTTGAGCACGGTGCCCCAGCACCGGCTATCGGCCAAGGAACTTCTGAATTTCTTCCCCCGCCATCCCTTTGCGACAGAGTGGGATTCGTCTTTGTATACGCGACGCGCAGGCGTCGGCGTAGGACTTCACAATGGCGCCCTCCCCTTATACAACCCCCAAGTTATGACAGCGTCTGCCGCTCTCCTTAATCTACGGACAGGATCTGGGGAGGCATCAGGCCACTCGGTCGATGATCAACCGCCGATAGATAGCGAAGATGTCCCGGTCAACAACGACCATGACCTATTGCCGCCAGGAGAAGCATCCCCGGAGAAATATGCAGACAGACAAGCTCCTGCGACCGCTGCGACAGAACCACAACTGGCGGAACAACGGCGTGATAGCATACCTATGACGCCAGTTGGGCTTGAACCCTGGCTTCAAGAATGTATACCGTCGGATGCAAATGCTCTCTTGGATCCCATTGTTACAAGTCTCGACCAGTCTGAAGCTTCCCGCGGCAACGAAGAAGATATCGACCTGGACACTGAGGGTGGACCCCATTGGAGGTCCCTGGTAACTCGGGCGCCTGAGACGATACCATATAAAGTAGAGCCAATGGCTGGGGATCTCGCAGGCGTGGGTAGCCACGCAACGTGTTCTTTTGGGCAGTACACCACGAGTGACTTGTCACCGGGTTCCGCACGGTGCGATGAATCGCCTGTGTCTTCCACCACGACACACTCTACGGAGCCACATTCAGCGGACTTATTGACACAAGACCAAACATCGTCTGGGCCTGGGCGACCACGCTCCGTGTCCTCTTTGTTGGATTCCATGCTTCCAATCAATCCTGCTTTCACCCTGTTGGGTCAGAAACCCGCGGAGAGCCCTGAAGCTCGGTTCTCCCCGTTGACCATTCGGTCTGCCATGGGATACCCGAGAGAGATGCTACAAGAGCATACATCTTATCTGATTGATTCGCATTTGCCAATCAACCCTGCATTCAATGAGAAAGCCATGGCATCTGTATGACACGACATGCAACCTACGGCGACAACATGACCGACGAAAATTTGCATCAAGCCAGCCCACAGCCAGGGCTGAACAGTGCGCGATATCCCTTTTTTTTCTTCACACTGTACCGATATCAACCTTGAGTTTCTAACGTGCGTCCGCGAAGAGTGCGTGCGAACATGACGGCGAATTGGAGTTTTACGAGAATGCTGGGTCCTCTGATGGTTATTTTGGCTTATTGGCTCTTTTCCATCTCACGACAGTGACTGAGACTTCCTCGGTCTCATACTTGCCCCTCTCACGATCGGTTCACGATATACGAATGATGATTGTTTTGCGTCGGATTCTGTTGATTGAGTTACTTTCTTGTATATTGATTCTTGTCGATATATTTTTTTTTTTCTGGCCACGGTTGTATTAATTGGATAATGATGTATCGGTTTTATGAGTCTAAGTATGGAGGTAGTCCATCTTTGCGTAGATCACAATACCAAATGCATCGGCAAAAGTTCTTGATAACAGGTCCATGTGCGTCTCTGGTATAATCATCTACTTGTATATCATCCATATACTGACTTTTTAATCGGCGCGCTCCAGGAAGGCTTCAAGACTCCGTTGCCATGGCTGCGCATCCGGACCTAACCCCCTGCCGATGAGGACGATCTTACACTGCATTTTGCGTTCAGCTGCCGGCGCAGATTCCGAGTCTCGGATCTCGAAGACGTCTCGAACAGCCTGAATAATCTTTTCTGACCCGTCCTCTGTAACCAGGATTCCCTTCAGCCGATGGATATCGAAATCCGTCGGGTGAGAGTCAGGCACTGACGGCCCGGCCGAAGGAAGGGTAGAATCCCACAGAACGGACTGAAGCCAGGAGTCTACTCGGGACACCTTGTCGCTCGCAATGGGAGGCGTAGTAATCGCAATGGTGGAGATGGCCTACACGTGTTAGCGACTGCATGACATAGCTTGCAGCGGAAAGGGTCTAGCGCCACCCACCGGGTCAATATGGCTGTGGCCCTTCTCTCCGAAATCCAGGCTGGCCAGATGCTCGTAGGCATGCAGGTCTAGCACGACGCCCTCGATTTGCGGCGTCTTGCTGTGATCCGTCACATGGATCTTGGCGACAGTGTTGATCGCCGCGATGCGTTGCCGCACGGTTTCGAGCTCCTCCGGCGTGACGAGGTCCACTTTGTTGAGGATGATGACGTCCGCGTGCGAGATCTGCATGTGCGCCATGGAGAGCACGGGGCCGGTGTGCTCGTGCGCGTGCTCGTCGTCCTTTTCGTGCGCGGAGACGGTCTCCTCGGGCGTGGGCTCGTCGAGCAGATGCAGGATGTTTTTGGCATCAACGAGCGTCACAATCCCGTCGAGGTAGATCGAGCTGCCGAGGTTGTCGTCGACCCAGAAAATGGGCGCGATGTTGCCGGGATCAGCCAGCCCGGTGGTCTCGAGCAGGATGTAGTCGAAGGTGCCGCGGCGTTCCATGAGAGACTCGATCGCCATCACGCCGGAGTCTCTGCTGGATGTTAGTGCGGGTTGTTAGGGGATGTGTGGCGAGACGCTGTACTTGACGGAACAGCAGATGCAGCCGTTTCCGACTTCCATCCATTCGGTGACTTCCTTACCGTCTTGGTTGACGGTCAACGGTTTCTCGATATCCGTTGCTTCTTCCGTGTTAGCCATACAAGCTCAGCTTGGAACCGCATCTTTGAAATTTCTCCAGGCATGTCTTACAATCTCCGAATTCTACAGTCGAGGTGAGCTATAGTTCATATTGTAAGGAGATTGACAAACCATTCATGATGACGGCGATCTTCTTGCCGTGCTTCTCATTCAGAATGTAATTCAACAGAGTCGTCTTCCCCGCTCCGAGATAGCCTGCGACACTGTGAATACTCGCTACTAGTCTATGAATCCATTGACCAGCGGTTGAACACACCCGTTACCAGAGTGATGGGCACGCGATTCTGCGCGGAAGTGTCTAACGAGGTCGAAGGCGTGATGGACACATTAGGGTTCTCCGAGTCCGGTAGCTGCGACACATCGACCAGCTCGGGAGGGGCATCTTCATCGTCCAAATCCATGATGCGGGTTGTATAAGATGCACGAGGCGCTGGACGTCCTTGAGATGCGGAGAAAAGATGACGTTGGCGGAAAGTCTTCTAGGGCTTAGGGCAGCCGTGGGTCATGCCTGGAGCTCCTCCGCCTTCTTCCTTCCCGTCTGTCCTTATCTCTCTGTTTTCTTCCTCCCCCCAGCTTTGCTTTTCAACAGTATATTAATTCCCTATCCACAGCTCCTCTGCTCCTCTCCGTTATGGCTGCTGCGGGTGTCACCCAGTCCAGCTCCCCGCGTTTACCCAGTCCTCCTCCATTTACAGAAGTCCAGATCGGCCCCAAGTCGCCCTCAGTCGGCGAATCGTTTGGCAAGGATGCAGAAGAGATCCTAGGCGCATCAGCAAACGCCGATGATGCTTCGACTCGTCGGATTCGGCCCGGTACAAAGGCTGTGGACATGGCGGCTGGCCCTCCATTGATTCCTCTTTCGCAGGTGAGTGTAAACAAAATCGCCAGCCACCGGGATTCTTCCGCGAATGCAGCGCTGACCATGAGCCCGCCGGGAAAACAGCTTGACTCCCCATTCCAGCTACAGGAACACCTCAAAGCGCTGTATAACCACTACACCCGCCCAGAGGGTTCGGATACCGTCGTTCCCATTACCCGCGACGTCGCTATCGAGCTGGCCCAACCCCCCGAAGGAGTTGACCGATCGTTATGGCTCTACGAGCTCTGTCGCTTTCTGACGATGAAAGTCAACAACCTGATTATCGCCTTCTTTGCCGAGGAGCCCCCTTGCTCTTCGCAGACATGTCCGGAGATGCGCGCGTCGGAGTGGCAATATCTTTGCGCCGTGCACGACCCTCCAAAATCCTGTTGCGCGATTGACTACTGCTGCCATACGCTTGATTGGGCTACAAATATCCTCACATCGCCAAAACACTTCCCCAGTCGGCTGACTCTGGGATCGGAGTCCGCAGGAGGTCCTCAGGCCAGCTTGCGACACTTGACCAACATCTTCCGACGGCTGTACCGCATCTTTGCACATGCGTGGTTCCAACATCGCGAGGTATTCTGGGAGGTAGAGGGCCACGATGGGCTTTATATTTTTTTCAAGACGGTGTGCGACATGTACCATTTGATTCCCGAGGACAATTACACGGTTCCCCCGGAGGCGGAAGGCATTGATGCGCAGTCGGCAGCGCAGGAGGAACCAGTTGACATGCGCCGGATGACCATCTTACGCAAAGAGAGCGAGGGTTCGCTGAGCGCCCCTCTTGACAATATCGAACCGTCATCCATCACTGGAGCCACGACCCGCCGCCACAAGAACAGCCCGTCCATTAGCTCGCGACCCGTCACGACCATCAACGAAAGCGCGGAGGACGAGGAGCCGAGCAAGAAAACAGAGCCTTCCACAGACGTAACTGAGACGGAGACCAAGGAACCGGAGACGCAGGCGGCTGTTCCCGAACCCAGCGAAGAGCCTGCACAAACTCAGGACTCGGCGGTAGACAGCACTGGATCGCAGATCACTGTTTCGGAGGTACATGAGGAGGAAGATGCACCAAAGCCTGCCGAGCAGGAGCCAGAAAAGATGACCGAATCGGACGAGCCGACGCCGGCCGCTGCAACTGCCGTTGTCAGCGAAGACACCAACGAATCACCGGCCGACGAGGAGACAGCCACTTCCTCAGATGCCCCTGATGCCGAGCCTGAGTCGGAAACGAAGGAGGCCCCTAGTGAGGACCAAACTCAGATCGAACAGACCGAACAGACCGAAAAAACCGAGCCAACCGAGCCCCAGGCCGAGCCCGCAAAGGAGACGTAATCGATGTGCTTGAGCGTCACCACTTTCTGCACTGCTTCTTCATTCTTCATGACCTGTCTACTATGGTTGTAATTTTGGCATTTTCTTCACGGTTGACGACGTTGGCTTTCTATCGACAAACAGGTTTCCAGATGTGTAATATATGATCTGCGGTCCTAGTGAATAATGATACCCATTAGCTAGTTGTTGGCTGAGTGTAGTCGGAAGTGTAGACGTTGCGGATTGGGCCATGCATGAATTGCGGAGCGATGACGGAGGTCCAACATTCCTAAACCTCCGCTCCGCACCTCCGACCTCTCTTCACACGTTCATTGAATACACGCCATTCCTTTTACTGAGAGGGGTCAAACAACCGCGACAGTATACATGACCGCCACCAATCCCGATACCGCCATGTCCATCGCCCTCAAAGGAGCCCCGATCCATTTCGGACCCTTCCTCGTTACCTCACAAGTACCTCCCCCGCCACACCCTCACCCTCCACGACAACAAAGCCTCTTAACGAACCAAACAGGTCTTCTACCAAACCCCCCTTTCCTTTGCCCTCGTCAACCTCAAACCCATCCTCCCAGGCCACGTCCTCGTCTCTCCGCGCCGCGTCGTCCCCCGCGTCACGGACCTCACCCCGAACGAAACGACAGACCTGTTCCTGACTGTCCGGCGCGTCGCCCGCATGATCGAGCGCGTCCACGGCGCAACGAGCCTCAACATCGCCATCCAGGACGGCGTCGACGCCGGCCAGAGCGTGCCCCATGTGCACACGCATATCATCCCGCGGAGGAAAGCCGACCTCGACCATCGCGGCGGCACGGACGCCGTGTATGATATGCTAGATGGGGAGGAGGGGGACCTCGGACGGTCGTATGCCCAGCGGGATGGGGAGGATGGGCGCCGTGGGTCTACGTCGGCGCAGTCGCGCCGGACGAATTTCCCGGCTGTGGATAATGAGGAGAGGAAGCCGCGGAGTATGGAGGAGATGGAGGCTGAGGCGGCATTTTTGGCGAGAGAGATGAAGAAGGAGGCGCTTGATTAGGGGGTTGTGATGCCTGTACATTATAGATAGATAGATTGTATGGAGCGTGTTTGGTTGACCTGTGTGTGTAGCTTGATCATGTATTCTATTCTAGTTATCATGGGGCCGTGAACGCCTCATTTCCACCGCTGGGGGATAAGAATATGTGGGAAGGAGGATGCGAAAAGGAACCGAAAGGAAGGAAAACAGTACAGTCGTAAGCCATCAACGCCATCAACATGGTACTCGTCCATCATGCCGCATAACAAGCCCCATCTATGATGAGCCACCTTCGTTCATGCATTTGCCTCCTTCTCCTCGGTCTTCTTTTTCCAGAACGCCTCCCGCTCCTGCAGCACCGTCGCAGCCCATTCCTTCACCTCAGGCAGCTGGACGCGACCCGCGACATGGCAAAACTCGGACAAATCGACGGAATTGGCGCGCTCGTACTCCACCATCTGCAGGAGAAGCTCCATCTTGTCGATATCATGCACGAACTGCGCCTCCAGCGTCTTGTTCTCCTCGTACTCCTGGAACACGTTCAGGATCTCCTGGCCGGTCAGCATGCCGCCGGGCACGCCACCGAGCAGGTTCTTCGCGATGTAGTCCATCACGTCGGCCTCGCGCCGCGCCTTCTCGACCTTGGACACCGGATCGACGGGGGTGATGTCGCCGACGAGCGACTCGGCCATGTCGTGGATGAGGGCCATCTTCATGCAGTGGGGGAGGTTGAGGCGCGCGGCCAGCGTCGGCGGGGCCAGCATCGTCATCACCGACATGCGGTACATGTGGTCGGAGATGGATTCACCGCTGGTGATGCCGAAGCGGCGCCATCCTTCGCGCTTGGTGGTCTTCAGGCGTTCGAGGAGGTGGTAAAAAAGGAACCGGCGAGGGCGGAGTTTTCCCTCTGGCGGGTGCGAGAGAAGTCCGAGAAGGACTGTTTGGTTAGCTTGCGGCGGGAAATGGAACGAAATTGAGGGCGGATTACCGGACTGGGTGGTCCAGAGAGCGTTCGCGGGAGTCTCCGAGCCCATGGTGTCTGGGGGAGTGGTGGTTGAGAGGAAATGGAGAGAGAAGAAGGGGAGAGAAGAGGTAGAAGAAGCAGGTGCAGGCGGAGAGGAAAGATAAGCGGAATCTTCCCGGACCAAACAACATCTCCGCCTTTGTTGCTCCTCCGCCCCATACAAACAACAACATCAACAAACACACGCACCATGCAGGCCTCCAAACCCCCTCCGCGACCCAGAGCACCGAACTGGGAACCTCCCTCCTCTTTGGCTGTCTTTGTGCGCAATCTGCAACTCCTACAGCTTGACCGCCGCCAGGACTGGCCCGCCATCTCCGTGCGCTCTTTGTCCCCCGCGTCGCATAACCAACGTCAACGTTTGAAGGCCATTGAATGGGCCTTATACCACCTTGTTGCTCTGTGGGATCCCGAAACTGCTCGCGATGTATGCTCTCACCAGTTCTGGACATTCCAACGCTGAAACTGACTGGTCAGAAACTCCGACCCTTCTTCCCACCCCTGGAACCGCTGCAGTCGGTCAACCTCCGCGCCGCCCTCTTTCGCGTTTTGTCCGACTTGAAAAAGAATGGCGACCTGGGTAGAGAAACGATTTTGCGAAAGTCTATGCTGGACGACTGCAAAGGCGACAAATTCGACGAAATTCTGGCTGTCTTCTCCACCGCCGTTCTGCGCAAGACCCTCGCGACGTCCTCGGATGACCGCCTGCGCAATGTCGCTGTCGCCCTGGCCACGGCTCCTGGCTTGACCCGTCAGGAATATCAGAACATTGTGCCGCTTATTCTCGCCCATCGCGTGTCCCTGAAAACTATCGGAGACCGCCGCAACCGAGTCCATGCCACCCACGAGAAGTTCGCCCAGCTGCTGGGTGATAAGAAGGTGCAGCTGGACGAACGGTCAAAAGAGAACAAGACCCCTACACCCCCAGCCGAAGACTCTGATCTAGATGGCCTAACCCGTGAGGTCCAGGCCAACTGGCTAGGCAGCACGGAGTGGGCCACCACCCTCCTCGAAGGTGGTGCGCGCAGCAGCAGCGATGCCTTTCTGGAGCTCCCGTTCTCTACCGCATGGGCCAGAGCCAATGAATCTACCGTCGAGGACCTGACTGTCGGCTCCACGTCAGACCTCCTGGTCGACCTGGAGTCCCGCATTGTGCGACAGCGTGCCCGTCTCCACCGATGGCGGCAGTATCGGAACTCCATGCGCAAGCATGAACGCGTGGAATCGACATCCTCAAACAGCAACGTGCCCCTGGTGTTCCGGGATCATCAACCCCTGACCGTCGCTAGTGTTTCGAAGGCCGTTCGTGAACCCGTCGAGCGGGTGTCCCTCAAAGCTGACGACCGCGCCCTGCTGTTCTCCATGACAGAGGCCCTAGCCCGCATCAATGGCTCCTCACACACGGCTCGGACTGCCCTGCGCACCCCTGCGGTAGATACGCCCCGTCGTGTTACCCCCGAACCAACAAGACTAGCAGGTTCTTCTGAACCCGAAATTCCTCAGATTCGCGAGGACCCTCCCCACGATATAAACATTGACGGCGCTCCCATGGACGACCTACCCCGTTCACCGAGCTCTGGAGGGCGCGACACCCCGGAACAAGATATCCACCAACCCCGTCGCAACCCAGCCGCTCTCGTCGAAAGAACCCGCAAATCCATGTCTCTCCTGCCGCCGCCCAACCCCAACCCGCGTCCACCGCGGGAGAGCCTCGGACCCCGTCGTCCTCGCGCCTCCTTCCCGGTGAACCAGTTCGAGACTCCGGAGAAACAGCACCCGCACGCATATGACATCAGCCGTGCATCGACACCGCGGGACGAGCTGTTCGAAGAAGAGGCCGAATACTCCAGCGTCTTCAAGTCGCGACCGCGTGTAGCGCATAGTCCCCTTGCGTCCCCGGCGGTCCATGTCGATCCCATCGAGGACTTTGGTCTCGATGCTGGAGCGGGGTCTCATGACTTGGAAGACGAGATGGTGGATTCGCCACTTGCTAGACGACACAGGTAGCTGGTAGATGATGTACATATCTTATATTAGACAGGAATGTCACGCTTGTGATGATTCTGATTTATTATTACATATCCAGAGCGCCCTGTAAACATACACTATACTCCATAACCTCATTACCGTTCGTTTTATGTAACCGTCCATTGCCCATAACACCGCGAACCCATGCCATTAATCATCTCTTGGTATTCCGCGTACGTCTCCTACTGGACGGAGGATTGTAATCTGAGCCCTGATCAGAATCCGGAGTCTCCGGTACGGACGGATCCTCGCTCATAGCAGAAACGGCGTCATCTTCATCTTCACGCACTGACGGTGTCTGACGTTGGAACGATGGGCGCATCCGCTGCTGTCCCTCTACAACCAACCCACCGTCATCCCCATCATCCTCACCGGGGAGCAGAAACCCACCGCCACGGTCAACGGGATCTTCCTCGTCGGATTCCTGCACCGGCGGGTCTGCGGTAGCTGTTGCTGCTTGTGATGGGCCCGTCCTACGGCTCGACGTGAACGGATTCTGCACATCGCGCTCATGATCTCGCTCATCCGCCCCGTACTCCTCGCGCACGCGCTCAGCAATCCGCAGACCGAAGAGGAACTTGCGCCAGGTCTGCAGGATGCGAGCCTCGGCCTTGCGGCGCTCTTTCTCGCGCTTCTCGGCGGCGTCGGCGCGCCACGCGTCCTTGACGAGGTCTGCGTTCTCTTCCGCGACAACAACGCCCTGGATGACGGGGACGGCCATTTTAGACCCGAATTCAAACCCCGTGACCGCCTCGGCGTAGTCGATGCCTAGTTTCTTGCAGAGACGGACGGTCCCGGGCCACGGGATGTGCACGGCGCCGCGCGGGACCATGCTCGGCACGAAGCAGTCGATGTTTCCGTATTCGTTTTTGGGGATGACGCCGTCGCGAATGGGCGGTGGGATGATCCACTCCGTCTGGTAGCGCGCGTACAGGCCTTGTTTAGGTTTCTCGCCTGTCTCGCGCTCCAGCTCGTCAACTTCGCGTTTGCGGAGGAGAGTCACGGCGCGGATAGGGACGCGTTTGAGGGGGGCTTCGCCGCGTTTGATTTGGCGGCCTTCTTTGTGCCAACTTTCGGCTGAGAGGCATTTCAGAACGTCGGCTCGTCGGTATACCTTTTCCTGCTTCGCTTTGGCGCCTTTGCCAGTTGTGAAGAGGCGGACGTGCTCTGCGCCGGGTTTGAGGGCTTCTTCGCGGCGGAGAAAGCGTTCGAGGACGAACTCCGTTGACGAGCGTAGGCTCTGCAGCGTGTCGCCCTCTTTTGCGGTCTTCTTTTCCGGTTGGTTCGGGACCAGGTCGCGGGCGTCTTCCATGTCGTCGACTGCCGTGCGGTCCTTCTCAGGACGAGCGTAGACTCGGAGCGTCAGTTTGAACCAGTCGTATTCGTAGTGTTTGCCGCGCACCCCAGGCACGGGGATCTTCTCGACTGGCAGCCGGAACCCCTTGGTCTTACCGGGCCAGGTCCGGCGACGGAGATACCGCGTGGTGACGTCCTTTGCGGTCTTGTCGGATGAGTAGGCCACGACGTAGCAAATCACCTGCTTGGCCTTCTCGGCCTTTGCGCCTCGCGGTTCGAATGCCGCCTGGAGCTCCGGGGTTGTCGCCACGGGGTGCTGGAGAATGAGCGGATCGACGGGAATGATCTCGTGTGTGATGGGGGAGGCGACTTCAGTCCAGTAGATTGGGAACGGGAGGTCCTTGTCGTAACCGCGGGGGTTGTTGCGCTGGGACGGTTTGGTCTCAAGGTCGCTGCTGTCCGAATCGAGGTCAAGCACGTCTTCCGTATCTGCCGCATCAGTCGACGGTTCTGGTTCGGACTTGGACTTGGATTTGGGGGTGTACGTCTCCGCCTTGGTCCATCCAAATCCAATCGGCTGCAGACTCGCCACCAGGCGGGCTTCGATGTCCAACGCGCGGAGAAGCGCCGTGAAAAGCTGCGCCCCTAGGTCCCGAGACCCTTCCATACGCTCGGCCGCCTGGCGGAACTCGCTACGGTCGCGCACCCTCTCACCATGAATTTCCGGATCGTGGCCGTCCTTCTGGAATGATGATATCTCCTGCTCGAGACTGGCCATCGGGCGGTAACCCCGCTTGCGCAACCCGGGCGCGGTGATCTTGAACTGTTTCTTTCCAGTACGCCGCCAGGATCTTAAGCAGCGGAATGATGGGATCTCCGCGACTCATGTCTGGCTGGCCCGGTTCCAATCGCGACGAGTCCTCGGCCCAGTCGCGCTCGGAATTGCGCCGTTGCTTCCCCTTCTTCTTCTTGGACTTCGCGTCCTCTGGGGGTCTCTCGGGGAGTTGCAGGCCGGATGCGACGCGCCATTTCTTGACCTCCTTGTGAAGTGGTGCGGGGAGTTTGCGACGGAGGATGTCGTGGACTTCGCCGTCACAGGCCCAGGCATTCCGCAGGGCATTATGCCACAAGAGGAACTGTACATGAAGACAGTGCGTCTGGATGCGGATCTGCCGTTCGATTTTTGAGGGCGCTTTCTTCCCGTCGATAATGTCGGAGAGATGCACTTCGTTCTTGTCGAGGGTGAGCTCAAGATCTTGGACGTCGGCGGGCGTGGTCCACGGGGTGGTGGCGGGCGCGCTGGGGGTTTTGGATTCGATGGCGTCTTCCCAGTCCACGCCGTCGTCATCTTCGGAGTCGGAATCGCCCGAGGTTTCAGCGGCTTCGGCGTTCACCGCGGGAGTGTTCGGGGTGGACTCGCTGGGGACATCGCTCAAAGGGGAATCGTCATCGTCATCGGAGACGACAACCGGAAGAGAAGGCGTCGCATTTTGGCGTTTGGGGGCACGGGGCGGATCCTCGTCGGAGAGACGCTTGCGCGGAACGAAAGGGGGCATGCGAGAGAGATGATGGTGTGAATTGGGAATGATGGGGTGGCGTTGGAACGGAGAGTCGAGGTGGAAGAAGGAGAAGTTGTCGGAGGCGGCGATCAGCCGCGGAAGAGACAAAAACCTCCCCGCATCGCCCTTCGCCTCCCCACATAACGGTCTCTTCACTCTCTACAACCTCCTTCCAACTCCTGTGAATATCGCGTCCTCTCTCCCACTCTACTACAATATGGAAGCCGTCACTCGATTCTTCTCCTCTCCGCGATTTGCCGTGGCGGGTGCCAGCAATGATGCAAACAAGTTCGGCTACAAGAGTGAGTCTGGTTTTCTTGCCTCCATCTGCTCAGCTAACGTCTCAGTCCTCGCCTGGTATCATCAGCACTCGCTGCCAGTCACCCCTCTTAATCCTCGGGCGCCTGAGATTCAGCTTCCGTCCAAGGCATACAAGACGGTCGCCTCGCCCAGCGCATTGTCCGGACCGACGCAAACCTCCTTGTCGGTGGTGACGCCCCCCGCAGTGACGCTGTCTCTGTTGCAAGAGGCGCATTCGGTGGGAATTCCCGCGGTCTGGCTGCAGCCTGGCACCTTTGATGACAAGGTGTTGGACTTTGCCAAGGGCCGCTTCGAGGCGGTGGTGGCCGGTGATGGAGGACGGGGTTATGAGGGATGGTGTGTGCTTGTCGATGGGGAGGAGGGATTGGAGTCTGCTGGAGTGCAGTGGACGAATCAGAAGCTGTAGACATCGCTCTTTGGACTGTCACGCATCGAGTTTCTTATGAGGTGTTATATTTATTGATTATTAGGAGTATTCCATGCTATAATAAGGTCTAACGCTATGCAATATATATCACCGCTGTGCGGCATTCCAGCGTCTATTCCATCGTTTTTTATCCCAAAGTCAAGCGCAGTTACAGTTGCAAGTTGCACCCTTGAACTATTTGAACGATGGCGCTTCCAGGCCCAGGTTGCTTGTAGCGCGGCCTTCCAAGGGGTGTTCCGGATGTAGATCGGTCGACCGGCTCCTGTTCGGCTCCTGACGCGAATATCGGATACACACCATAGGCGTACGTAAGCCTTTCTCGTACACGAGCACGGCGAATACGCAATTAGGCTATGATCAGCCTGCTTTCGGAGTCGTCGACGGCAGGACAGGCTTGGGTTTGGGCGGAGCAATCCAGAAAACAGGATACCGACGCTGGATATTGTTGACGACCAGCGCCACCCCAAGCATCACGGCCGAGGACAGCAAAACGACCGGAAGGAAGTACCACGACAGTTCCCAGATGGCATCCTCGGTCGCCGGGAGGAGTGCAGTCGCTCCGGCGGGGGGATGAGTGGTCTGAGTGATGCTCATGACGACAATGGCGACAGCCGACGACAGTGACGCCGCCAACCAGCGCAGGGAGTTGAACTTCTCCTCGTCTGGCATGAGACTGAACAGTTTGGTGATGCACAGGCCGGTCAAGGCGCTAAAGAAGTGACCGAAGATGAGGGCGCGAGGCTGCGCGAGGGGACTTTCCATGGCCCCGAAGACCAGGACGGCCGATGCTCCCTGTGTGAGTCAGTATCAGGAGTGCGAATGGAGTCGGGGAGTGCAGGTAAAAGTACTGACATAAGAAGCGATGATACCGGGTACGCCTCGCCCAGCGAAGTAGTCCGAGTAGTTGAAGATGGATTGCAACACGCAGAGGCCGCAGAAGCCGGCAATGAAGGACCACAGCCAGATCACATAGGAGGGCAGAGGTTTGGGAGTCTCGGAACGATATCCCAGCCAGTGGCTGACCCACCAGGGCAAACGAGCCAAGAAGTCTTGTTCCGCCATGAGGTTATCAGACTTATCAGATCGAAATCATATCAGACATCGATAAGTACGGGGATTGGACTCACCGACAGGGTTCTTATGGGGATTTTTGTAGGGCGACGCCGGGCGGAATATGTTGCCAAATCGAATATCTGTTACCTAACTGCTCCACTCCTTAGTAATTCGGGGGATTCCGAAGGCCGAAGTACATACTTTTGTATATCTCTTCCCTCGACGCTCGTACAAAAGATCTAAAATCTGATATTTTGTTTCTGGAGACGTATAATAGTGGAAGGTCTTCTGTAGTTCATCTGCTGAAAGCTGTCTTGGTGTACTATTCTATTGGTGTATTTTAAACCAAAATAATGTCCGAAATTATCGACTAGAAGTTTGGAATGCCTCTATTTAGCAGCCTCATAATAAACCAACAGGGAACCCAAACAATACCACAAAGCATCACATACTCCATCAGTATTAAAGAAGATTGTTTCCGTAGGTAGCTCTTCGCAAGTCCGCAGCAACATACTTGGACTACCCGAATAGGCCTGGCGCCCCGACAGGCGGGATCCCCCACACATACGGAGAACCTAAGCAGTTTGTATGGAGCCTCTAGATAGTACCACATCTTCAGTCGCTCAGCTTGCTGTTGCTAGTGTTTCCCCGCAAGTTACCCCACAGATTGCGTAGTTCACCATTGCAAATGGATCACTTTTCTGGGGTTTTAAGGTGCTACCGGCAATTCGGTGAAGGAACCACATCCCGATAAAACCTTCGGTAGCGTCGCGGGGGTAGGGCGGGTAGATCGGTAGCTAAAGGGGCCATCCTGTCTCACCCCAGACGGCAATCAGTGGATTTAACCCCAGAAGCACCCTCGCTCTCATGTCTTCTATCCACCTACTTCCTCTTTCCATCAATCATTCCGCTTGGTTTGATTCTTCTGAGTTCCGCACTCTTGACAGCCCGCGAGCCTGACTTGGGAGCTCACATTTCATGGTCCTTTGCCAGAACGATGGGACGCACATCTTCACCGAACAATCCGATAATCAGCCCCCAGGTATGGAGTCTCATCCTCGCCACCCGTATTTACCGTTCCCTCTAAGAGAAGATCGCATAGGGCTGGCCCCTGTGGTGGCGGATAACCGTGCTGCTCAATGTCAGTGTCTATACTATGTTAGGCAACATGTTTGCTGCCGGCATCACGCCCCTTTTTGCGTTGATAATGGAGGACCTGAAAGTGAACACTGTCAAAGTCTCTACACTATCATCATATGCTCTACTAGCCCTTGGACTATCGGTGAGAGACAATCCGATCCTTGACCTAGCGAATTAATCTGAGTTGAGGCAGAACCTGTTCGCTGTTGTAGCAGCTAAATACATCGGGAAACGATATGCAATCCTCACCTCACTCGCCGTATTTACTGCCGCCAACGCTTGGGCCGCGTACACGACCAGCTTTGATTCACTCCTGGCGACGAGATTCGTCGGTGGCCTCGCCGGAGGGTTCATTGAGGCCCTTGGTCCCGAGATGGTTGTGGAGACATTTCAAGAGAAACGCCTTGCTTCGGCCATGGTCGTCTATGTAGCGTTCATGGCGGGCGGGTCCGCTCTTGGACCTGTTCTTGCTGGTCTCATTGGAACAGGGACCGGCGAGTGGCAATGGTACTTCAAGTTCATGGCGATTTTTTCTGGGACTACGACGCTGCTTTGCATTTTGATGCTTCCTGAGACTACCACGGACTCATTATCCGCCAGCTATGGCGACAGGCCTGAGGCGCCGGTCTCCAAGACGGATGTTGAGATTGTTGAACATTCGGAGACTAACTCAAACCCACAACAAGAGGTCATGCTTTGGGACTTATGGGTGTCTCGGTCTTTTAAGGTTCGAAGCTCAGACTGGAGCCGAGACCAAAATGCACTTCAGTATTTATACATGCCTTTCTTGACGCTTTGTCATCCCGCTGTTCTCGTCACCATCATTGTCTTTGGCCTAACGATCGGGTGGACTGTTGTCTGCTCCATTGTGTTCTCAAACGTCTTCCAAGAGCCGCCCATGTTATGGACAGCAAGAGCTGTCGGCCTTTTCAGCATTGCTCCACTGATTGGACTGATTGCTGGTCTCCCAATTGGCGGCATCCTAGCGGACAACCTGTCCGCCCGTTCTGCAAAGCGAAACTCCGGGTTCCATGTCCCAGAAAGTCGACTACTTCTAGTCACTATCGGCGGAGTTTTCAGCCCTGCTGGTGCCCTTATGATCGGCCTCACCATGAACTACCACACGCATTGGATCGGACCAGCAATTGGGTGGGCTATGCTGTCACTTGGCTTGACTGCATCTGCGAATATTCTCCTCACCTACGCAGTCGACTCCGATCCATACAGGGCTGCACATATAGCGTTACTGGTGAATGTCGTCAAAAACCTTCTGGCGTTCGGTGTCTCGTTTCGGTCCATGGACTGGTACTTGCGTGATGGTCCTCTGAAACAGTTTGGTGCCATGGCAGGGGGTCTGTGGGCGAGTTATTTACTCGTGATACCGTTGTATTTCTTTGGTGCAAAGATTCGAGCTCGCTTTTACTCGTGAAGCCGGGGACAGGAAAACGATAAAGAAATGGAATGACACTTTGCAGGAAACTCTCCAGCCGGGTTTGCTTCATTTATTGTGCATCCTCACATCCTATAGCAGAACACCTTTTTAGACGCGACGCAGCGTCTTGATGATTAGTATACCGGGCTTCCCCCTCAATCTGCTTTTATGTGCCACTTTTTGACCGCCTAGACCGCGCCACTTGGCTCGCGGTCTGAGGACGCCTCTTGTAAACCATACACGTCAAGCAGCTATCCTGTTCAGGGGACCCAGGTGAGACCAGGGCACGCATGTCAACAGATAGAGTTGGACGAATCAATCTGCTTCCCACTGCGAACACTCCTTGCTCGCGGTTTTCAGATTGCCGAGGAAAAAATCACCAAGTGCAAGGGGACTACACCGCTTTGGGATGATGTGAGCTTGTACATTACGGAGTAGTGGGGCGGGGAGTCGTCGGAATAAGGTATGGTCTCTACTCCGTAGAACCCGACGCGAGGCTAGCGTGGAGAAATGTGACCAGAATGGTCGACCCGGCGGGGATACAGCGGGTACAGCGGATAGTGGGGCCCCACCATTGGGGTCCCCATGGGCTCTCTGCCGTTCATGCAGAATGGCCGTGCTTTAGTTGTTAACGAGCCACTCAGAGTAGTTCTTGGAATCGCTCCCTGGAACCTCCATGCCGTTGTGGCACGTGTCGCCGCTGGTAATGTCGTAACTTTAAAGGCAAGCGACTTCCTGATCTATGGATACACTGGAACACTTTTGACTGTATAGAATGAGCTCCAAATTGAGTTCCAATACGCACTATCTCCTAACTTCGTTGTTCCGGGAAAGGGGCTTTCCTCCGGATCTTGCAGCCCGAGAGATCATAGAGGCGCCTTTCTCAATGTGAGGCCGATTACCTGGATAGATGTTCGTGGGACCAGGAAGAACTAAGCGTAGTACCAGAACGGACAGATCTGGATGCCTTCGGTACAGGAGTGGGGATGGTAATCGGTAGACAGAAGAACAGACCCCATCAATGATAGGAGCGGCTAAGTATAGACTGTCAAGCTCGATCATTTCCGGATACATGTACCGTGCACTTTAGTTGGCTGGGACGATCAAGGCAGGTGCAGTAAAAAAACCAACAAATCCTATAGCCAGAACCTCGGAGTAGATAACAGACATAGAATATACACAAAAATAATACTTGGTCAGCCGTTACGGATGATAGGCCTATGGGCTTCCTCACGACAATACCTAATATATTTAATAATCCCGGCAGGGATACCGTATCCCGTTCCGAACTCTTTGGGCAATGAGACGAGCCGTCACAGTATGCGCCAACACCAGGAAACCTCAGCCCCTATGCCGCGTGCCTATCTAGGAAGTTCGCTTGAGCTCTATCATGGGAGATGATCCAAGGTATAATAAGGAGTCAAGGCACGGAGAGAGACGCTATACTGCGCCTCTTAAAAGAATAATTTTGGGAGTTCATACGGCATTGTGCCCTCGTTAAGGACATAGCGACGCCTTGTAGTAAAGTATTAGAGCCGGTTAATTAACGGATCAGTCAACTGTTCTTGCTGTGAATTTGGATGTTCCTTTGGTGATTCTTACTTAAATTTATTTAGTTAGTTACAGGTTGAGCTGATGAGTCACATAATCAACAAACTGATAGGCTTACAGACCCTAATGTCTGATAGTTCGTCATTTTCGCGGGTTACTAATGGCCGGCATTTGGTGCACCCATCTGGTGTTCTGGGCCAGAGAAGTATCCACCAACCACTTAGCCAAAATACTTCTGTTAACTCCCGAAGAAAAACCTGGTCCTCCAACGGGCCCTGCGTAGGCCTCACCTTGGTTCCGATCAATGGACCAGGCAGCTGCATCGCTGGTACCAGAGAGCCACCCTAGACGATACACTGTCCACTCGATTGACAGATCGTTGACAGACTCGAAATATTCTTGGATAGCCATGATGTTTTGATACCCGCTGTTTACGATCACCCGAATGAGCCCGGCCATAAGGGCGCGCGAAATGGAGGTTCGGTCGTCGGGACGGTAAATAGCGGTTGTTCCCAGAGCCATGAGACGGCGCACACCATGTTGCTGCATTATAGGGACGATTGTTCGATAATAACCGGCGAAGGTATCCCGCGGTTGGCGATCAGCACTAGGTCCAAGCAAAGAAATAATGGCGCGAGACTTGGCGATTGCCCGAGACAAGTCCTCACGCTTGGACATATCCCCCTTAGTAACCTGCAAAATAGGAGTTAATCAGACAGTTTCAGCATTTGAACTCTCCTGACTAACCTCGAGAAGCGCGTTATCAGCCAGATCTTTGGGAATTTTGCTTGGATTTCGACAAAAAGCCAATGCAGGAATATTTCGATGGAGAAGCTCTCTTAACACACAAATACCGGCGGGCCCAGTGGCCCCAAGGACCAGAACTTTGTCGCCGCCCATCGCTATTGTCTGTGATCCTAATCTGCCACAATGATGCTGTCTTAGGACTCAACGAATAGTGGAGGGTGGTGAGGAGTCCGCCTTTAGAGAAAGAGGAGGCTACAGAGTAGATGTGTCGTCCTATTAATATACAAATCGGGTGGAATTCCACTACACTCATATTTCCTCCAGCGCAGGCTAGGCTTGCACTGCGGATGTATTTTGCATCCGTGAAATACGATTAATAATTACGGAGTACAATCAAGCTGATTCAGCGCATAGTTGTAGTTAGTTAACTAACATAATCGTCTCTAGTAAGCAGCCCCACCCCGCCTTCTGCTTACTAGAGGACGATTACCCTCCCCGGCATGATCGGAGGGGGACCCAACAGGTCACTTTATTTTATACTACCTAGGTAAAATAATAGTGGTATTTAAAACATATCTAACTGATCCAAATTGCTAGGTGTAATATAGGTCGTAATCTTAATACAAGCTGCCTACCTAGTGCTAAATATGGTATAGTGGAAGCTACCTAGACCGCCAAAGATTCTGCCCATTATAAAACTTACAATGCCAGGAAATCTGTGCATTTTTCGTGAAACCTATAAATGCATATACCGCTAATGAGTATAATGAATCATTCATCCCTTGCCCTTACTTGTATTCGGCTTCGACAAAAGTTTTGAGGATTCTTCGTAGAGAGGTGCATAGGGGGAAAACTAATAAAGTAGACGGTCTGCCGGGTGTGGGTCTGGGGAGCCAAAATTAATGTCACGTACACGGGTAGGCCCCCTTCCGGCTTGCCAGGGTAGTTAGTTCACGTACCGACATTTCCCAATGTTCTTGTTTAGTAATCATTTGTAGATCGGAATTACACGTGCCGTAATGATGCTAAGACTAGCCACTCTTCCGGGCCCCTGCTAACAGGCCAAGCCTGAACACCGAGTGATCCTGAGAACAGTTTACAGCAAGGTCTATTTCAGTCCTCAGGTACGTATCGGACAGTGAGAATGTGGGGGCCGTGAATGACATCGGCAATAGTAACTATTTCTCCTGTCCTGTCAGCTCGTCTCAATGGAGGTTGCTTCTGGTACGGGGCCTGGCTCCGCTCCAAAGAGCCAAAAGAAGAGAGTTAACAATGTAAGTTTGCAAGGAGCATCTAGTATGGAATCTGACGTATCAAGGCGTGTCGGCAGTGTCAAAGGAAAAAGAGGCGATGCGATGGGAACGTACCAAGTTGTTCTACCTGTTTGAACCAAGGATTTCTGTGTCAATATTCGCAAACAAGACGGCGGGGCAAGGGTAAAGCGTGAGTTTAACATGGTGAATAATTTCTGGGCTCATTCTAAGTCTTATAATAGGAACGCATATGTGCAGACCCTTGAGAAAAAGATCGAGAATCTGGAAACGTCCCTTCTTCGTTCGGGGCTCATACAACTTCAGACCTTAGACCCGACATCTTCGTTAGGGTCTAGTGATGTACGATCGTTGGCACGCACAGACAGACAACCCAGTGCATCCTTGTCGCCTCCCGGAGAACCCTCTACTAGTCCGACAGTCGAGCAGATTTGCGAAACAGATATCCCGACATCGAATGTGCCAACGACGAAGCCCTCGAGTGGAGCAAAAAGTCAAATATCAGCAGTATCTCGAGAGAGGTTCTTTGCGTTGCTCCCAAATGAGAACATCGTGAAACGTCTTCGTGTCCAAGTGCGTCGCGGCCCATTCACCAGTGCTATATTTACAGAGCTTCCGCCAAAGGGCCATCTTCAATCTTTGTTTGAAGTAGCCTACGATGATTTCAACTGTCTGTGGCCGTTATTCAATCCATCTAACTTGGTGTCACTCCTTGATGAGCACTACGCAAGTGATGCTGCCTCACCCCACGGTGATTTTGGGCGCTGGGGTCTGCTGAACGCCGCAGTAGCGATTGCAATTCAGTCCCGAGCAGCCGAGGATTCATGTCGTGAAATGATCGATCTATCATGGCACTTCTTCAAAAATTCGTTCAGTGTGTTACCAGCGATTCTCTCTCGGGGTACAGATCTCCTGGCTCTGGAAGCACTTCTGGCCATGGCCCTATTCATGCAAGGATCAAGTGATTCACGGACAACCTCCACTCTAATTTCTGAAGCTGCGAGGTTATCATTAACGCTCGGATTTCACAGAAAGACTTTTTATGTGGGCATGGATCCGGTCACTGCTGAGCGCCACAGGCGCGCATTCTGGATTGCATATATACTTGATAAGGACATGTCCATCAAAACTGGAATGCCGTCCGTTTACAACGACGACGATATCAGTCTTGATTATACAAATTCAGATTCACTCGGTTGCCCTGGGAAGGTTTTCGCCTCCGAAACCTGTGTGGAAGCTATTGTTTTCCGACTACGGGCCCAGCTGGCCGTGATCGAATCAAAAATCCAGAATCAGTTGTATTCTGAAAAGAGCACTGGTTGCAGTGCAAGCCAGCTTTTACAGGCAGTCATGGAGCTGGATTACCGGCTTGAGGATTGGAAGGGAAAGGTCCCTTTAGATATACAACCAGGCCACATCATTTGGTCGGCCGTTGCTCCGCGAAACGAACCTATAATCATATTACATTTTGTTTTCTATCGCGCTATGAGCGCAGTTCACAGTTTCGCGGCGCATCTTTTGCCAGTTGAGGATGTCACTCTCTATTCACAATCCATTTCTTCAGGGATTATTCAGACGAGCATGGCCCAGGAATCGGTGCGCCTGCTGCAGCATTTACGGCCCCAGATACCAGGATATCTCTGGTAGGTAGATAAACCATGTGGATGGAATAACGCTAAGTACGCGTTTTACAGGCAGATTCTCTTCTATCCTTTGTCTGCATGCATTGCACTGGTAGCAATTTTGCTTAAACAGCCCTCCGACGTGCGAGCAAGATCCCACTTGGGACACATTGGTGATTTTGTCAAGTTTCTCACCAAGGTTCAACAACGTGGAGACCTTGATGTGGAGCGCATGCTCTGTCTCTGCACTCAATTTCAAAAAATCGTGCTTGATACAATCCCAGCAGAGACAGACGTGCTCCAGTCAGCAGCCAGTGGTTGTTACCCCAGCCCACATGCGAAGGCTCAAGTAAGTCCAGGGACACATGGATGAAGGAGAGCCTTGACACTTACTCCACAGCAGAGACTTGCGTCACAGTTAGCCTTTTACGGCAATCATATGCAACTAGCGCAGGGCCTCATGGGTAATATGCCAACCTTACAGGCTCTTGCTGCTAATGTCTTCTTCGATCTGCTTCCTGTTGAACAGCAAGTGAACTCATCTATAGGGATACTTGCGCCTGCACTGCTAAATCCAGAAACCTACCAATTTGCATTTACACAAGCATTTAATCAGGACTGATCTGAATTGGTCAATGTTATGTTACATCCTCGGTTAGTATAACGATTAATGGAATAGCCGGCGAGACATGCGGTACTCCAGAAATATCGCATAGGCCATATAATGTATCAGAGTTTAGTTAAAGGAACATTCAGACCTATAATTATCGGGTTTTAGTTTGTTTCTTTGTTGAGTTCTGATAACGGCAAGTCTTGCCGTTGGCATGGGTGTTAATTGTCTTCCGAACTATTCTAGATTGCTAAACAGTTTATCGTTTGAACTATATTGCTAGCATGGTCATATTTCTACTTTTTTACCGTAACCGTCAGTGTGAAGAGCGGCCAAGTTGTTGTGGTTCATCTGATGACACTTTGCTTAGACATAGACGGCCTTCGTCTCTATTTGGCATATGATACAATGCTCCGCTTGATCATTCTGCCAATGACTAGATGTTGTGTGTTCTAAATACTAATGAGCGGCCACTGTACATGAATTATACTGTTTCTTCCAATGATAATGCAAATACCACGTCCTCCCTAGTTCTCTCACAAACGATAATTCTGCTATCAGGTTCGATTCCCCTAGTTTATCTTAAAACGGCCATGATGTCGGATGGACGTCTTCAACACCGATAGCTATAAGGATTCTCTGAATAACTCCCTTGCTATTCCCAACTAGGTGTAAATTTACTGTTACACATTGATATACGTGGCAATGCAGTAATGGTGCAGTCCTAACGTTCCTCCAAGCGACTCATTCTTTCAACACTATTACAGGCCTCCCCCTCTGCCTGAATGACATCCCGTTAAGAGCGCGCTCTCGCGGGCCCAGAAACGTAGTTTTCACATAGGACCGATATAGGTTTATACTCTCAACTGCCACTCGCAGAAGCGCTGAACAACAAAATCCTAGAATGGCTAAACCGGCTCGATACCATCAATCCACAGCCATTGCCACCGTGATATCTTGCTTCCTTGTCTGAGATTGAATTCGGATTGGCCTAGAGACACCGCACGATAGGCTAAAGTAGTATGTTCAATAACAGATGTTGTTACATCCTCGAATACCCGCTCGACCGGGAAATACGTTATTCGGAGAACATTTTGATAAGCCAACCGGGTATCGGATTCAATTTGATTCCCCAACCTGGCCTAACTATGTCATCGGCATGTAAAGAGCTACTTCGTTCTACCACCATTGATTGATATTCCGACGACTAGCATTTGGGATATGTATTTCTGATTTGAGTTACGCGTTTCGGAGACAATTCCCGGAAGGTGATGTGTGTGGTTAGGTAGATCGGCTCCTATTTGCATCCGAGGGAGTTTTGTTTTCCGCGTATCCAGTCGAGACTTGGTATGCGCCTGAATTTTCACATGGGATATTAGGATTGGTTCGCGGGATGGCTCGGACTGCATGCAGAATTTTGTACTCAATAATTCATGTCAGTTTTAGCAGGGAACTTGCTTACTGATATTTCCGGTCAGTCCACGAAAGTTCGGACGCAAAAAGCTCCCTGGCTTAATAATTATTTCACCGTGGGAATAGTATATAAAGTAACCTCTTTACGACTGAGGGTTCCTGACGCATTAAGTCTTTCTTTATACTCCTTCATCTGAGCAATACGATGTCACCTTTTCGAAGAGTTGCACTCATCGGTGTATGTACCTCCGGACTGGAGATGGCTTTTGCTAATAGATTTTAACAGAAAGGCGTTTTGGGCACTGCTGTCCTTGAGCAATTGTCGAAAAATGGCTTTGATGTAACAGTGCTGAGCCGCGACCCTTCTTCTCTCAGTGGACTCCCTATAGGGGTATCTACCTCTAGGGTCGATTATACTTCTATCGACAGCTTGGCTAGTGCTTTGCAAAACCAGGATGCTGTGGTTGCCACCCTTGGAGGAGCTGGGATACTTGGGCAGAAGGTCATCATTGACGCTTGCATTAAAGCTGGGGTCAAACGCTACATTCCGTCTGATTGGGGCTCCATCACGACGGATCCCAGGGCACGCTACCTTCCAACAAATCATCATTCGGTCGAAATCCAGGATTATCTGAAGGAGAAAGCCCAAAAGGGTGAACTTGAGTACACGATTCTATCAGTCGGTGGCTTCTTCGATCTTCTCCTGGATATGCCGTTCCTGTTGGATCTCTCCGCCTCATCGGTCGAGTACTTCGACAAGGGACAACATCCTTTTAGCGTAACGACCCTTAACGGCGTTGGAAAGGCCCTTGTGGGTGCTCTGAATGCATCGGCACAAACTAAGAATCGGAATATTTTCATTCATCAAGCCGTCGTCACGCAAGCGAAAATAGTCTCCATCGTCAAAAAACATTCTTCACCTGGACGCCAGTGGCACGAGACATACGTGGACGCCGAAACCAAGTTCAAGGAAGGTCTGGATTTATCTACGAAAAACCCTGGTGATTTCCGATCTGTCATGGCGTTGCTCAAGGCCGCGCTCCTCAGTGGTAAATTTAACTCGGCATATTCTACAGTGGACAATAGCTTAGTCGATCTTCCAATGCTGGGTGACGAAGAATTGGAGAATCTGGTGGCTGGAAAGCTTCGCGAAAAGGGACAATAACTGTTTACGTGAAAGGCCAAAGGGAATGCGGCTTTCATTCCTGCGCTCTCAACTTTGCATCATGTGTTGGAAAATACGGCGGCTTACCAATCGCAAGAGCCATGGCTGCATCATCATTGGCCACGCTGTCTTTGTATATCAGGTCATGTTTCTTTTCGATTGTTTGCGTGACCGCTGTTCCAACCGCCGAGTCTCGAATTCTTCGATGGGTATTCAACATGCCCTCGACCATATGTTGTTTTCTTCAATACATCTAAGTTTTCCGACCGAACTTTTTCCGCTTGAGCCTATTTGTCTTCAATGATGTACTGGCCCCTAAACTTTTACTTTTCCCAGACAATGCAAGCACATTCACATTTATCACGCCCCCAAAGAGCAAGGACGACCACTCACAATGGCTGCTATAAACCCAACCCGACCAAATTGCTCCTCCTCAAAGAGAAGACCGATGCATCAAAAACAATGCCTGTCGCAAAACAAGTTTAATGAGAAAGGCTTGCGAATATAGTAATATGTGCGAAGCAGATGTACTACGGGTCAGGCTATCTAGTTTTAGCCACCTCCTATATAGACAGGGTGGCGCTTATTTACCCCTCTACTTCCCAGCCCAATGTCTCGCGGACCAGTAAACTTCTGTTACTCCAACCTGGTAGTTAGGAAGAAGATCTGACATACAAAAACGACCCACAAACCTGCATATACTACCCGATTGAATGGAAGGTTAGTCTCATCCATAAGACTGTGGCTAAGGACACCAAGCATGACATTGTTATGGCCCCTAGATTGTACTGGAGACTTTTCCTTAAGCCAAAGATGAACGAGTTGATCTATAGGAAATACTCCACTGTAATGTTGAATCAGATGATACTTCTGTTAGTGTGGATATATGCATTCTAACTAAGTGAGATTGTGAAAGTCTGACTAATTACATGTCACTAAGAACGAAATCTTGTGATATATTGTACAAGGTTCAATTGATGGTCATCGACTAGTGTTCTGTCTCAGTCACACCTGAAGCTGAGCCGCTAATTGCCCCTTCTTCTGCCTCCCATTTAGCCAACAGGTTAGACAAGGAAATGGACCTGGGATGATTATCACCCAGGACGCCTTTCTGACGTTGCACACATTCGCGCATAAGGTGCATAGCTTTCACAGTTCGACCTTGCCTTTTCCATACGGTGGACAGATCAGACATGCTAGCCAGCGTGTCTGGATGGTCGGCTCCCCGCCTCTTCTTGCTCATCTCTATTACTTGCACGAATAGGTCTTCCGCGGCCCTCCACCGGCCTTGTTGCCAAAACGTCCATGCTAGATTAGACATGCTAACCAGCGTGTTTGGATGGTCGGCTCCTAGCTTCTCTTTCCTTGTCTCCAATACTCGCATGAGTAGGGCTTCCGCGGCCTCCCACCGGTCTTGATCCATGTAGATCACTGCTAGAATGGCCATGCTTATCAGCGTGGCTGGATGGTCGGCTCCCCGCCTCTTCTTGCTCATCTCTATTACTTGCACGAATAGGTCTTCCGCGGCCCTCCACCGGCCTTGTTGCCAAAACGTCCATGCTAGATTAGACATGCTAACCAGCGTGTCTGGATGTTCAGCTCCTTTCGTCTTGTTGCGCATCTCCAAAACTTGCATATCCAGGTCTTCCGCGGCCTCCCACCGACCTTGAAGTCTATAGATTGATGCTAGATTAGCCATACATGCTAGATTAGCCATACAACCTAGTGTGGCAGAATTATAGGCTCCATGCGTCCGTTTGACAGTCTCCATTACTTGCAAGAACAGATGTTCCGCGGCCTGCCACTGACCCTGTTCGCGAAACGTCGATGCTAGGATGGCCATGCAAGTCAACGTAGAAGGATGGTCCGCTCCTAGGTCCTTTCTGTCCGTATCAAGAATCTGTGAAATCCAAGTTTCGGTCTCATCCCACCAACCGTCTTCGTAGAGACACATTGTATATCGCCGCATAAGGTCCATTCGGGTTTTCCAATCTTTGTCGACTAGACCAGACTGTAATGCGTAGCGACAATGGGTCAGATAAGTTCTCCAAAGACTTCTGTTCTCATGGTCATGATTTGGGAAGACCTCATCTAGTCGCATGATAACTCTCTTTGACCACTTGCTGAGCTGCTCTTCCATGCGGAGCCAGTTCCGAGTTGCAAGATGTACTAGCCGATGGAGGTCGAGGACCATATCGGCTGGTCGCCTAGTGACGAAGGAATAAGCATTAAGTGTCCCGATGGCGTCCATCTCCTTCTTTCTTGTCGGTCCTGGCGGAAGAAGAGATTGCGGTATGTCCTTTGGCTCCACGCAGGCCATAAACGATAGATAGTCGGCTGCAAGCGGATCACGCCGCCGGATTTGCTCGAACGAAATTAGCCATGTTGTGGCTACCGGGTTCTTCACATCTCTATATCTCCCATCGTCCTCGAAATCTTCACTGAGTAGGTCGATGACTTCTTCTTCCTGCTCTGCTAAGAGGGAAAGATAGTCTGCGACTGCTATCCCATTTTCGTTGATATACGCCGCTGCCTGGACAATAGCCAGTGGAAGATAAGTGAGCTGCGATAGCATGGCGCTTGTGTCCTCCTGGCTGTCGACGAGCTTTGGATCGACCAGGCACTTTCCCAACAGCTGAGCAGCCGCGCCTTCTTCCATTGCCGGAACTTCCACAACATTCTGTTGTGCAAGTTTGACTGCGAGCTTCCTATCGCGCGTGGTGAACAGAATAGCCCCTTGGTTGCTCTTCGGGAGGTAGTCGATCAAAGGTCGGGATCCTTGCCTAGCCTCTAGCCCAGATTCGGGCTTGGCGATCCACATGTCTCGGTCATCCGCATTGTCGAACACTAGCAGCCACCGACCACTGCTTTCTCTGCCCAAGTACTCCTGCAGCAGACTCTTCACGTCCTCCTTGTTGTCCTCCCATCGGGGTATGCCAAGCTGCTGGGCAGCATCGAGGTACGCTTGGTGCAGGCTTTCCTTGTTAGTTGCTGGTATCCAGACAACGGAGAGAGTAGGATGCTTTTCTTTCATTCGGAAAAGCAACTCGAGCACGAGGTGTGTCTTCCCAACGCCGCCGAGACCGATGATAGCAATCTTTGCGGTACGATCGTTGGCGGATAGCATTTCTTCTAGCTGGGCAAGCTGAGGCTCACGGGCTGTGAAGCGAGGATTCCTCTCAAAAGGTACAATCCAGGGTGTGCGATGGGGCGCTGCGATGAATTAGCAACAGCATGCCGACTCAAGCATGCCGACTCAAGCATGCCGACTCAAGCATGCCGACTCAAGCATGCCGACTCACGGTCTCCTTACCTGACTCCTGTCGATTAGCGCGGATTGTATATTCCTGTACACTTTAGCAAGAGACAGGAAGGCTGACAGTGATACACGTACATGTACTATAGTGGCAAAAGAAGGCCCAGGCTTGTCTGTAAATATCAGCCAACGCTTTAGTCCGCTAGGCAAAGTCCTCAAGATACATACTCTGCTTAAGTCGCATATTCTTAATACAGTCCCGCACTCGGAACTTCTGCTCTATATACGTAAGGTAGCTCTCAGTTACGGCCGCTATCGCTCCCTTCTTATTATACTCCTCCTTCCAATCTCTTGCAACCCTTGCTCGACATTAAACCGGAAGTACCGCTTTTTGTCGAAATACCTTGCCTATCTCCCAATAAACCTCTTCTCCGTGTTCTCTGTCTCAGTTGCAATATGCACCACTGTCTGCCCGAGAAACTTCATTATACTCTTCTCAAATAACTTCTTCCCGGGATTTCCTGTTCCGATCGAGATAAAGCACTTGACCAGTTCCTTTAGATCTCCCGTCTCATGGCACCATATATTTAACGCTTTACTCTCAACCTCGTCCACTGGATTATTCGCGCCCAGTCCGCCATCGGCAAAGGAGCGGTCGCCGATATTAACAGGTTCAAAGAAGGTTGTGGCGGCAGATGTCGCGAGGGCGGCTTGGCATATTATCGCGTTGATATTTGGCTCGTGAGGAAGGCTGTAGCTTCGAAGACGGACAATATTCTTAGTGTAACGCTCGGCAGTACAAACAAAACTGGTTCTGTCAGAGATATCACCCTACTCGGTAATTCACTTACGTCCTGCATCCACGTTCAGTACCGTCGTTGAATAGTTCTTACTTAGATGCACCGCTGTTCTCAATCACCCTTTAGATCACATTTTCTAGCTTCGCCAAGTCAAACCGAGCTGAGATATCACCCTTAAAGTTAAAAGGAATTAATTGTAGTCTTTCTCTGAATACTAATATTGCGAGATTGCTGTATGCGTCAATACATTCATCGACATCCATCTCGAGCCGGCCCAGCATAATCGCAATAAAGCTTAATAGCAGTCAGCTCAGCGCATCAAAGATGGCAAGTCCACTCACCCACCAGTGCTCGTGCCCCCGATAAGGTCGAACACTTCGCACGGCTTCACCCGAGGGAGTTTGTCCTGCTCCCGCGCGTAGTTTAGCCTGTCCATAATGCTCTTCAGTATATAGAGTGACGAGAGGCCACGGACGCCGCCGCCATCTAAGGACAGCAGACATAGGCCGGTGGAGTCGATTGGGTTCGGCTCGCCGCCGTGCTTGGCTGTGCTTTCTTGCTCCATAATAGTTACAGTATTTAATCTTGCTCTTATTCACAATCTGTTTCTCTCCTTCGCAAGGTTACAAAGAACAGAGCAGTGACAACATCAAAACACGAGTTACTTTCCTACAGTTGCGCTTCGCTCCAGGGGCTCACTCGTCTGTCAATACAAAAATAGTATGTCAGCTTAGGAGATCCATCTACTTACGATTAGCTGCTAGCAATGGCCCCTGGTAATTCAGGCTGCAATTAGGCCTTAGTCACATGGCGAGGAATCTTATGGCCATTAAAGCCGGTTCTACTCTTAACTTGTTGCTCCGAAGGCCTCCGTGGATTTCCTTATAGAAGCTTACTTTTGCGTCGTTGTATGAAGAGTACCTCTTTGCGCGGACAAGTACTTGAAGTGGGCAGGTCGAGAACCAGTGTAATGGACTGCGAGATGAAGGCGCCGCTCCTGGGCATGATTCAGCTAGATTGGATGCATTAGTACGTGTAACACCAACCGGCCCAATCATATCACCGTATCTAGCGCCAGGATTGTGGTCTACTCTATTGGGCTAGCATCGCGGCCATCCCAGCGAAATATCATTGACCAACCTGATGAATCCTACGATAGCCCAGTCTCTGTGCTTTATCCGCAAATACAGCGGTCCCTTATGTAAAAGACATCTTAAATACCTAAATATATGCTAAGGCCTTGGTAGTGGGTCTTAGAACCAATAAACAGATGTTTTTGGTCAAACTGATTTCGAGCAAGGCTGTACTCTGGGAGTAAATTCACCTGTGTGACCTTCAATAGGTAGCACCTGTTTGAACTAACAGTCACAGCACAATATAATTCATAATTGTGGTGGTAAGTAGGAGGTTGAAAGGCTTCGATTGTGTTGTTTGGCTAAGAATTTCCGTGTCAGAAGCGACTTACCTTGACCCTGACCGACAGGGTGGTAATTGTCTGCCATGTTTGAGTCTGTGGGTATACATAGGGAGACACTACTATGTTCTGGCGGGTCTTTCCGAATATCTTCCAGGTGAAAGGCATTCCCTTAGTGGCACGCGCCTCGGTCACTCGATTTCTCCCGGAGGGAGTTTTTTTAATTTGATGAAGGAGGGCGACGGCTCGGCGGACGACGTTGTATCGGAAGTTTTCTAGTTGGTACAAAGGCGTCTGGATCTGTATTATCGCCTTGTGGGCAGCGAGAGGAGGCATGAGATATTATCAGTGTCGAAAATGTGTGCATTCTAACTACCTACCCCATACACTCACCAAAATCCAGAAAAGCAGATATTTCGAGGAAGCCTATAGACGCCCTCCTCCTTCTCGGCGTGTTTCTTCATCAATTCCTCGCGCAGCTCAAGGGCCTCTGCCAAGTCCATTTGCATCGCAGACTCATCGCCATCGCCTCGAATCCAACCAGTCTGCTGGGGCAGGACGTTCCGCGTAGAGCAAAGGCGGTAGGTTGGATCAACAAGGGACAAAGTGAGAAAACGGCAGTGCCCGGGCTTGGATCTGTCCTGGAGTTGTATGGGGCCCAAGCGGCGTTGGAAGGCGTTGGGGAAGGAAATCAGGCGGCCCGAAGACATCTTGACTGTCCCAAGCTGTTGCCATCCCGGACTACCTTGCATGTCTTCCACTCCGAAAAGCCTTCCTATGTACTTGATGTCCCATAAGTTGTTCTTCATGTAAATTTCGTCAGACGTGTCCTCATCGTCATCTGAATCCAGGGCACCGATTCGGTCATAAACCCAAGTAGCGGTATCGTGTGTACATCTCTGCCGGAAGCTGATGTGCGGCTGGGACATGTTTTCCAGGTCAAACGCGTAAACGCTGTTGGCGACTATGCGTTCATTTGCATTGCCTTCGATGTGCCACTCCGTGCCGGGAAAGGATGGTGTCTCAGGATCAAGCTCGATGCTATGGACTCGGACGACCACCTGGAGACCTTTTTCTCGAAACTCATCCTGCAATGCAACCGTGTAGAACTCATGATCAGCAGGGTCCTCTTCCTTTGGTGCATACATCCATTCGTACGGTTCCAACCAGGGGTTTGCTTCCATGAATTTACGATGTTCATACTCCGGATGGCAAATGTACTCATGATGCGACGGACCGACGATTGCTTTGCCCGTCCGCCCTGCTTTCCAATTCTCGTACGAGTACGCGGTTCCTGGGTCTGAGTGCTCAAAGACGAACGTGTTTGCATATTTGGTCAAGGATGTGCGCAGCAACCCCCAGCGGGTCTTCCAATCCCGCGGGATCCTTTGCGTTCTGACCCGATTCCAGCGCACTTCATCCGTGGATTCAGGCTCCTGAAGGTATGTCTCCACTAGAGCCGACATGGCTTCGTATTCCTCGGCAGGGAGCTTGTCCTCGTCTTCTTTGGGGGGCAATTTCTTTGCCCATTCAGGGAACTGAGCTTTCCACTCGACCCCGTAAGTGCGGATTCGCATGGGCTCACGAGGACAGTGGCGGCAACGCCCGCCTATCCACTTGTTACGAACCAAGATTTTGTTCCATTGCTTGATGCTGCCGGAGATCACGGTCTCGATTGCTGAGTACATTTCGTGGTTTGTTGGATGGAGATTGTTGATGTAAGACGAAATGTGAACATCTGTAGAGCCAGGAGGACCGGTGAACTCCACTTCGCATGGCAGCCACTGGAATTTCGAGGACCAGATGGACTCGCCGGCTTCCCATGTCCAATTTTCGCCGTGTTCTACCACATGTGGCCGATCTGACACAACCTGGTCCTTTTTATTGCATGAGGACCAGAGATTCGCTTCCATGCCACAAGACTGTCCTCCGACCAGGATTTTTGTTCTCCCAAAAACCAGAGGAAACAAAGATGGGTCGACAAGGTCCGTCATACCTGCCTCTGGTTTCTGTTGAATGACCTGGCGAGATAAGTTTTCAACGGAATTCGACAGTTGGCACTCCAGCAGGGAAGGGATTGCCGTATCGGATTTACAGACACCGCTATGTGTGTTGAAGACTACCAAACGGCCGTCTCTATCGAACCGTCGAGCCTTGTCTTGCAGCTCCTGCAACCACCAGTCCCAGGTTTTGTCATTGATTAGCGGCGACGATGCCATCGCGTCTTCTCGCCACTGAGCAGTCACCTTCTGGTCAAAGATGGCGCGGTTCCAATTCGGTCGGTCGGTGATGGTATTAATTAGATCCATGATGGCTAGTTCCTTGACCGTGAGAATGGGAACTGGCCACCACGATTCACTGACCCCAGTAGCGAACTGATCGTGGGGGAGTAACACATTGACGGGAAGACCATGGAGGCCGGGGACTTGAATTGGACTAGCCTTATTATCCAAGGGAGTGTGAGAGATGTCGGCCATTATTCCGTGAAATGGCAGAGAGAAGGGAGGATGAGTATAAGGTAGATAGATAGGTATTAAGGGTAGATATAGGAAAGTTAGTCACGGATTGAAATTAGTCCCTTAGGTAAGCTGAACTAGCTAGTTAACTAGTTAGTTAGTTATAGTTAAAGTAACTAAACTAAGGGCACTTCTTTCGGAGTTCGCTAATCGACAAGTTTGCCTCTCGAATGATCCGCTGGTAGATCTCCAACTGCATGGCCCCCGTGATCTTCTTGCTATAGCGCAGGAGCTACGAGTGTAGTTGCTCCTGTGGCGCCGACACCAACGCAGGCAACAGGAATCGGGTTCTGAGCGGCTCAGCTAGCTGCGCATAGTATTTAGTGGCAAGCATTAGAGCCATTGTCAAGTGTAGAGGGTGTGACCTTACCTCAGCCGTCAGGGGTGCGGACTTTTCCAGCGCAGATTTGCCATAAGCACCGACAATCTTACCACCCTCTAGCCCCGCTCGCATGATTCTCGTCCCCCTAGCTAACACCTCCTGGCGAGAGAGCGGTTGAGGTGGCATGCATAGGCTGGTGTAGCTGTTGATCTAATAGCGGATTAACCTCCTTCGTTGCAAATACTCGGCCAAACGAGGTGTTCAAAGAGCGCAGATGTAAAGGCGTTGGTCTCGGGCTTCCAGAGACCGCGTATAGGAGACATTCACTTGCCTAATTGTATACTGGACTGTTGGGTGGAGAGAACCCCGGCTTTCAACGTGGGCTCTACGTTGTTACAGGGTACTTTGTGGTTGCTGTATGGAGGACAAGCGGAGCCGATTACACCCCATGGCGCAGGCCCAATATGTGACCTTCACTAAGCGCCTGGCTACAGTTGAATGCACGTTCGAACATAGCTGGAACCCATCAGCAGACGACACGTCGTCTCCAACTTTCCTTTTCATACGTGGATCTCGACACATATACAGTCTTCCCGTTCACTTCGGCTGGGTCAGGTCCACCCACCACAGTGCATCAGCTTCGAATCGACATCCTCATCCCTGAGATTTTGGCTCTTTCCACACTCCTCTTGTGGGAAACATTCCAGTAACTAGCATCTATTGTATACGATTTATCTAGCTTCCACTCTTCGCCATGGACGTCCGTGATGTCTCCGCGCTGCCGCAGTACTTTGAGTACCTCCAACGTCATAAGAAAACCCTCCAGAGAGCACAAAGCCGCAAGGGCATGCGGGCAAGGCCGAGAATGGCTAGAGATGAGCTCATCTCACAGTTTATGTTTCGACACCTGATGAACGCCGGGGAACCTTCCGAGACCGAGGCGAAGATTCGGTCGTCATTTCTCCCACTAGCCTACCCTCCGTGCGTTGCGAGTTTAGATCAGTTAAGCAAGTCCATGATCAAGGACCTTTGCCTCGAAGTCCATCACAGGGGACATTACCTCTTACTGAGGACAGTGACTCCCACCGATACTATGACTGCCGTTATGGCCATTGTGGAAGATGAAGAAGGGGCAGTCCTTATGCTGCAGCTCTACAACCAAGGACAGGAACTGTCAGGTGCACAGGAGCTAATAGAGGGGACCGTGTTAATCGTCAAAGAGCCGTATGTGAAAGTGATGGCAGATGGTAACTACGGCATCAGAGTTGACCACGTCTCCGACGTTATGTTTCTTCCCGAGTGTGACGACCGGATCCCGTTGTCCTGGCGAACGCGGATCGCTCACGATGATGGATCGCCCAGCTTCTGGAAAGAAAGAGGGAATGCCATGTTCAATCAGGGTAATTATCGCGGTGCTCTCCAGTGGTAAAGCTCCCCGGCTGCGACGTGTGAAGACGCCCCGAGTCTGACAAGGATAGCAGCTACTCACGCACACTTGTGACCTCTCCCTCGCCCGAGCTGGCCATGACCACCCGACTGAATCGGGCCCTCACCTTTCTCCGAAGCCACCAGTTTGATGCAGCGCTCGCCGAAGCAGAAACAGTCTTGCACGTATCGCCGATTTCCGAGAAGGCTCTCTTCCGCAAATCCCAAGCTCTTTACTATCTGGGAAGGTTCCAGCAATCGTACGACACTCACAAGCTAATTGCAGAGCACTACCCGGAGAATGAGATGGCCAAACGTGAATTCGCGCGAACCTCTGCCCGGCTCATGGAACAGGAAACAGGCCAGTATGAGTTCAAGAAAATGCAGCGGGAAGCACGGAAACTTCGGCCCCCGCACCTCCATCGTGGCACTTACATAGGCCCGGTGACGGTGAAAGCGACTCAGTCGCACGGCAAGGGCTTGTTTACCACAGAAGCCGTCAAGGCTGGTGATCTGCTGTTCTGCGAAAAGGCTCTGGCCTATGCCTTCCACGACGAGACCGCCCCCAAGGAGTTGAGTCTGCTGCTCAACGCGGAGACGGACAATGTTACTCTTGGCAAGCAGGGAGAATTGATTGAAGCGATCGTCCAGAGACTCTACAAGAACCCTTCCCTGCTGCCTTCATTTGCCGATCATCACCACGGCACATACAAACCCGTCAACGTCCAGGAGGCGGATGGTTTGCCGATTATAGATAGGTATTCGCGAACTTTGCTAATATACGATCACCTGCTAACCGCCCCCAGCTTCCTCGTCGAACGAATTGTTCAGCTGAACTGTTTTGGATGCCCTCTGCTATCCCGCGACAGTCATATAGGCGCTATGTCCAGCGATGATACAGCTCAGAAGGCCGACAAAAAATTCAATTCCTGTGGGTTCTGGCACATGGCGTCATACATTAATCATTCTTGTTTGAGCAATGCCCGCCGCTCATTCATTGGAGATATGATGGTTGTTCGTGCCACACAAGATCTGGCTCCAAACACGGAACTCACTTTCTGGTACAAATCACCCATCGACAATGATTCCGAAGGGCGGCCAGTTGATCTACAGCACTGGGGCTTCCGTTGCGACTGCAACCTATGTCGAGATATCCAAAATCTCGACAAACCCACTCTCTCCACTCGAACACGACTTCAGGCCGATCTGAAGCGATTATTCAAAGCAAAGAAGATGAAATTCCAGACAATCGAAGATACCATCACAAAGCTTGAAGGCACCTACTCTCACCCCGCCTCGGAGGTACCTCGCCTTGCAGTTTGGTCGGCCCATCTGTCACTTGCTGCTGCTTACCTGGCCTTCCACAACCCCGAAAAGGCCGTCGCCTCGGGACTACGCACCTTACAGTCGCTTGGGTACGTGGTTGAGGGCGGTGGCATTCCACCTGTCCGCGACACCTCGCTCCTAGTGCAGAAGTGGGGATTGATGACTGATGGGGTTGTTGGTTGTTGGATGATTCTCAGCCAGGCGTATCACCAAGTTGCGCCTGCTCTTGAGCCACAAGCCCATGCATACGCCAAATTATCCTACAAGATCTGCGTGGGAGAAGATGAAACCTTCGATGCAACATATGGAAGAGCCTCAGCCCGGGTCGATGGCCTCCTTGCCACTCCCAGATAACGTAATCCATGTCGGATTGGGGAGCGATTTCGATGGGGTCTTTAATGTTCCGAGAGGGATTGAAGATGTATCGAAATTTCCAGATCTCGTGGCAGAGATGCTACTTCAGGGGGTGAATGATGATGACGCATCCAAGGTGGTGGGAGGAAACATATTACGCGTTTGGCGGGACGTCGAAGCTGTAGCGAAACGACTGCAGGCACAGGGAGCCAATTCGCTAGAGGACGATATTCCCTGGGAAAAGCGACCAAACGAGCCAGAGAACGGGGTTAACATGCGCCAGTAAAGTGAGATGGCTCTCGTGATTCTCAAGGACCAGCTTCGCCAGGGTTTGATTTAAGACTATAGAAAAAGGCGCCTTCAGGTCTACCTCACACCTTTGCTTCCCTCTTCATAACAAAGACCGCCTTAGCTGTGGTACAAATATCCACCGTTTTATCTTTAAAGGTCACCTTGGCCACGGCCAACATAAACCCCGGCGCAGCAACCGGGCTCAGATAATCCGTTTTGAGCGACGCTGTAAACATCCCCCGCCCTTCGTCCAGTCTTCCATATGCGATCAGATCCCCCGTCACTTCATCTACGGCCGTTGCGAGGAACCTGCCGTGCGCAATAGTCGGGCCGTATACATTCTTATCTACTTACCTGGAGTACGCGCTGTGGTCTTTCCGCCGTCACCGACAATGACTCTGTATACGATGCCAAGCAGCAGCAAAGCGCTTTCCCTGATTAGGCACGCTATACCGGATGCAGTAATATGCTGGCGCCATGGGTTCCAGAGGAAAAGATGTATGCTTCCAATGTCATACATATATTTGCTGAGCTGGGAATAAAATTTCACAGTGAGGGCAGATCATCCAATGTTCTATAGAATAGAAGGTGCAGTGTTGTTTGACTAGCACGGTGGCCATATACAAAAAAAATTTCCATCCAGCTCTTATATGATGAGATCTTATATTGCATCCCAGTGAGCACATGAACGATGGATCAATATACTTACTAGTAATGAATCAAATGCTTCATCCTGTTCTAAAGTCCTTCTACATATCCGGTACAATATCATCAGATACCGACATACCAAGGCTGGAAGATATATATTCTCCAGCCGACTAAGCGGTGTCTGGTCGAGAAGTATACTCCTGACCAACCACTTGATTTTCTTCCCGTTTCTCCGCCCCGTGTCTTTTCTTTCTCCTCATCCAACTTTTTACCCTTCCTCTCACCACTCACCATCTTCTTTCATCCACTTAGTTTATCCTCAGATATGCCCACCAGCTCCTTTATTCTCGACGCCCCCATCCCTCCGCAGCTCGATCTCGCTGGTGCACCTTCTCAGCTTTTCCAGGTGCCACCCACTCCGTCCGCCTCCTCCGCTCTCTATCGCTCCATCGCCGTCCCTTCATCCAGTCGGAAACGATCGCGGGCTTCTCCAGAGAATCGCTCATGGCTCGGAACCCCGGTCGATCGTCGCAGTCCCGCCCCCTGCTTCGTCGCAGCCGATGATCGTCACTTCTCCCCGATGGACGACGAGACCGACATCTACCGTCCCAGTCGCTATCGAAATCCGCCCCCACTCCATCCTCTCGACGCCAGTGTCGAGTCCCTCGGTGATCTCGGCAGTCTCCGGTGCAAGCGGAGTCGCCGTGACCCGTCCTCCGTGGTAGCCGCATCGCCGGCTGACGAGAAATCCGCGGCCGCCGGTCCCCATCCTTCCGCACACCTCGGTACCGAACAGCCCGCCCCGGTCCGCTGGAGTCGCGCCGTGCTGAATGTCGTCGGCAAGGTCTGGGATTTCTGCTGGTCGGGTGCCTTTCGCGGGTTTTATGCGGGTGGAGGCCAGGGTTACTCGCTGGCCGTGCCGCACGAGAACAACGCTCCTCCATCTCACACCATGGCTGACGAGTCTCGTACGGAAAAGCGGAGAGTCTCTTTCGTGAGCCACCACCGTTCGGTGTCAACCCCCGTCCCAGGGGAGTACCCCGAAGACAGCGACTTGCGCCGGAACTGGGTGATGATCTCCTCGCGGGACACTGGCGACCGGCTCGATGATACCTACATGGAAGCCAACGATGAAATCATCATTACTCCATCCGCACGCCCCCGGCGAGTCGTCCATCGCCGAACTGCGACAACCCCGAGTTATACCCGTCGCCGCACTGCCGCGAAAAAGACCCTCATGTCCCATCCGTCGGCGGGATCGACCAAATCCCAGTTCTCGTCGCCGGCCAAGCCGCACGAGAGCCCCGTGTCGGTCGAGACGCAGCGCTACATGGCGCAGAAACGGCGGATGGAGCGTGAAGAAGACGCCAGTCTGCGTCGGCTGAACCGCCAGCTCCAGGCGATGATCCGCGAGGGAAAGCAGGCGCTGGGGACGCGGGTAGAGGTGGATGATTACATGGAAGAATGAGTACACTTTCTTTTTGTTGTTTTATCTTTCTCTTTTTGCCTCGGGCTTTGTGGATATCCGACACCAGTCGCTTTCTTTGCGTGTACCAGCGACGGCCGATTGCATTACTCCATCACGACCGACCATGACACATATGCTTACGATTCTAATCCTTACGACGACCTATGATGAATGAAGAATGGATTCTGTATAACAACAACCAAGTACACATAAGACCGCCGCATCCATATAAGACTTCGTAAATGCAATATACAATGACAATATTCATAACATCAAACATCATTCTGGCCCGATCCGACCGTGATCCATCAGGTTGTCCAGTTTATTTGAAAGCCCAACAATCTGCACGTCCTTCGGGACCTCTTTGATGAGGCCAATCACCCCGCCATGCTGATAAACGAGGTCCAGAAGATTCTTCGCGTTTTGCCGTGGATGGAGATTCTATCGAACAGGTCAGTGGGAATCAACCGGGGAACCGAAGACGTCGACATACCGTGATGGGCATGGCCACAGCCGAACCGATTGCGAGAGGCAGAAGGGCGTGACTGAGCTTCATTGTGATGTTCTCATGAGGGACTAGGTCTCCTTGGAGGGTGAGTTGTTTCGAGATGATGTGATGTTCAAGACAGGGAGGAGAGACAGACAGCCTGGATATGTTTCCCCGCTTCCCGCCACTTCATCCCTTCATACCAGGAGGCATGCCGCGTGATAGAGTGCAGTTACACCGCGCGCGTGGCATGGATGGTGTCTCCACTGCCATCGGTCTATGGATTCTATTGTGATTCTATGAGTGTGATGAAGCAGTCAGTCGGCCTATGTCTCATTTGTAGATTTGGTATGCTTGGGGTGATAGAAGTATAGGGCCGGCATATCAAGGGATGCCGGAGGTTCGAGCAAGATGAAAACAACGCGACAGCTCTCAGTTGAGATGATGGTTTGCTCGAGATTCCACAAGGCTTGGCGTGTAAGTTGTCGCCCAATTCGATTCGTATAGACAATATCTACTCATTGTCTGCCTATGATAGGGATGAGGCCGGTCCCCTTCCTGCGACACCATTCTGAACTCCCTATGCAAATCGTTCGCCTTCACTTTATCCAGGTCGAGCCGTCTCGGCATTCATTCTGAGTTCTTGTTCGTGGATCTAACCGAAGAGAATGATCAAAGACTAGAATTACGTGATGGTCGTTCTATACAACAAACGAATGATAGATTTCGCGGTATCTGATCCAACCCTCAAGCCGAGAGAAGAGAGAGAAGCCGAACCGAGTGTGGCAGAGATTCTATTACATTATGGCCGGATAAAGCGAACCATGCATGGTATGTAGGGAGGACAAGAAAGGAAATATGCCGGAGAATAGATCTACTTGAGCTTGGAACACGCCTTATTCACGGGGTACAACAACCAGAACGAGGTTTCTGTCTTGGGTGCCGATGACTTATTGCATTCGGTAACTCGCTGATGTGAACATGGAGGCGACTATGGGATATAACATGAATGTCCAGGTGAAACATCGCTGTCTCCGATTGCCTTATCCACCCCCGCCGCAGCCCAGAATGTTTTACAGGATGAATCGCGTCTCGAATACCGCAACGATGCAGAGATCCTGTGGATTTTTCTCCCGTGAGATTGAAACTGAATACTTGTACAGCAGAAGGTAGGAGGACTGGTGATCATTGGGACTTCATAAACGCCACCATTTTCTCAAGGATCAGTGCGTATCCATCAGCATTCCTGCACATCACAGGCGCTTGAAGCAATCGACGTCCCTCGGCCAATACCCTGGTTGGGCCATGGGGAAGAGCACATATATCCACGGATCCAAACATAATGGCCGTTATCCTCTGCGGAATTCCTTCGGCCACCCATAACTGCACCATTTCATCATCGATGGGGCGGTCCAGGACGATGGTAGTGTCTGACTGTCGATATGGAGAAAAGGCCTGTGGAGCACCTCGTGCTGCCTCTTCTGTAGCCTCTGTTTGATGGCCAATGGTACAATTTTGGGGAGTACACGCCGGGCTCAGCGCCGCTCCCATTGCCTGGGCGCTAGGTCGCTGCTGTTCAGCACCGTCGGTGGTATACAAGCTCGAGGGTTGGGCCAATGAAGACGGACCAAGGGCCGAGAACAGAGATAGAAATGCAATGTTATTGCTAGCGGGTTTTCGTGCCAGAAACAGCGTGTTCCCATTATCCGCCGGCCCGCCATACCCTGTGACGTGTGCGGCATACGTGCCATAGGCCCATAGCGTCAGAGACGCGAGAAACAAGGCCGGCGGCTCATAGAACGCCCCTCTGCTATAGCGGCGGATATGCCAGAACAGTGCCCCAGCATGAACAACGGCCAGGCGAGCCCTGTACTGGTCATGCCTCAGCCACGCATAGATCTCCCGTTCTGCCACACGGACGGCGTCGGGAACTGATGGGGCGCAGGTGCCATGCGCTGCGATGTAATCGGCCAAAACCCTGATTTGCGCATATGGCACAAGAATAATGATCCGTGCGAGATGCAGGTGAAGAACGGCAGGATGCTCGATGCCAGCATTCTTGGCACAGATCGAATTCGCGTCCCAGTGGAGCGTATCGAAGCAGTCACAAGCGGCGTCGCGCCATTTGCTGAATAGTGGGATCTGCAAGGGCCGGCGTTGAGAGCTTGTTTCGTCGTCGGCAGTGTAGGGTGTCTCCCGACTGGGTGGCATCGCAGCAGGGGCTGGTCGTTGTGACGAGGGCACCCATGAAGAGAGAGGTCGCTGGAAGTACCGTTGCACGCTCCATGTCTCCTCGAGAACCGCATGGAGGACGAGCACACTGCTGAATTCTCCCAGGTTCTCTATCTTTCGCTCCGTATACAGCCTGGTCACGGCAGATTGCATGGATATTCGATCTACAATGGTTAATCGGGGAAAGATCCGAAATAAGTGGAGCGAGGAAAGGGCCCTACCGTGTATGTTGCATATTCTTTCCCATTGATTCATATCACTAGCTTCCCAAACAGCTTCATCGCATGGTAGCTGCATTTGCGCATCAGGTAAGGACAGGAGAGGCCTGTTTGCAGACTGATAAGCTATTATGCAATCTAAAAGCTATCACAGCGAGTAAGTCTCGTATTCGGAATTGACAACAGGGTGATGCCATACCATTATCGCGTACCCCACGCGGCGCACTGTCTCCATAGCGATCCAGTCTACCCAGGTAGCCCCATTCCCCTCGCAGCTAGCGCCTGGTTGAAAGAAGCAGGCCAACGGTGCCCCTGGAGAGAACAGGTCCGCAAGGTGGGAATGCACCCAACCGACGCCAGATCCAGTTGATCTCTCTCCCGAGGTCAGCGAATGGGCCTCACTCAAGATCAGGGACTGGATAAGCCACGTCCGGCTCTGGCAGTCCATTCCGCCTCTCTCTAACTAAGATACCACCTGTTCAGTGGATCAGGACGTTGAACTGCTGGCACAGGACTCACTTCATAGATTAGGGCTCGTCGGAGATATTCGCCGATAGGGAATCGATGAAGACTTGTCTTCGTCGACCCAACATATTGGGACCCGATAGCAACAATGGCAAGAACCAGCACCCAATGGCACTGGTTTGCATTGAATGACGGGCGGTGTACGATAGGCAAAATAGGGTGGAAATAATTGAAAAATAACTGCATGGCGAGGCTCAGGTCTTCGACAGGCGGGAATGGCGAGGACTGCAACGGTTTAAATATAATCTGATTGTTTAGACACAACACAGAGTACATGGACTTGAGACTTTCGTGTGTCTGAATGTCAATATCTGGGACTAAGCGTGGGACCTTGCATTGGGCACGTTGGCTCCTTGGACGGGTTAGCAAGACGTTGCAGTTTTCTTGACCAAAACTACTCACTCTGACTGTTTCAGTAAGAAAAGCTTCGAAGAGAGATTCCCTGGTCGGTCTGTCGAGGGCTTCCTTGTATGATCCGAATTCACATACAAGTCGTAGGACCCAGGCTCGGCCGTGGAACTCTCACTAGGGGCACTCGAAGGACAGGATTCATCCTCTGGATTGGAGGCCTCGCTGTTTGACCTACTATGGATCGTTGATAGGCGATGTGGCCTTTCGAAGCTGTTCCTTGAGACACCTGGAAGCCTCGAATGCGGCCCGTTCCTGAACCCATATGGAAGAGCGTTCAATTCCAACGGGTCCATGCTTTCGCCAATATACATGCCTTCGTGCTGCATGCGCCCATCCTCGGATGGGGTTGAATAAACCGAGGGGCCGATCCCAGGGAGAAAACCCCAGTCGTCAAACAGCGTGGGTGAAGAGTGTATTTCGCGAATTGTCTCCAGCACCGGTTCTATCCGTCCGTCCCCTATGGGGGTTGTGCTCGAGATGGCAGACATGACAGACGGACCGGAGATCGACGTGGGCAACGTGAACTTAGAGGCTTCGTGACCGGCTCTCATGGGCCCACGACCAGCTCCCGTACGTGCAGCGCGATTCTTTCTTGCCGGGTATTCGCAGCGTAAATTCCGTTTCTGGCAGCGCATGCAAACCTGACCGCCACTACACCGTACCTTATGCATCGCACATGCAGTACATGCCTTCCGAGCACCTAGAACGTGTCCATTTTCTAGGATTCTGGGGAGCGGAGTTCGGTCATGTATGCGCTTGTGCCGCTGAAGAATGTCCCTGATAGTGCAGGGTCAGCCCGCTGTGGGAACCTTTATCATCCTAGGAGACCGGATGGGTCCAGATCAAGTCTCGCAATCCTCGTACGTACCTCCGAGAGAAGGATTTGTCACACTTTGAGCAAGAAAAGGACTTCTTCTTGTGAGACCTCTCGTGTTTCTGCCGCTGCTCTGGATTGTCCGAGCCGGTACTGGGATCGCTACAATTATACGCGGCTGGCTCCGACTGCGCTGGGGACATGTCTGCTTCGAGTTTCTCCATGGAGAGCTGACGGACAAGCTGCCACGAAGCTAGAAAGAATCTCCGGGGATGCGTTTGCGGGGTTGAGTGAGGGGAAGGAAGGATGTTTCAATTAACCGGATCATCCCGCCACTCTTATTCCTCCTTGATATATCCCCAAGAGTATCCTTGTTTTCGTATATACAGACAATATCATCCTCTAAGTGCTAGATACTCCTCCGGCCAGCAGACTTGCTTCTAAAAGCCAAATTCAAAAGCATACGCTACGTTCGCATCTGAGAATTCAACCCACCATGTCACCTCGTCATTGGCGTATGTATGGGTCACCTGGCCCTTATATGTAGGCGCGTCCACTTCACCATACTGGCCATTCCAGCCAAATTCGTAGGTGGTGATGTCGATGCTCCCAGACGTCGGGAGGCCCAGAGACGAGAGATTGGTCACCGTGATGTTCCAGGTTCCCGTCTGGGCTTTACTTCCGCTGAGAATCTTCAGTGTCGAGCCATCGTGAGTGGCGTAGACGTCGAAGTTGTTATCTGCGGAGCCGGTGGTGCCGACACGCGTCCCTGTCTGGTTTAGATTGTAGTAACGATATACTTGGAACTCGCCCGTGGGCCAGTACCCAGTCCCCGTGCCGTCGTATGCCGACGTCCCTGCATTGGGCTTTCCAACCAGACCAGCAAGGAAATCATGCAGGGCCGTGGAGGAGGCCCAGTTTCCCCGAAGACCGATCGTCTCGTGGCGTTCGAGGCGGCTGATAAACCACGCGTCGGCACTGGGTACCTGGTAGGCAGCTATGGCATATTCGTTGACATTGTTGGGTCGGAAAGGTAGGTCGTATTGGGGGAGCAGCGCCTTGAGCGTGGCATTGCTGCTTTGAGGATCAGACGACTCCCCCTCCTCGTGCCATGTATATTGATCCGGGATTGACGAGTTAGAACGGATGAAAGTGAGATACTGCGACCACCACGAGCTGGTAGTCGACGGTGCCTCGGAAAGAGATGGTCCGACGAGGAGGACGTCAGGCCCGAAGGCATCCCTAAGGCCATCAGACTATGACAGTTGACCATATATCGGAACTCTTACCTCAGACGATGGTAGGTTCTACCCCAGAGGTTGAGCCACTGGGCTGTTGAACGGCCTCCCCAAAAGTACTCAAGCTCCGGCTCGTTCCAGATGTCGATGTCCAAGCCCTCTGTCGCCGAATTTGACTGGATATCATCGATGAGCGCCGTGAGAAATTCATCATAAGACGTCCAGTCATCGTTGTCGCCCGGGTACGGGGCGCTTGAATTCTGGCCGCCGTCCGCACCCCAGAGGTCATGAATCAGAAGCTGGAACCGTCCACCGTATTTTCTTGTAGTGTGATAGTTTGAGAGGAAAGACTGGAAGCGGCCCTGTGGAGAGGAAACTATGTTTTAGTACACCGTGCTAATCTACACAAGATTGCTTCCTTACCTCATAGTCCGATGGTCCCCATATCCAACCCCGTTGTCCCTCGTCGTGCAGCTGAGCCCCGCCGGCTCGACCATACCGATAACCGGACTCGGTGTAGAATCGATCCGGAATCTGGCCCTGGGCATCTGGGATACCGTAAATCCAGCCAGAAGCCAGATGAGCCGGAGTCCCCAGGCTGACCGCGGCGTCAACAGTGGCCGTCTGCCCCAGGGCCCTACCCGGGTGGACGGTCAACGCCGCCAAGATGAATACTATATTGGAAAAGACAGCCATTGTCTCGAACCAACTCAAGATGGGGAATTGAATTCACCAGACCTACTTCGGTTGACTTCTCCGCTTTAATACCCCACGGGGAAATAAACACATTTAAGCTTCTCTCCGCCGGATGTAGACGTCTCGGCTAAAATCCTACGCCGCCACCGCCGGGGAAAGCCTCCGGTTAGGCATATCACCGGCGTCGGCGTTGTTTCAGGACGAGACAGGCAACCCCAGTGCGTACTACCGGGAATACGCATGGATCGGGAGGAGTCACCCGGTCCTGATGGTTTATACAAATGGATGTGCTTGTCGTCTTCGGGTGGAACCTCCCTCAAACCCATCGGAGTACCATCTTCCTCCTTACATAGTCGTATCCCCACAGGATCTGCCGTTCAGCATGGATGTGGAGACTAAGGCCAAAGCCGAAGCAGTGGCCAGCCATGTTGAGGGTGGGCATCAGGATGGGGTCAAGGACGTCGTCTACAGTGGCCGGGAAGCCAATGAGGCCGAACACGCGATGACTTTTAAACAAGCGATCACCATCTACCGCAAGGCCGTCATGTGGTCGCTCCTCGTGTCTACTTCTATCATTATGGAAGGTTACGATATCGTCCTGGTGACATCTCTCTTCGCACAGCCGGCCTTTGCTCGGGACTTTGGGTCGTACAGCCCTGAGGCTGGGTATCAAATCGCCGGAGCATGGCAGTCTGCTCTGGGAGCGGCGCCGCAGATCGGTGCCATTGCTGGCGCCTTTGCGAATGGCTATTTGACGCACAAATTCGGATACCGTCCTGTTCTGATCTCGTCGCTGGCGTCGATGATGGCATTCATCTTCATCATATTCTTCGCCAACTCGCCGGCAATTATCTTGGTTGGGTTGCTGCTCTGTGGCGTTCCATGGGGCGTCTTTGCTACCATGGGCATGGCCTACGCGTCAGAGGTCTGTCCACTGGCTCTCCGAGGATATCTGACTGTCTACATCAACCTCTGCTGGGCGCTCGGTCAACTGATTGCGGCAGGTGTATTGGAAGGATTCGTCAATCGAACAGATGAGTGGGCTTATCGAATTCCGTTCGCCATCCAGTGGGCGTGGCCGATTCCCCTCCTCGCATCTCTCTGGTTTGCACCCGAGTCTCCTTGGTGGCTGGTGCGGAAGGGGGATCTTGCCGCCGCTGAGCAGGCTCTCCGACGACTGTGTCAGCCATCCATGGTCGATGTGCAACAGACCTTGGCGATGATCATCCACACCAATGCGATGGAGGAGCAGGCGCAAGTTGGCACCAGCTATCTCGATTGCTTCCGCGGCGTGGATCTGCGCCGAACAGAAATTGCGTGTCTGACGTTTGCGGCCCAAATCTGGTCCGGCAGTCCACTGGGCGGGACGCCAGCCTACTTCTTCACCCAGGCCGGGTTATCGTCCGCCAACGCGTTCAAGTTCTCCTGCGGCGGGCTCGGCATTGCGTCGATTGGCACCATTATCGCATGGGGGCTCTTGTCGATCTACGGCCGCCGAACGCTGTATCTGTGGGGACTGGCCGTCTGCTGTGCTTGCATGCTGATCGTCGGCTCCATTTCTGCCGGCGCCGGCGAGGGTTCGGCCAGCAGCTATGCTCAGGCCAGCTTCGTTCTGCTCTGGCTGTTCGCGTACTATGTCACGATAGGGTCTGTGTGTTATCCGATCATCTCCGAGATCTCAGCAACCCGCCTCCGCAGCAAATCGGTGTGTCTCTCGCGCATATCGTACTACGTCAGCCAGATTATCGGGAATGTCGTGGAGCCCTATCTGATCAATCCACATGAAGGAAACCTGCATGGGAAAGCTGGCTATTTTTGGGCTGGTACGGCGGCTATATTTTTGGTCTGGGCTTACTTCCGTCTTCCAGAGACAAAAGACCGCACGTATGAAGAGTTGGATGTCCTCTTCAACAAGCGAATCGGTGCTCGCCAGTTCTCTCGGGTCATAGTGGACGCATACGCTTTGGAAGAGCATGAGCAGGTCAAACAAGAATGATCTTGTTCTGCCTCAGACACTACCTTATGGCTGTAGTTCTGATTTGGGTGTTCCATTTGGATTGGGCTTACAGTACCGATCCTCAATATGATCCGAATGGCCCTGGTAATTTTTCCTTGTTTGAAGCATAGCTGTACTAAAACTTCTGAGGAATAATAGATGGCTAGGGAAGTATCTAGTCCATTAACCAACCACCATGTAGCCGCCACCTCCCAGTCTGACGCCCGCGCGAGGCTGGCGGGAATGGCTGCGGCTGTCGATCGATCAATCAATCAATCAATCAAGATTCCATTAACCTGTTGAAGCCTATCTATTGGAGCCATTAGCTATGCAGGCGCTTCGCCAATGAAGCAGGAATCTGGTATCCGAACGCCTGAACCCCACAAACGCAGAAAAGACATAAGAGACATCGAAAACAGAGTAAGAACACCACTAAAACTCGCCCGCCACTGGGCGAGATGTCTCCTCCGCGCCATCCTGCGCGTTAAACACCTATTCCCACTCCATTCAATGTAGAATCGTTCCTCTAACGCGTTGCCGCGCCTAGATAGACCCCATCTAGGCAGCTGATTGGTTCATTTAACCATCGTCTTCCACATCTATTCCAGAACCTCATAGGAGGCTTCCTCATTCCTGGTCCTGCTGGCCTATTTCCGCATAGGGGAACAGCTGGAGCAGACCTGTTTGATGCATGAATTCGGCGGCGTAGCGAATCGCCTGCGGGTCAGACACGAGCGTGTCGTAGTCCGATAATTTCCCCTGGAGGCTCTCGATGGCCTGCAGCTGGTCCATCAAGCGGCTGTCGACTGGTCGCATTGATTGGCAAGTGTTGACTGCCGTTTTCTTATGCGCCGTGCTGAACGACTGGGGTCTGGATAACACCAATCACGGGCGAGCGTTTAGCGCTTCCATCATTACATAGTGCGGCGCAGATGCTTCATTACGTGGCTATCAAGGCCGAGCTGGCGAGGGGTTAAATAGCTAGCAGGAGGTTGAAGGTCAGCCAGGTTCTCAATTATTTCGGTTTATCGCAAGCTTGAGGCGTGCAGTTGCAACATCATATCTTCCTTGGAAACCATTCAGAAATTCGTCTTATATATAGTACGAGTCTTACTCCACGTTACGAAACGTTTGCGAAGTAGGTTCTCTTCCAGCGAAGTGTATCATCCAGGCAGGTCATGACTGTTTCTTCTAGCCAGATCACCATCCACCATGCAGAATGCACTGAAAAGCGCCATCGGCAGGGCTCTCGAAGGGAATGCCTGGACCAAGTTTACGGACCCCACTGCTGGACGCGGACAGACCACCTTCCCCAAGGGGCCGGCGGACCTGGAATGGCTCGGGGTCCGCTGGCAATACGACGGCGAGGTCACCAATGCGAACGGGGTTTACCACAAGTTCCTGATGCAGCCCAATGCTGGCAAGGTTCCCTTGGCCATCAAAAGATGGCGGGAAGGCCATGGCGGTACTCATGCTGTAATGGCCATTGCTCTGGTGAAGAAATACGGCACCAAGGAGGACGTGGAGAATGGATTGAAAGAAGCAGCAGCCACCGTGAAGGACTGAGTGGAAGAAAGTTCCAGTTGAAGAATTTATCGAGCAGGTTATTTCGGTGTATAACGTGTACATACCTCGTGCATACATACTAGTCATGACCGATTCCACAACGGTTTAGTTCATTACCGCCACATGCAGTATTTCCTAAGAGGCCGAACTTCGTAACTAAATAGACACCCTCCCGCGTCCCTACCATACTCCGTACACATCCCATAGATCCAAGGAAAGCATGGCCAGGCGCTTACGTCTCGCCTTCATACCACGTTATCCTATTAGAACAGGCCTGCTTGGGTTCTGTCGCTTCCCTACCAGCTATACTATGCCCGCCTCTTCGGATTTATACGATTACACGTCCGGGCGATGGATGTTAGCTACTCCACCCGGGCATTCGCCATGCCATGACCCGCTTGCCTAATGCACCAACGTAGCTATTATGACGCCCTTCGACACAGAGAGAGGAGACAGGTCTTCAACCTCCCTGAGCTGAAGCGCCTGGCGACTACGTCGGTTAATCAAAGGGAAGCCGATGTGGTCGCGTTCGAGAAGCTTGCCGAGGGAGGGTTCAATCGAAGCTTCTTGCTCACGATGCGAGATGGGATTCGATTTGTCGACCGTATCACATATCCAGTAAACCAGCCAGCGCCTTTGATCATCGCAAGCGAAGTCGCAACCATGGACTTTCTCCGTTCGCATGATATACCGGTCCCAAAGGTCTATGGCTACTCGGCTACTGCTGAAAATCCCGCGGAAACAGAATATATCTTCATGGAATTCATGTAGGGACAGAACCTGGGTGATGTCTGGTTCGATCTATCCGAAAGGCAGAGGACCAGATTGATCGAAGAGATAGTGCAGCTGGAATCCCGACTATTTGCGCTGCGGTTTCCGGCTAGTGGAAGTCTCTACTACTGCTCCGACCTCCCAGGGAGTAACAAAATCATTGTTCCGAGCTCATCGCCAAGCAATGAACACCGTTTCGGCGTTGGCCCCGATACGTCCATTGGACTATGGTACGGAAGAAGACTGAACTTATCGGTCGAACGTGGACCATGTACCATGCCACCGAATTCGAGAAACAGAACCGAAACAGAGTCAGTGGTTAATGTGTTGCAGACCAAGACTGTCTGGCAGCTCTAACAGCCGGGGCCAAAAAGGAGATTGCATACCTTTCCATGTTTGGAAAACCCCTACAGCCCTTCCAACGCCTTCGCAGAGAGACCTACAACTACCAGCCGCAATCACACCTCGAGCACATTGCAAATCTCAAGCAATATCTTGAAATTGCCCCCAGCCTCATCCCTCGCAGCAACCCCGCCCTGCATCGTCCAGTCTTACGGCATCCTGATCTTCAACCCAACATCTTCGTCTCTGATGGACTGGAAATTACTGGGCTGATTGACCGGCAACATGCCACGTTTCTTCGCCTTTTCCTACAATGTTCCATCCCCGATAGTCCGCAAAACTATGGCGACGTCGTCTCGGAGTCTCTTCAGGAGCCCAGCCTGCCCAGCAATTTTAGTGAGCTGAGCCTAGAAGAGCAGGAACAACGAGCCGAACTCTTCCGGAAGCGTCAGCTTCGCTATCTCTATGTCCGATTGACTTCAGAGAGAAACCCTGAACACTACGATGCCTTGGCGTATGATTTCAGCACGCTGAGAAGGCGGCTGTTTCACTACGCAAGTGACCCATGGGAGGGCGACAATGTGACACTCAGATCAAATCTGATCAGCTTATCTCGAAAGTGGGCAGACATCAATGGTGGCACTGCACCACCTTGTCCACTTGCATACTCGGATGCCGAGTCAAATGAATGCATGAGACTAACACGCGCACAAGCCGAAGCGGATGAACAATTTAAAGTGTGCCAGGATCTGATTGATGTCGGCAGTGAGGATTGGGTGCCTGCGAATCAGTATGAGGCAGCCATGGAACGGAATCTAGCCTTGAAGAAGGATGTTCTCGATGCCGCTGAAACAGCAGAAGAGAGCAATGATAGAAGAGAATTGGATCTTTGATGATTTTCATGAGGATGAGTACATGTGAGAAATAACACTGCGACCCAGTGCGTCATCTTTCTCTCTTTCTGTAGGTTATTGATACCATTACCGCCACAAACATATTATAGTACGTATTCTTAAGCCAGCAAAAATAATGTAGAGCCCAACAGCGTAAACAGGCCCCGAATACTTGGCTTCAACAGAATCGGTGCAGCAGACTCTCCTGCACCCGTCTCCTGTGCCCCATGTCCGGTCGTATAACTGGCAGTGGTTGCGGAGGAAACAGTCGCTGAGACATTCGCCGAGGAAACCGTGGTGGCATTCGCTGCCGCCATGATAGCGTACGTCGATGGGCCAAACGTCCAGGTAAAAGTACTGCCGCTGATAGGCGTGGTGATGGAAACCCCCGTGTTTGTCAAAGGCCCTGTCCCATTCTCGGGGACGTTGTCCGGACTGTAGAAATTCTTTATGCCTCCCGCAGAGTCGGCCCCAAACCCTAAGGTGTTGGCGCAATCGTATTCCCGCAGGGTCGGCCCACAGGTATCCCAATCGTACGGACTGAACAAGGTTTCATTCCAGTAGGAAGCGGTGATATAATTCGGATCAGTGTCGGGGCAGGTATCCCAGATTCTGGTTGTAATGTAGAAGTTAGATGGCTAGATTACAGGACCTAGAAGACGGAGGAGGGAAGGGTATGATGGCACGTACGAAGAGATCAGGGCACTCATCGTGCAGCACTGACATCCGCGCAGGTCTTGTTCCAGCTCTGTTTCGGGCAGCCCGCAATCCACGGCATGACTCGTAATGAGGTCTTGTTTCTTTAAAACTTGGCCTATGTTACAGGCACATCCACCGGGGGCGTTGTCCGGGGCGGGGAAGAAAGGGATTTGATCCATATCGACATCAGCGCAGACGGCACGAAGCTCAAGAGCTTGGCGCTGGTATGCGCAGGAGTATACCTATCATCGCATTACGGTTAGCGTCCCAGTTGCTTGCGATCGAGCAGTTGATCAAAACCCTAAGAACTCTAGGAACTGGAAATGACCACCAACCTCGTTCCAACAGCTCGTTGCAATACAATTGATCATGTGCTGCGACTCCAGACAGCGACAGTCGTAGTAGCAGTCGTCGTCATTGTCGCCACAATCGTTTCGGCAGTCGACACCTGAGTCGTAGACACGCTGTGTGCATAACTTGAAGCCGGGTCGATCCACACAGCCAGATGATGTACCATACCACAGGCCGCGGGCCAGTTCCACTTGAACGGCCGTCACGGTTAGAGCAACGAGATGAATACTCCGCATTGTATGAAGATCTTGTCGAAAAGTGACTCTGGCCGGGGCTGAGGTAGATCACCAAGCAATGACTCTGGGAACGGGGCTTTTCTATTTATCTGCGCCGCCTTTCCCACCCCAGTCCATGGGGCACCACTAGCGCTCGCATAGGGCAGCCTGACCTTGGGTTACATTACATCTAACACTAGGCGGCCCCTAAGGAGAAGCTGTCGCTCCTTGGCAGGGCACTTTGGTAACGCCTAGCAGGAACTAGGAGCTCGGATGGCGTGGTTTGCATTCAAGCGAGCCTTGCCAAGATGGTGGGTCCGCCGCTAGTCGCAAAAGGATCAGGGCGCAATGGACTTGCAATTTTTCAGGAGAGTCCAGGGCGAGAGTGGGAATGAGATGAGGGTGGTTAGTCTTATAGTATGTCCGGAATAGTTGCGTACGGAGTACATGTATAAGCGACATACTCCGTAGGGCTGGGGTACCCCACATCCCCATAGAACCTTAACTAGTACACTATAATTACTCCAGATCAATGTATTGAGTCTATGAACGGATAAAGCACCTAGTGATACTACCTCGGCGGAACTTTTCTTTCATCTAAACACAAATACTTGACCACCAAGTCGCAAAATCACCGTTGAATTGTCCCGTGACAGACCCCAGATAACGTAAGCCACTGCCGTCGATCAACGCGAACCATGACGTCGTGCTTGCCGTCTGTCCTTACACTCTCCTTCGGTGCTAGATAGCCACACCACACTTTGTCCCTTATACCAAGACAAGATCTCATCATGACAGCAGCAGCAGTGTTCGGATGCACAGGAGCAGTCGGCTCTCAGATCCTCGCGACGCTCCTCGCATCGGACGCTTTCTCATCTGTCGCGACAGTCTCGCGCAAACTCCCAACCGCCGAGTCTCCCAAACTCCAAGCCATCGAGGAAGGAGACACCTCTAAATGGGGCACCACAATCGCCTCTCTATCCCCCAAGCCATCCGTAGTCTTCAACGCCGTCGGCACCACCCGAGCGGCCGCCGGCGGCATCCAGAACCAGTGGAAAATCGACCACGACCTGTGCATTGAAATCGCCAAAGCCGCCAAGGAGGCGGGCGTGAAGACCTACGTCTTTATCTCGAGTGGCGGGACGAGAGGGTTCCTCTCACGCCATGTGCCCTATTCGAAGATGAAAATCGGTGTCGAGGATGCGATCAAGGAGCTTGGCTTCGAGCATGCGATCATCCTCCGACCGGGGATGATTATCGGGAGAGAGAAATCCAAAGCGCCTCTCTTTGAGGCTATTGTTGGGCATCTTAATAAACTGGGACAAGGGGTCCAGGACCGCATAGGTATGTCAAACCGTTGGTTCTTGACTTCTAGTGTTCTTGCTGATTGGTGCAGGTCAGGACCAACTCATTATTGGGAGGGCGGCTGTCGCAGCTGCTCGATTGGCGGAGGACGGCAAAGCGCCGTCGAAATTTTGGGCGGTTGAGATGTCTGATATTGTTAGGCTTGGGAGGGATGAGTGGAAGGAGTGATGACGAGGTGGAGCCCCTACTGAGGGCATAATTAGAACGTAGTATATGGCCAATGTGTTATTATCTAGTATTTACAAGTCCATCTTAGTGATAGGTGCTGATTAATGATGCGATTCTTGATCGTGAATATATCCGTCTGACTGTTGAATATCGGAGCATGAACGCTCATGATCGCTTCCTGAATACTAACTGACATCCATCCTACACTTAATTAGCAACGTCATGGCTATCATCATCAGCACTTACCATTGGAAACAACGTGGCAAACACCCTTATCTCTTCTGACCGTTCAGTAGCGTGATGCGTCCAATCGAGCTCCAGCGCTGCTTTGCCGATCATCGCTGCCATAGAGAGCGGCACGTATCTCTTCGCGAGACACTCGTGCGCCCCAGCACCGAAAACTAGCCAGTTTTTGCCCTTCGATTCGGCATCTCCCGAGATCCAGCGCTCAGGTTCGAAGACGTCAGGATCAGGATACACAGCCGGATCATGCAGTGCCGGATAGCAGGACGGGATAATCATGGACCCCTTGGGAACAGTGTAGCTGGGCGTGACGGGGAAGTTCTTTGTTGCAAGATACGGAACAAAGATAACGGGAGGCCTATGGCGGAGGAGCTCCTTGACGACGGCATTGGTATATGTCAGGCCCTCCAGCATGGGGAGATCAAAGGGCTTGGATTTATCACCGCCGCGGGCAGCCAGGTTCTCGTCACGCACTCGATCGAGTACATCGGGTCGCTGGGCGAGGACTTGGAACAGCCAGGTTGTGGCGCTGCTAGATGCGTCCTGCGACGCGAACAGGAAGGTGAAGAGCGTCTCTCCGATCTCCTCGTTTGTGAATTCGCGTATGAGATTCGTGGGTTTCTCAACGTTCGCTTCGCCGGCGGCGACTCGCTCGCGGTATCGGTTCGATTCCATCATGTGGAGGACCCAGTGATCGACGATGCATGTGGGCGCCGCGCCGGATGCCATGTTTGCCTTGCATGCAGCTGCACATCTCGCGAACTCGGCGTGGACGGCGTCGGCCGTGCGCTTGCCGAGCCAGGGCTTCGTGTAGGGCACGTACATTGACAGCGGGATATTGACCAGCTCCAGGGCGGCAGTCACGAGATAGAAATCGTCGGCGATCTTCTTTACTGCGTCCTGGGAGATGTAGTCGCCGAAGAAGGTGCGGCACGATAGCGCGCAGTTGATCTCTCGGAACATGGTCATGAACTCCATCGGCCGGCCATTATTTGCTGCACTTGCAGCAACGAATTTGTCAAAGTATGTAGCAAAGACCTTGTCTTGGACGGGGAGGTATGTCGCCAGCGCGTTGTTGGTGAACAGGGGAGTCAGTCCCCGGCGGTATTCTGCGTGGGCTTTTCCTTGGAGAAAGACCCATGCTTTGGGACCGAGTATGTCTTTGGCGATCGGTACTAGGCATGGTTCTGCGTATGATGGGGATTTGAAGACCTTATGCGCTAGGTCTCGATCGGACGCGAGGACGACGAATCTGTAGATGTGAGCTGGGTCTTCGCTACCGAACGATTCGGAGTGGCATACTTGTGAAAGACGGATACACAGCTGAGAGGCCCGCTGGCCCATTGTGCAAGGTATTCCTCGAACTTGGGGTTGATCGCTTGGAGAAAGGGGCCCATCAGGGGCATCTTGAATGTCGGCCCTGCAATGGATCCTTTTCGCTTGATGTACATCACTAGATAGGTTAGAAGGAGGGGTATGGTATAAAGGCGAGACTATATTACCCTGGTCATAGAAGATCACACCAAGCAGAATGGTTACTATGTACTGGCAGGCTGACCATCCGCTGAACGAATCTGATACTTTGCCCTGCCAGTGGGTGGTGACATGCCATATCTGCCGGTCAGGCTGGGTGCTGTTGGCCATATCCGCCTGCATCTTGACGTTCATGATAATTTCCGATGGTCTCCTAAGAACCGACAGGGGTTTCATGGCCTTTTATACGAATTCTGTCCCATCCGCAAGATGATGGACAGGGACAGTGTATACATTACCGAAAAGGGACTAGACTCCGATCGTCGAGAGAACGGAGTCTAGTCCTCTTTGGGCCATCTACAGATCGGCTAAACGGATAAGACGCATGGCATCGCCTGACATCTCAGGCTCTCCACCACCATCTCCTTTAGTTGCTCGATTCAACCCGTAGATTACACCTCCCTCGCAAAATGCGCCAGACCCTTCGCCGGTCGTGTGCTGCGTGTGCTAGAGCCAAACACAGTTGCGATCTCCGCACACCTCGTTGCGCGCGGTGCATCAAACGCAAAATTCACTGCGTTTATGCGAATGCACCCGCAACGGCGCCGGCAGCATCCGGTCAGGAAGAGGGTCAATTAATAAGGAGGCCTCTGGAAAAGTTTAACTTGACGGACGGCCGGCTCGGTTCTCTCGATCCTTTCGATTCATACCCGCAGACAAGACTTCCGCGGGAGCGCGTCCAGCGTCTCATTCATAGCTGTATGTATGTCTTTGAGCACGCTCGTCGACCAAGGTGGAGCTGACAGTTCAGTCATTCACAAAATTGCTTTTCAATACTACCCCCTTGACTTGAACGCAGCCTCGAATCCTTTTCTCGTCTCTTGGTGGCCGCTTGCCCTCGGTGACCCCGCGTTGTTCCATGTCTCCCTGCAGACGGCATGTCTAGACGAGGAGTTGCTGGCCCAAAAGGGCTTCCAGGCATCGGAGATCCTTATGGCCGACTCTGTCAGGCTACTACGCCGCAAAATTGAGGATGTGTCGCTGGCGGTACAAGACGGGACGATGGACTCTGTCATCACGTTAGCAGCCATCGAAGTGAGTCCCTTATATTGTTGCTTGATCATTGTATAGCTAATGACTGAGAATTGGATAGTTTGGTAAAGGCAACACTGACATAAGCAACATGCATGTTGACGGGGTGAAGAAGCTAGTCAAGATGAGAGGCGGCATCAACGCGGTCAGACAGACGAGCCCGCTTACCGCAAGAATGGTCAGCTGGTAAGACACCCTGAATCGCCCGGATAGAATGAGTCATTAACGGGGCCAAGGGTGTCGATGCTTGTCACGGGCCGTCCTCAGTTCGAGACGCAAAACGACCTCGGCATTGGAGACGGTATTCCTCCCGTTCCGGAATGGCAGATTGATTCGTTCACGCTTCATAACCTGCCCGGGTTGGAAAGTGTAGATGTCGAATACGAAGTCCTAAACGTCTATCACCGTCTACGAAACGCCTTCCACCGAGCACAGCGAATACCCTTCCCACCTACGCAACTGCACGACCTCACATGCTTTGTCATCCATCGATTGTTACTTGCAGCTCCAGATACTACGTCCTCTCCATCGTCGCCGGTCACGGAATGTCTTCGGTATGGGATTGTGCTCTACATGTTCATTGTGCAGGGGCCGACGTATTTTTCGCATGCGGTCATACTCAATACCATTGTCGCCCGGTTAATGAGCCACATTACTGAGCTTGAGTCGATACACCATGAGTATGGCTTCTTTGATGTCTGGCTCCTTGCGGTGGGAATGGTGGCGTCGGCTGGAACAGCTCACTACTCGTGGTTCGTGGAGCGAGCACGGGCCATGGCTCGGTCTCTCGATTTTGAGAGCTGGAATGAGGTCTTGGTCAACATGAAGAAGATCCTGTGGCTGGAGACTGTGCCGATAGAGAATACGTTTCGACCTCACTGGGATAGGATGTTCAATGCTGCGGATGCCACTGGGGTGTTGGATCTGTCCCAATGTGCGGGACCCGGTGTGTATGAAAATCCGTCTCTGCTGACACTTCAGTATAAGGGGCAGAAAGTGTGAAGGCAGGGACGATTGATGTGTGTAGTTATATGTTTGTAACGACTAATGAGGATTGGGATTTGCGTAGTTTCCGGCATTAATTAGCGAGTAATGAGTTCAAGATATATAGTTGGGTTCATTTGGCGTGATATGTGAATGATGGCATGCATATAATCTTAATGGACAAGAATAGATGGGGAACGACCTGCTTACTAATGGTCAAATGTAGTCTAGTCTAGACAAGACCTTATCAAGTTGTAGCATGTTCGATTTCGCTCGACTGCAGGGTTCATAATGAAGCCGGAGATTGATACATTTCCCGAATGGGGATAGACTATCCGATCTTCGATAGGCTTGGCACGGACTAGATAGAGTACATAGGTACTGTACTGTAGATATCTTTACCGAACAATAAAATGCCGTGAATCAAACATAAGTATTCTTTTGTAGTCACTCGTAAAACAACTCGAAATGGGGCATTACGGGGCTATTACGTCTGAATGCCCAAGATCCAGTCGGGTTAGATGGATTGGAAGAGACCCTCAGTATCCAGGGTCTACGCAATCCGGTCATCACGACCCACTACCAACGGAGTGATCGACAAAGGCACAAAGGCCACAAAGCTGCCTGCCACATGGCTCAAACGAGAAACACCAAAACGATGCTTCACAAAGAGTGACTGGGCTCGATGACTCGAATCGATATAAGGTTCGAATTGGTCATGTCTATGTGAACAAAAATAGCAGCCGAGGACCAAGCGCGGGTTGACGACGCCTGTGCGGGACCAAAAGGTTCGCCACCTGCAGGCGCCAAGGCCTTTTGTCGGGTGGGGAGGCCCATTGTCCGGATGCGCGTGCGGCCACTATGGAGTATAGTAGGCACGTTATTATTAGGGCTTCATGGTTACCGTCCTAGGAAAGCCTGTCTGTCTGGGTTGTCTGACGGGGTAAGTTTAAAGGGATCTGCGGGCGTCGCAAGCGGGAGCAGTGATTTGTAGCGTTCTCGGTTGGTTGCTAGGGTGTAGGTTTGTTGGGAGGTAAGGAAGCCACCATGCAAGGTGCCGCGGTTCGCCCATGTAACTTACGAGCTGGTCACCATAGAATCAGTTAGGCACGATGTAGCTATACAGCCGGTACATAGTAGACAGTACAGATGACTCTTCATGAGTCCTCCGGATGAAGACATTGTGTTCCTGATCGGGACTTCCGTGGGCGGCATTACTGAATGCGGGGTAGTCTGGTGGCGCTAAGCCCGATGCAGGCACCGCGAGTCAGCTGACCCCGCCTGGATTTTCCTTTTCGTTTTTGGAGGCCGCAGCGTCATCCGCGCGCGATTCTTAGTGCAGGGAACAGCGTTTGGTGCTAGCAGCAGCTATCAAGGCACAGGCGGTGGTGGTCCATCCACCTGATTTGCCTCTCTCTCTCTCTCTCTCTCCATATCTTCTTCGTTCTACGCTCCTTTCTTGCTTTCAATTCCTTTCTTCCTTTCTCTCCCTCTCTTTCTCTCCTTCTCTCTTTCTCTCCAACATCCCCACGTCTTCTTTCTGAAACACTCCATTCTTCCCTTCTTCTCTTTCGCATCGCAGTTAGCGCCAACGGTCTCTTGTCATCGCCAAGGACCTCTGCCGTTCTGATAGAGTTGACCCGAGGGGTGTCCACTAAATCCCCGATCTCACCCGCCTGTGCACGTCTTCATCGTCTTTGCGCATTCTCTCCCTCTGGTCCTCGACCAGGGACGAAAACAAAGGCGTCTCCCCGATCCCGACTCCGGATCCGTTCGATGACCCCCTCGGACCCTCCATCGCCGACCGAGAGGTCAGGGTCAGGACCCTTTGTCAACCATTCCTCCGAGTTACACCAAACCACCTCACCAACGGATTCTGGTGACAATCAACATGCCCGGGCCATCCCTACCGTCTGTCCTGGTCCAGGGACCCTGGGCTCTCCAACTCTGTCCCTACCGCCGGGCCACGATCCATCCTATATAATGGCGCACCATGCGACGACCACCCATCCGTCGCTCCCTCCGCTTCACATTCGCACCGATCTCCCGGAGGCATCCTCTCAGTTGAGCCCGCCCAAGGACTGCGACCCCTTTATGCACCATAGCATATCGGCCAGCAGTCTTCCGCGCCGTACCCCGAGTCTGCGCGCGCTGGTGGCCGGACCCACGTCCAGCGGTGGTTCGTTATCGCCTGCGTCCGGCTGGCCATCCCCGCAGTTACTGGCCTGGGGCGAAATCACCCCCCTTCCGTCCCCCATCGGAGGCGCATCGCCTTGGAGAGCGCACCGTCGCGGCTCTCAGTCGCTCTCGCGGACCCCATCGATGACGTCAAGAAATGGTTCCAGCCTGAGCCTGCGACTCAGCGACTCGTCGCAAGCCCTCGGGCCGGCCGAGTCGCGATCGCGCGGCAAGCAATATGTCGCAACCGACAAGTCCCAGTCCCCGGAGACCCCCAGCAAAGTTCATACCGACACGGGTCCCAAACACGCGCGCAACCGCAGTCTGAGCGAATATGTGCCTCCGGGCCGCAGTGTGCCGGTCAAGCCCCGTCCCATTGCGGTATCGGGGACTGGCGTTGCCCCGGGCATGTCCTCATCTAGCGCCGATTCTAAAGCCAACAACCTGCACCGAGAGCAATACCTGGCGGTTCATCGTGGCATCGCGTTGCCCACGATTCGACCTCCGTCCCCGCCGAGAAGCAGCCGCAGTGGATTCGAAGATGGCGAGACCGAGCCGGTCATCACTCACGCCTCCGAACTGGGTGGAATGGACGAAATCTATTCGGTGCGGTCGGTTCGAACACAGCAACCTCGCAAATACCGCAAGATCCGCCAATTGGGCCAGGGGACCTTCAGTCAAGTTTGTCTGGGCGTCCGCATGGAGTCGCACGATAATGACGCCCCAGGTGCTGTAAATGGGATCAATCCTGCCACTCAGAAATTGGTCGCCGTCAAGGTGATCGAATTCGGTCCTGCAGGTGGCGCCGACGAGGAGCGATTGGAGGTTTCGCTTAAACGAGAGGTGGACATCCTCAAGTCGATCAATCATCCTTCGATCGTCCAATTGAAGGCATTCGGGAGTGATGAGAAGCGCGCTCTTCTAGTCCTGGATTATTGCCCCGGCGGTGACTTGTTTGATCTCGCATCGTCCAGCCCCAAGCCCATGAGCCCCGAACTCATTCGTCGCATCTTCGCCGAGTTGGTTGGTGCCGTGCGTTACCTCCACGAGAACTATGTGGTCCACCGGGACATCAAGCTGGAGAGTGAGTTATCTCTATTTTCTTCGACTTTATTTTAGCGCACTAACTAACTAAACCCTTTAGATGTCCTTGTCAATCTCCCGAGCGATGCAATGGACAAAGTCAGCGACTGGCGAACGTACGACCGGGCCGTGATCACGCTGAGTGACCTCGGCCTGTCGCGCCGCATCCCCGAACCACCGGAGAGCCCTCTTCTGCAGACGCGTTGTGGCAGTGAGGACTATGCTGCGCCGGAAATCCTCATGGGCCAACCGTATGATGGCCGCTCGACGGATGCCTGGGCTCTGGGAGTTTTGCTCTATGCGATGATGGAGAATCGACTTCCCTTCGATGCGTTGCCGGGCACTCGTGGAGATCCAGCGAAACTCCGGGCTCGGACGCCTCATCGCATCGCCCGGGTTGAATGGGCATGGTATCGATACGCCAACAGCGATGAGGAGTGGGATCCGGAGAAGGGCAAGGACCTCGAAGGGGCCCGTGAGTGCGTGGAGGGACTGTTGAAGCGGAACACCAAGCGGAAGAGTCTGGACGAGATTGCGTCTCTGGACTGGGTCCGCGAGGCGATTGATGTGCCCGGGGGACTCAAACGCGGTGATAAAGAGGTCCCCTAGAGCTGGCTCTGGGGACGTGGCTTTCCTCTCTTTCTTTTAATTTTGACTGATCTGATATCATTGGGTTTATATGGCATGGGTTACGAGGGCACTCAACGACGCCCTAGGTTATGGTTCTTTCTTCCGTTCTTCCCACTATCATTCTCATATTCTTTTGATTCTTCATGGTTAGACCAGAGGAACATGTTATACCCTTAGAATTGCTGTGCATTCGTTTGTGATGATTGGTTGATGTGCAATAGTTAGACATGATGATGTGTTGATATGTTTATTAGTGCCTTGTAGTTCTATACTTCAAGTACTTGTAGATAGTAGGTATGTTATGCACTTCTGCAGTTATACTCCAGATTACATGCAGCTATAAAGTGCTGACAAACGACGGGCGGGGATTGGCGGTCGGGGAGCGGCAGCTCGACTCCGACTTCGGTGTGGAGAGTCACCAGCTCCGACAACCCCGGTCCACATTATTTCTCTTTTTTGTCTCCTTCTCCCTTCCCCTCAATTGCCCCCTCGCAGTGCTGTCTCTACGCTGTTGATTCCCTCTCAGTCAACTGCGCTCCCTCCTGCGACAATGCTTCTCTCTCAGACCCGGGGCCGTCTGCCCTCCCTGCGGACCCTCAAGCGGTCCATGGCGGTGTAAGACCATATCCATCGAACCTCCCAACTATCATTCTCAATTCCTTCCCAGCTAACTGTCAATCGCTCCAACCAGCCGTCCGCTCTCTACCACCCTCCCCAAGCACAAGGCCGATGAGAAAGAGCCTGTCCTCAACAAAGTCTCCCGCCATGTCACCCAACCCATCTCCCAGGGTGCGTCCCAGGCCATGCTCTACGCCACCGGTCTCACCGAGGCCGACATGAACAAGGCCCAGGTCGGTATCTCCTCCGTCTGGTACAATGGCAACCCCTGCAACATGCACCTCCTCGACCTCAACAACCGTGTGCGGGAGGGTGTCCAGAAGGCTGGCCTGGTCGGGTTCCAGTTCAACACCGTCGGAGTCAGCGACGCGATCAGCATGGGTACCTCCGGTATGCGCTTCTCGCTGCAGAGCCGTGATCTCATTGCCGACTCCATTGAGACTGTCATGGGTGGTCAGTGGTACGACGCCAACATCAGTATCCCTGGTTGCGACAAGAACATGCCCGGTGTCCTGATGGCCATGGGCAGAGTCAACCGTCCCAGTCTGATGGTTTACGGTGGTTCCATTAAGCCCGGCTGCGCTTCGATGCAGAACAACGCCGATATCGATATCGTCTCCGCCTTCCAGGCGTACGGTCAGTTCATCAGCGGAGAGATCACCGAGCCCCAGCGTTTCGACATCATCCGCAACGCCTGCCCCGGAGGTGGCGCGTGCGGTGGTATGTACACCGCCAACACCATGGCCACCGCCATCGAGGTCATGGGTATGACCCTTCCTGGTTCCTCCTCCAACCCCGCCGAGTCGGCGGCCAAGAACATCGAGTGTCTGGCGGCCGGTGAGGCCATCAAGAAGCTTCTGGTGGAAGACATCCGTCCCTCCGATATCCTGACTCGCCAGGCCTTCGAGAATGCCATGATTGTTGTGAACATTACCGGTGGTTCGACCAATGCGGTGCTGCACCTTATCGCCATTGCCGATTCGGTCGGCATCAAGCTAGATATTGAGGACTTCCAGAAGGTCTCGGACCGTGTGCCGTTCCTGGCTGACCTCAAGCCTTCCGGCAAGTACGTCATGGCGGACCTGCACAAGATCGGTGGTACTCCTTCTCTGCTCAAGTTCCTGCTTAAGGAGGGCCTGATCGATGGCTCTGGTATGACCGTCACCGGTCAGACCCTGGCCAAGAACCTGGAGAACGTGCCGGACTTCCCCGAGGACCAGAAGATCATCCGTCCTCTGTCTAACCCCATCAAGGAGACCGGTCACATCCAGATTCTCCGTGGCTCTCTGGCCCCTGGCGGTAGTGTCGGTAAGATCACTGGTAAGGAGGGTACCGTTTTCACCGGTAAGGCTCGCGTCTTCGACCACGAGGACGACTTCATCGCTGCGCTCGAGCGCAAGGAGATCAAGAAGGAGGAGAAGACGGTCGTTGTCATCCGTTATACTGGACCCAAGGGTGGTCCGGGTATGCCTGGTACGTGTCCAACCGCCGATCCTGGTTGAAAGAACCATTGCTAACAGTGTTGTGAACAGAAATGCTGAAGCCTTCTTCTGCCCTCATGGGCGCCGGTCTGGGCGGCTCCTGCGCTCTGATCACCGACGGACGTTTCTCCGGCGGCTCTCACGGATTCCTGATCGGACATATCGTCCCCGAGGCTGCTGTCGGTGGACCGATTGGTCTGGTTAAGGACGGCGATGTGATCACCATCGACGCCGTCAAGCGTGTGCTGGATCTGGACGTTGACGAGACCACTCTGGCCGAGAGAAGAAAGCAGTGGGAGGCCGACAAGGAGGCTGGCCGTCTCCCTCCTACCGGTCTGACTCTGCGTGGTACCCTGGGCAAGTATGCTAGGTATGTCGTTCCACCCGATTTTTTCAGCGTGACGTATGCTAATGGTGTTGCTTAGAAATGTCAAGGATGCCAGCCACGGCTGCATCACCGATGCTCTTGACTAAACTGTACAGTGGTGTATGAGATGATTTCTGTATATTGTTTTATAATTACCCTTGTCTTAGGCTGATTGGGAGGATTTATGCTTGCATGGTTGCTCTTGGGAACGGCGATTGAGAACAAAAGCGTCTTAGTTTTGAATAAAGCATGTATTCCATTTCACTTGCTTGTAGCATATCTCTTTCTTCATTCATCTTGTGGCTGCTCTTGGCAGCGATTCTTCCGCGGCTGTTGATGCGGGGAGATGGCGGGGTATACAAGGTAAGTATATCTCTTTACCACGCATCACGGCACGTTCTGACGATATTGCCTATATCAGTCGTTTGATATCGTCCGGTGGATTGAGCAATCAACCATGATCAACTGTTTGAGGCTATGCGAGGACTCACTCCGCTGACGTGCTCACCCGGATGAGGCTCTACTCGATGACAACCTCGGCTTACTAGATCTAAATGACTCCAACTCATTGCAACATAATTGGAGAACATAGTGAAACTAACAGCAATCGGCTTTCCGGCACAGTTGCTTACCAATGTGGACTTGCTGTCTAATTCCGCACATTTGCAATATGAAAAATCCAGGCCTTCTCTCCGATTCTTTCTTCTCCATCAGCCGCTATGGATGACTCTGAGAGTAAGGAGCTGGGAGCCCCAGACCCGGTCATCCATGTCAAAGAGGGCGGCGTTCGCGGCTGGCTGCAAGTCCTCGGTGCATTTTTCATCTTTTTCAATGTCTGGTAAGTGTTCAGCGTGCACCTTGCAGTCCACACCTGACAGCCTAGGGGCCTCACATTTGCCTATGGATCCTTCCAAAGCTTCTACGCCCTCGAATACCTCCCTACGTCGGGGGCGTCCGCCATCGCCTGGATCGGCACGGTGCAGTCGTTCCTGCTCATCGTCTGCGGCGTCGTGAGTGGCCCTCTATTCGACCTTGGATACTACCGCGCCATGATCGCAGCGGGAAGCATCCTCTCCGTTCTCGGGATCATGATGCTCAGTCTCGCACACGAATACTATGCCATCTTCCTCAGCCACGGCATCTGCATGGGGATCGGTTTCGGCCTGCTGTACATCCCCAGCATTGCGCTGGTTAGCCGCCGCTTCACGCGCCGACGAGCCGTCGCCCTCGGCGTGTCGACCAGCGGCGCCCCCGCCGGCGGCATTATCTACACCCTCATGTTCGAGCAGCTGCTCCCGAAAGTGCGCTTCCCCTGGACAGTGCGCATCCTCGGCTTTGTCATGCTGTTCCTCTTCGTCGCCGCCGCCTTCCTCCTGCTATGGGGCACGGGCACCACACACCAAACACAAGGACCGCGCCAGCGGACCAAACTCCTCGATCTGCGCGCGTTTAAAGACCCCCCGTTCTGGAGCTTCACGGCCTCCAACTTCCTCCTCTACCTCGGCTACATGACTCCCTTCTACTACATCCCCACCTACGCCGAGACCAAGCTGCACACCACCCGCTCGCTCGGCCTCTACATCCTGATCATCTCGCAGGCCGCCTCGATCATCGGCCGCGTCGCCACCACCATCGTCGCGCACCGCTACGGCTCCATGCTCCCGTGGATCGCCTGCGGGCTGGTCTCGGGCGTCGCGTGTCTGGCCTGGCTGAGCGTCCACAGCCTCGCGGGGTTTATCCTGTATGCCGCATTTTATGGCGGCATCTCCGGCGCCCTCGTGCCCCTCCCGCCCAGCGTCTTCCCGCATGTCTGTCCCGACCCGCGGGCGCTGGGCACGTGGCTCGGCATGGCGCAGAGTATTAGTAGTGTGTCGACGTTGATCGGGCCGCCTGTCGCGGGGGCGTTGGCGTCGATCGGGGCGAGAGGAAATGCGGATTTGAATTTTACGAATATTAAGCTGTTTAGTGGGGTGGTGATGATTTCGGGGTCGTTTCAGCTGATGGGGTTGTGGTATTTGCTGAGGAAAATGCGGAATAAGAAGGGGTTGTTCTAGCTTATAAGAGACTGTCACTCCAAGACTACCTAGTAGGTATTCGGGCCAACTTGCAGCCCTCTAAGCACACCATCCATCTGTGGACCAACGTCTAGGGGCTACACATGTAAACTCACGATATCAAGGTCATTACTATGTGGGCTACGTGATTGATAACACTATCAGTGGATCGGATTCAGGTACTATACAGATCCAACAATATCTATTAGATTCTTGCCTGCATTTAATATATTCGAAACCTGCCGCTAGTCCATTCTTTACTATTTGCGGTTCATAATCCGCCTGGATGAATCTATCCTTGTAAGCGCTAGCCCTGAACCACCAGAGCAATATATGCAGATAGCAAACAGAACTGGTCTTTTTAGCCGATGAGACTGACATTGGACGAAACCCATACTTCTCCGTGCACTTCAGCAAGCAAAGCTGCAGAGTTGCAACTATTTAATCAATCCATCCAGCCCGCTTGCATAGGCTGCGGAAAACCTTCCAAACATCACTATGTTCTCCTTTTCTACGACCAAACTGTGGACGTTAGTGCTATGTGCACTGACAACCACTCTAGCCCACATCGACACGAACTACCGTATAGACGTCCATTCCCACCCCATCCCAGACATCTGGCTCGATGCCCTAAAAGAAGCCGGACACCCGGTAATCAACGGCTCCCTCATCGTCGAAGGGTTCCACGTCCCTGAGTGGTCCCTCGCAGGACACCTAGCGAGCATGGACGACTACGGACTGAACTACTCCATTTTAAGCATCACCGCTCCGGGCGTGAACTTCCTCGCCTCCAAACCAAAGAAAGCACAAGCTCTCGCGCGGCAACTCAACCACATCCTATACAACTACACCCAAACCCACCCCACAAAACTCGGCGCCTTGTGTCTCCTCCCGCTGCCGAATGTGAAGCACGCACTGGCTGAAATCAACGTATACTCTATATCTTATACTGCACCATGGATGTACCTTACTGACTACGCATGTAGTACTGTCTCGACGAACTCCACTTTGCCGGCGTAGGCCTCTACACCAACTACAACGGGCTATACCTCGGTGACGAGACCCTCGACCCCGTGTTCCACGCCCTGAACGAGCGCAACGCCACCGTCTTCGTGCATCCCACGACCCCGGGCTGCCACGCAGCGACGCTGGGGTACGGCGGCCCGCTGACGGAATATCCCTTCGACACCGTTCGCGCGGTCGAGAATATGCTGCTCACGGGACAGCGGCAGCGGTATCCGAACGTGACTATGATCTTCCCGCATGGCGGCGGCGCGATCCCGTATCTTGCGGGGAGGATTGCGGGCGTCGCTACTCTGGATGAGCTGGGTGCGTTGGATCCTGGATACACGGTGGCCCAGTTGAGAGGGTATTATTTTGATACGGCGGCGGCGTACTCGGCGATCCAGCTGCAGGCGCTGAGGGCCTTTGGGGGCGTTGGGAGGATTGTCACGGGTACAGACTGTGAGTAGGAGTGCACGTGCTGGTGATATTCTGCTGACTGTTTGTTTAGTTCCTTACGTGCCGGTCAACCAGGCGAAGCCGGGGCTTGCTTCGATTCAGGTAAATGGCGGGTTTAATAGCTCGGAGATGGGGATGATCAATAATGGGAATGCGTTGTCGATATTTCCACGGGTCAGAGACAGGCTGGGGCTTTTGTAATAGAGTGAGATGAGATTGACAGGGCGGTGCTCAAGACTGCATGCATTGTGTTCTCGAGATGCATGGGGATACATGCGTCTCCAACAATCCCCGCCTCGGAGACGGTAGACAAAAGTACATCCTCACTCGCATTCGCCAATCAGTCCCCGACACGCAATGCACGGCTGCATGCCTGCATGCAAGCGGGTGCAGCTTCTCCGCACGAAGACAAGCCATCTGCCGCTCAGGGCGAGCGTTTCTGTATCTCTTCATCTCCCTAAAAGCAAAACCTCCCAAGCCATACAACGATACCAATATTTTGACATGATTTCCAAAGCAACCCTTGCTCTTCTACTCTTGAGCGTCTATCTTCTCCGTCTTATAACCAATAGGTTCAAGTCCGGCCTTCGTGATATCCCCGGCCCAACCCTTGCTAAATACACCCGCCTCTGGAAGCTATACAGCGTCTGGAAAGGCAATCACCACACGACCGAGATCAGTCTGCATCGAAAGTATGGACCGCTCGTGCGAATCGGGCCCAACCATATCTCCGTGGGCGATCCAGCCGCCATCCCCATCATATACGGCCTCAACCAGGGCTTTACTAAAGTACACCCCCCATCCCTCAGACCACCACAAGACACTGACCACACAGACGGGATTCTACCCCATCCAATCCATCTCCTGGGACAAAAAACCGCAGATGAACCTCTTCTCCACCCGAGACGAGGCCTTCCACCGCAGCCAAAAGCGCCCCGTAGCAAACGCATACAGCATGACGTCCCTGCTGGAGATGGAAGATGCGATCGACTCCTGCACGCATCTCTTCATGGACCGACTGCGCGCGTTCGCCGCCCACAAGCGCCCCGTCGACCTGGGCACCTGGCTGCAGTACTACGCCTTCGACGTGATCGGCGAAGTCACCTTTGCGAAGAAACTGGGCTTCCTCGAGGAAGGCCGCGACGTCGACGCCATGATGGAATCCATCCAGGGCATCCTGCGCTACGCCAGTCTCTGCGGCCAGGTCCCCGACGCCCACCCGTTCCTCCTGGGCAACCCGCTGTTCCCGATTTTCGTGCCCAGCATGGAGTCGTGGAACCAGGTGCTGCAGTTTACGCTGAAGGTGCTCCATGCGCGGGGTTCGCTGGGCAAGGACGAAGAAAACATGCATGAGCAAAGTCCAGATGAAGGGAAAGATCAGCTCTCCCGGTGGCTGGCCATCCACCGGTCCGACCCAGCCAAGCTTTCCAAGCGCGACATTATCGTGCACACGTCGACCAACGTGTTTGCCGGCTCCGACACGACGGCCATCGCCCTGCGCGCCATATTCTACTTTCTCCTGCGCCATCCGTCCGTGCTGGCCAAGGCGCAAAAGGAGATCGACGCCGCCAACGCCCAGGGCCAGTTCAGTGACCCCATCTCCTACCGCGAATCGGTCACGCATCTCCCCTACCTCGCAGCGGTCTTCAAGGAGGCCATGCGTCTGCACCCCTCTGTCGGACTCATTCTCGAGCGCCATGTTCCGCGACAAGGCGCATCTATCGCCGGGAAGCACATCCCCGGCGGCACGGTGGTGGGCATCAACGCGTGGGTTCTCCATCACAACCCCGCGGTGTATCCTAACCCGGAGGCGTTTGTCCCCGAGCGCTGGTTGGACAGCTCGCCGGCGGCGCTGAAGGCGATGGAGCAGAGCTTCTTTGCATTTGGGGCGGGGGCGCGGACCTGCATTGGGAAGAATATCTCGCTTATGGAGATGCATAAGATCGTGCCGCAGATCTTGAGGGAGTTTGACGTTAGATTGTGTGCTCCGGAGCTGGAGTGGAAGACTCGAAATGTGTGGTTTGTGCAGCAGGAAGGCTTGGTGTGTGAGCTTGTGCCGAGGAGACATTGACCGTTTACTATATGATATGGGATATACAGTATGATTGCAGATGTATCTACGACTATGGAGTAAACACAACATGACCACCCCATCCCGACCGCTCTGCAGCAACCTTGAGAGCCTCCTCAGCAGCTGTCAGTCCAAACTCCTCCGTCTGAGAGACACCTGCCTTCTCGCCCAACGGCAGCACCCCCGCTTCCACCATCTTGACCAGCCGCTCGACATGCTCCCGCGAATACATGAACCGACCCTGCAACCGGATACTCTTCAGCATGACCTCTATATACGGCACCTCGATATTCCCCCCGTACCCGCCCATGATAATGCACCGCCCGAACGGCCGCAGCGCACCCACGCCCGCAGCCAGCAACGCACTCGACGTGACCGCCGGCGGCGAGAAATCCAGATACGCATCCGCGCCCTCACCACCCGCCGCCTCGCGGAACAGCTCACTATTCCTTGCAGGATCATCCGTGACCGTCACCGTTCGCAACCGGTGCCCACACGCAGCGTGGATGCTCCGCAGCGCGGCGAGAGCGCCGGTATTCCGCCCCGCCGCGACGACAGTAGCACCCATCGCCAGCGCCATGCCCACCGCCGCACCGCCAAACCGCCCCGTAGCCGGCGCCACGACGACAATCTCGCCCGGCCGGATATCCACCTCGGACAGCCCGCCAAACGGCACCAGAAACACGGACATCAGGGCCAGCTCCGCGGAGGTGTACCCCATGCTCCGCACGAGGACGTCCTCGTTGAGCGGGAAGAGATTCTCCAGCGGGAAGCTCGCATACTCGGCGTACGAGGCGTCGCGCCACTCGCCGTCCATCAGTTTCTGGGCTGCGGGCGACCCGCCGTGCAGGCCGTGCAGGATCGCGGTGGAGGGCGAGTCCCGTGCGCGGATGGTTGCGTCGCAGAGGACGAGCTGGCCGGGCGTCAGGGAGACGGCGTCCGGGCCGACTTCGCAGACGCGGCCGATGGCACTGTTGCCCGGGGTCATGGGCAGGGAGAGTGGGTAGGGACGTGTGCCGTCGAGCACTTCGTTCATGTAGGGGACTATGTTGGCGGCGAGAATGCGGACCACGGCTGAGCCGGCTTTGGGGACCGGACGGGGGACCGTCTCTAGGACCAGGGGCTTGCCCCGTTCGTGGAAGATGAGAGCGTTGTGGGTGGCCATTGTGAATTGTAGTAGGATGCTCCGGTGGTCTGGTGATGGGATGTAGGGCTCGGTTCTCGTATTTATATTGTAGGTTGCGATGGTATGTCCGCTAAGGCCTAATTCCGAGAAGTTATCGGCAGTAGCAGAGTATATCCGTGCACCAGGCTTATCAGCAAACGGCCTATTGAGCAAAAGAATACGAGCTTTACGAGCGCCTCGCCGTCTGCTGTTCTGGTTCTCGTAGGTGATTAATGCCGTCCGGGCTATGGAATTTGCTCTGGGATTCCGGATACGCATGGCTGACTTATTGGCTATTCCATTATAGGGGAGCGTTACCAGTAATATAACAAACGGGTACCCGCGACGATAATCTGATATGAAGGTGATTCGTGTAAAACCCTAGACAAAGCCGCGGTGGGCTGGAAAGTCTACGAGAGTATCGCGTCGCAGGGCGGTCTCTGGACCGCATCCAACAGTACCCAGCAGCATCCGTGCGCAACATTTGCCTGTGTTGCTGCGTACTACCCGGAACGACCCAAGCGCACCGCCATCATCTAGACCAAGAAAGGCCTAATGAATCGATGCTCAGGAGATCATGCGTTGACGAAGCTGCTGACGAATGCGAACATCCCTACTGATCCCTTCCCCGGCTTCATGGAGGACGCGAGAATGGGCGCGATTGCTTGGGGTTTGCCTTACAAGACCTCTGCAGATCTCGGTTCTAATGGTTCGGATGCGTATGTTGGTGAGGTGCTGTGCCTGGGGATTGACGCAGATCATCATGAAAAACCAATGCCAGGCCATGTGCACTTACTCCATGCGGCAACGGGTGAGGCTCTGGCCTATCTCGACGGAAGCTCTACGTAAGGGATGCGTGAACAAGTCTCGTATCTCGCCCTTTCATTTACTAGTATGCTGGCTTTCCTACCATATCTTATAGGATAGTCCCTGCCTCTGCAGCAGCCTTCACCCATGACTCTCTCTGCTGCAGTCCCCTGAACCACTTCTCCGCGTTCGGATACTTCTTGAAGACTTCTTTCCACCGTCCTGCCATCAAGGCAGCCCCGTTTGGCAAGTGAAAGAGATCAGCCAAGGTTAACTCGTTCCCAGCAAGGTATTTCTGGCTGGCCAGAATCTTGTCATAAACGGCGAGGACGGTTTCAAGGTCCTGTTCAGCCTGCGCAACCCTTGCTTCGTCGGGGGGACCAAGGCCTTTCATTCTGCATGGTCATGAGTAAGTGGGCCTGAGGAAAGAAACAGAGGTATTTAGTGTATACATACGGTTTGATCATGAGCTCAGTTCCGATCGTCTCGGCCGCCGCCGCAAAGTAACTCTGTTCGATTGAACAGGCTTGTTCAAAGCGGCCGTAGGACTCCTCATCGCCCTCGGGAATCAGTTCAGCACCGGAGCGGTATTTTCTATTCCAGGAACAGGTCAGGAGATAAATATTTATCCGAGTTGCGCTCTTTTTTCAGGCAGATCATAAGAGAGAGACCTACCTGGCAAGATACTTGCAAATAGCCCTGCTTTCGAAAATGATGAACCCGTCATCATCCAATACCGGCACCTTTCCAAAGGGCTGCAGTTTTTTGTAGTCCTCGGTCTTCTGGTCTCCCTTCGCGATGTCAATGCGAATCAGCTCGTACGGTAATTCCTTCTCTAGAATCGTGACCAAGACACGGGAGGTGGACATGGCAGAGCCGTAGAGTTTGAGGACCATGTTGCCGGTAGGACGGTTAGAAAAGATGGTAAATTGGTGGTAGAGATCAATACAGATTGGTTGATGGGCAATGATACGAAGTTGCCAGTCGTTGTGTTTCCATCCATCCTCAAAATATCACATCAGGCTTCAATGGGTTGGATTACTTTAGTGCTTATGGAGTACACCAAATCTAGAATTACCGCTCACTGATTGGATAATGTGTCCTGGTGAGTAAGCTGTGGCTTTGTGATCACTGAGCTGTCACTGAGCACTGCTGATTGATCACTGGGCCTGAACCTGAGTGTCCTCCCACCCAGCGGACAGAATCCGGTGTATATGGGGACATATATCTACCCCCTCCTCCAAAGTCGACGGCCGAGTCGAGTTGCCTACTTTCCATACCGCGAGAACTGCTCTCAACTACGATGGCCGATCCACTTTCCATCGCATCAGGGACCGCCGGGCTGCTTTCGTTGGGTATCCAAGTCACCCAGGGCTTGGTCAAGTTTTACGCTACATACAAGGACAGAGACACCGATCTGGAGAAAATTACACGGAATCTCGACAGTCTCCTGAGCATTTTTCGACTTCTCGATATTGCGGTAAACGAACGTCGATCGCAGGCCGATACACAAGACCTCCTCCGCGAAGTAGAGAAGGCGGTCCGGGATTGTGAGGAGACCATCACCGAGCTGCAGAGCGAGTGTGAGAAGTTCCACAAAGACTCGACCGCCAGTTTAAAGGATCGCGTCAGGGTTGCTGGGCGTCGTGCCGCCTACCCCTTTCGGAAAAGCACTCTACAGAAGCTGGAAGAAGACGTCAGCGACATCCGTGAAAACCTGGCGTTTGCACTCGACGTCCTACAGCTTAAGAGCCACAGTCAGATCGAGGATGGCATATCGGAAATCAAAGCACTGATCGAGCGAACAAATGCGTGTCAAGTCTCTTTTACGATTCGTTGCTGGCTTGGGGCGCCGGATGCATCTGTCAACCACAATGCCATCTGCGCGAAGTGCCATTCAAGCACAGGCCTGTGGTTCGTCAACGGCCATCACTTTCAGACATGGCTAAAGGACCGTCATTCCTTCCTCTGGCTGAATGGTTTCGCAGGATGTGGCAAGTCAGTCCTTTGCTCGACCGCAATCCAGCATACGTTTCGCGCGATGAGACAGAAACATGAAGTCGGCATCGCGTTTTTCTACTTTTCCTTCACCGACGAGGCAAAGCAAGATGTTAATGGCATGTTACGCGCGTTGCTGTTGCAGCTATCCGGACAGCTACCGGACGGTGAAAGATATCCAGAGCAACTGCATGCGTTGCATAAATTTGGGTCTCCACCCGTGCATGCGCTGCTTGACTGTCTGCGGTCCGTCCTTGAACGGTTCCGCGATACTTATATTCTATTCGACGCGCTAGATGAGAGCCCGCGTGACTGCAAAAGGGAAGACGTCTTAAAAGCAATCCAAGTGATGCGCCACTGGTCGATACCCGGTCTCCATCTTTTAGTGACGAGTCGCAATATCGTAGATATACGCGTATCGTTACGTCCGTCTAGTGACGAAGATCTTCCGCTGAGGAATTCGGAAATTGACAGAGACATATCAAACTTTGTCACTTATCAGCTCGAGAATGATCCGAAGCTCCAGAAGTGGAAAGAACGCCACCACGAGATTAAGGCAAAATTGACCGCCAGTGCGCAAGGAGTGTAGGTGTTTATCAACTATGAATCAGTCTCCCCCATTCTGACCAGGATCACATACAGGTTCAGATATATCGAATGCCAGTTTAATGCCCTTCGCCGGGCAAAAAACCGGAACCAGCTTGATGAATGCCTGTGCACATTGCCCCGTGATCTTGATGAAACATACGAGCGAATCTTGTGCAGTATCGATAGTGACTACGTTGAGGATGTGCGAAGGGTTTTGACTGTGCTTTGCTACTCTTGTCGACCGGTCACTGTGAAGGAACTGATCGACGCACACGCTGTTGATTTAGGCGAGCAACCGCATCTCGATCGTGACGGCCGTTCGTACGAACAAGACGATCTTGTGGATATCTGCCTTGGTCTTATCGAGATCGCATTTGTGGAAGATGACAATGGGCAGCCTACCTTGATTGTTCGCATAGCATATTTCTCTGTTCAGGAGTATCTCCAATCGGACCGCATCTTGCAACAAAACTCAAGAATATTCGCTATGCAAAGGGCGACTGGAAATACGGAAATAGCCCTTATATGTGTCGTTTACCTTATGGAGCCAGCTCTCTCGGAAGAGCCGTTAGATGAGACGAAGCTCACGCTGTTCCCCTTTGCTCGCTTTGCAGCCACGCATTGGTTTTCTCACTACGCAACCTCCGGGGAAGGGAAGAGAAAGGTTGAACCGTTCGTGCTGAGACTTTTCAAAGACGAGATGATGGCTTTTATAACATGGATACGGCTACATGATATGGATCGTCCCCAGCTAAATCGACCGGACTATGATCGGCCTATGACGAAAATTGCGTCGCCAATATACTACGCAGCCTTGCTGGGATTAGAATTCGTCTTGAACAGTATATTACGGGCTCACACTGACAATTCAAAGGTATCAGAAATCGTGAACGCAAAAGGTGGATCCCATGGCAATGCACTCCAGGCCGCTTCAGGCGAAGGGCATGAGAATGTAGTGCAGATGCTGCTGGATCGAGGTGCTGATATCAACGCTCGGGGTTCATTCTATGGAAATGCACTCCAAACCGCCTCACTACAAGGTCATAGCAATGTGGTATATATACTGTTAGATCGAGGTGCCGATGTTAACGCTCAAGGTGGATCCTTTGGCAATGCAGTCGTGGCCGCTTCACTACAAGGCCACGAGAAGATAGTGCAGATACTGTTGGATCGAGGTGCCGATATCAGCGCTCGGGGTGGATACTACGACAATGTGCTTCAGGCCGCTTCATATGGAGGCCACGAGAAGATAGTGCAGATACTGCTCGATCGAGGTGCCGATATCAACGCTCAGGGCGGATTCTATGGCAATGCACTACAGGCCGCTTCATATGGAGGCCACGAGAAGATAGTGCAGATACTGCTCGATCGAGGTGCCGATATCAACGCTCAGGGCGGATTCTATGGCAATGCACTACAGGCCGCTTCAGATGAGGGCCACGAGAAGGTGGTACACATACTGTTGGACGGAGGTGCCGATATCAACGCTCAGGGTAGACTCTATGACAACGCACTCCAGGCCGCTTCAAACAACGGCCGCAAGAAGGTGGTGAAGATGCTGCTGGATCGAGGTGCCGATCAACGCCTACGGTAGAATCTATGGCAATGCACTCCCGGCTGCTTCACTACATGGCCATGAGAAAGTGGTGCAGATCCTGGTGGACAGAGGAGCTGTCCTGCATATCAGAGATCCTAGAAACCAGCTCACGCTGCTATCACAGGCAGCAGAGAAAGGGCACGATTTGATCACTAAACTTTTGCTTTGGGTTCAACAAGAGGGATAATTGTGGTGAGACCACTATCCTACGCAGCCTGGCGGGGACACAACGCCGTTACCAAGGCAATTCTGACCAATAACTCTGTGGATCCGGACCAGAAACATAGATCACTACGGCTCAACGTCGCTATCAATCTTTACTTCTTTACTACTATCTTCCAATTATTATACTACTATATAAAATACTGCAGATTAGTCATAATGTGTCGAAAGAATGCGATTTACGCAGGCCTGCATAGCCTCCCTACGGCCTGTTTTTTTCTCTATTTTTTTCTTTTTTTCTATAGCCTATCCTACGGCCTATCCTACCCTGTATTCGCACCTGCTAATTTACCTGCCTACTAGCCTGCCTGCGAACTACCTGCGAACTGCCCGCGAGACTGCCTGCGAGACTGCCTACAAAATTGCCTATTTAACTATTTACTTAATAGATAGATAGTTTAGCAGGTGGTTTTGTAGGTGGTTTCATAGGCGGTTTAATAGGTGGTTTGACAGGTGGTTTGACAGGTGGTTTGACAGGTGGTTTGACAGGTGGTTTGACAGGTGGTTAATCTGGTAATATGCCTATAGAGCTACCCCCCAGGCCCTTTTTGCATGACTAATCGGCCCGTAGTTAAACACAAGCCGCTGAGCGAAGCGAGGGAATACGGCTTATTGTCCCTGATAAGCGGCACCCCCATCTGCCGAACATTTCAATTCTTGCGAAGCTTTTGATTAGCAACGATCTATCTCTTTTTGTCTTCTTCGGCAGGGTACTAGATCAATCAGCTAGCCACAAACTTGCTAGTGCATGATAGGAACTGGGGTATAAAAGCAAAACAGAATGCCACCAACACTCCTCAGCCTCCCGAGCAAGCTTCTCCAAGCTATCGCGGACCAAGTCTCCTTCGAGCACGACCTCAATGCTCTCACTCAAAGCCACCCTCGACTTGATGAAATCCTAACTCCCTACATTAGAGCTCGCAAGGACCGCCAGGAGCGCAGTAAGCTCCTCATCTTCGCCATAAAAAGCTCCAAACCACCTCAGCTGTCTCAGCTGCTGCTCCGAGATGGCGCCGACCCGACAGTGCGAGTGGAAATGGAACAAGGCAAGACGGCGCTTCATTTTGCCGCGGAGACAGGGCAGACCGTGGTTGCGCGCGTCTTACTAGCCCATCAACGTAGCCTACTAGACATCCGTGATGGGATAGGGCAGACACCTCTCATGTGTGCCGCCAAGGGTGGTCACGAAGCCGTGGTGCGCACACTGCGTTCTACAAAGTATGGGCCGGCAGATGTAGCCTTGCGTGACTGCAAGAAGCGGAGTGCTCTCTGGTATGCAGCCCATGGTGGCAATGTCACTATTGTGCAGATGTTGCTGGATACAGGAAAGATTGATCCCAAGTGTGCGGATTTTGATGGGCTAACTCCATTTGCATGTGCTGCGCGTGAGGGTCATTGTGAGGTGATGCGGTTGTTGCTCTCGGAAGGGGTCGACCCAGACTGTCGGACGCATATTGGGAAAACACCCTTATACCTGGCTGCGGGAAAGGGGAGGGAGAAGGCTGTGCAGTACTTGCTGGCCCTCAGTCGGGAGGGCCGCGTGGATCCTGACTCGAGGACTGTTTTTGGGGAAACGCCGCTACGAGAGGCAGCCAGGGGGGGGGGGTCATCCGGGGGTTGTCCAGCAGCTCTTGGGGGTAGAGGGAGTCAATCCCGATCCCGTCGATCAACTACATCGCACTCCGCTGATAGTAGCAGCGCTATATGGGCATGCCGAGGTGGTTCAGCTATTGCTGGCGACAGGCAAGGTGCAGCTTAATGCCAGGGATAGAAGCGGAATGACACCTTTAATGTGGGCGGCGAAATGCCGGCGGATTCCTGTTGTCAAGCTCTTGCTATCAACAGGGCAGGTGCAGGTCGATTTCGATCTGAGAGAGTTGAGGAAGGGGGCCTCACTTTTTGGATTAAGAGAAGAATCGGATCTGCCTCTTCTTGAGCTTCTCAATGCGTACAAGAGAGACAATTCATAGCTGGAACCAAACCTACTTCTGGAAGGACAACGTTAATGTTTCTGACTGTTGGTGTATCTGTCAACCACGATGCCACCTGCGCAATGCCATCCAAGCACAGGTCTGAGGTTCGTCAACGGCCAATACTGTCAGATATGGCTGGAGGACCGTCATTCCTTCCTCTAGCTGGATGGTTTCGCAGGATGTCATCAGATGAGATCGATCCGACCCGACAGAGAACTTATCTTGCCGAATCACAGACGGGTAATCCCCCGAGTGTGTTGCGAGGGTCGAGGGCTTACACCATCTCTAGCTGCTCCAGCGGGCCAGTGAATCATCTAATCGCGTCTGTCAGTTGGGCATGCCTCCATAAGACGGTGACTGCAGAGCATATGCCATAACTGGCTGCATAGTTTGTCAGATTAATAATTCGAGGAAATTCTGTTTCATAATTCGCATGACAATTCGCATAAACGAACACTGGTATCATTGCATAATCGCCTATTCAGATCAGATCAAATATACGAGTATATTCCAACCTTAACTACCACGTCCGTCGCATCCTCGTCCACACCCGCACAAACTCCTTCTTCTCGGCCACTCCCAGCCCAACTCGCTTGACTCGTCCCAATCGAGCCAGCGAATCCGCAACCTGGTTCAGCAGCGCCTGCTCGCTGGGCGTGGGGGTGCCCGTCTCCGACGACGACCCATTCGTCTGGTCGCTGTCCAGAATATCCAACAAATTAGTGTCGTAGGTGGATCGGCGCGCGGGCTTTGCCGGGGCATCAGTCCCATTGCGTCCAGTGACTACCGCCTCGGCCACGCGAATCCGCATCCAATGGCACCAGTTGCTCATCAGGGCCCAGGCGAAGCTTAGATAAGTGCCAGGAAGAGGAGTCACGATGTCGACGGGGGTGTAGCGCAGACTGACAGGGAAGATCCGGGTGTTCGGCGGGGCGCTCAATAGACAGGGGCTAAGAGGGAGGATGCCGCGCGCATTGGTGGTGGTGCACTCGGGGAAAGTGACGATGGTGCGGCGGGGGTATTTCCGGATCAAAGTGGCCAGATCCACCAGCTGGGCGCCCGGGGGCGGGTTCACCTGGGGGGCGGAGAACGCGCGGAGAATCGCCTGCAGGAGAGAGATGTGTTCGACCTGGCGCGAATTCGGATACGACGCGGTGAATATGGGATCGAAGATGAAGGCGAGGTAGATGGCGTCTATTGGGGAGGTGAAGGAGGAGGCGATCACGTCGCCGGGACCGGGCATGGTATCATGGCGTTGTTTGGAGAGGGAGCCTTTCCGTACGCCGTCCACCTGAAGGTCGTTCCATATAATGGTCGATGCGCCCAGGATCAGTGCGAGACAGGATTTCTTGAAGTAAAAGCCGAGTGGAAACCACTGGATGAGGAGGAAGTAGCCGATACATAGGAAGATGAGGATCGGCAGGCGGAAGCAGAAGAGGCAAATGTTGACGGGAAGCCAGAGGCCTTTGGAGGGGGAGGGAATCGGGAGAAAGGGGGCAATCCCGGATCCTGGACGGTAAGCTGATGCTCTGTATGGAAGGGTTTATAGACAACGGAGGGGCATACCTCGATCCCGAAATAGGGTGAATTTCTCCATGCTGAGGTGAGGGTGAAATCAGCGGACTCGACAGGGGGTCATCGTGGGGAGATCTTGAAAAAGTACTCGGTGGCTGTCGCGAGTAATGACACAATCGACAGAGGTCAGTGTCGGTGTTGGGCGACGCGATGGTGGTGGAGAGGGTGGAATATCGGATTGAGAGAGGAGTGAGGAAAAGAAGATGATTACGAAGATGATGACGATCGACCTTCACATGCCAGTCACATGTCTAGCCGCTTTGGGTTAGCCCAGTTCTATACTATCAACACCAACACTGCTTCATGTACTTCTCATCGTGATAATCTGGGACAATATGCTATATATGGACCATATGGGTTTACATACCATCTAATATCGCCAGCTAGGTGACAGCACTCGTGGTATATCACGAAGGCCCACGATCCCTTGATGCATGGTAGTGCTCGGAGTTATATACCATCCATGCACTAGTAACCTCTATTTACTGAAAGAAAAGCACACAACCATCCTCGCAGAGAGTGATACGTCGCTCGCATCTTTGCAGCAATTTCTGCCCAGAACACGTTGTTCCTCGGCATTGTACCCTGTGAGGCCCAAGGAAATTCCTCTGGCACGAATCCCTCTTCCGTAATGCCATTTCCAAAGCTCTCGTACGCATGGTTCTGGAATTGTAGGTCAAAATCTTCCCAGCGTACAATCTCCGTGGCAGCAAAATAATGGAGCACCGTTCCAGGCCACGGGACTATCACTCTGCCGTCCCGGTTTTTATCTATAGCCGTCAGTACCTCCTTCGTCGATGTGGTTCATTATACTCACACCATGAGTTGCAAGACCCGGACCACACCATCGCCGGCATTCTGCTTTGCACCCACTGGTTGAACCTCTGCTGGGCCTCGAACTTGACACAAACGGACCGCAAGCTATCGGTTTGCAAGCGGCTTATTACTCGGACCATATAATTCGCTGCTCGTTCAATACCCGGGATCGCTGATCCGTTGACGGGGCAAATAGGGGGATTGAATGCTACAACAGTGAGCTAAATATCCGACAGGGAGAAGAATGTCGTACTGACCGAAGAAGTTGGGAAACCCAGCCACCATGGATGCCATGTAGCTCTCGCATGGGCCCTTTGGATGCCAACACTCGTTCAATGAATATCCATCCCGCCCTATGACAGGGAACCGTGGTTGGTAGGGCTCAAACCCGGTTGCAAACACTACTATATCGCATGGATACGATTTTCCGGTTTGAGTGATCACGGCATTCTGGGTCAACCGTACAACATTGTCGCGCACAGGAGTGATGTTCGACTCCTGCAATGCGCGGAGATAGTGTCCTCCGGGCGTGAACCGACGGCATCCCGCTTCAAAGTCTGGGATGAGCGCATCTTGTAGAGATGGATCACGGATGCTAGATTCCATGAATGAACGAGCTTGTGCTGTAAATTGAGCTTGGGCTGATGTTCCTTTCCACAGCCCACGGAAGCCTCCAGCAAGCTTCTGCTCCAGTGCCATTCGATGGTCGTGATACACGCCTGGACGGTGTTTGAAAGATTCTATCTCCGCACGTGTGTCTTGGAACTTGTCAGCAACGCTGCGCATCCAATTTGAGGGGCACTCACAGTCTCGCTGGATAGAGCCATTCTCCGAAAAGACATGAGGTGTGATCCATGTCGGTCCACGGAAGATGTTTACAATACTCTTCGCGACTTGTTGAGGTCAATGGGGGTAGCGGATGGATGCTGGCTTCAACCCACCTGGTTGCAGAGCAGGCACGCACTGCACGGCACTGGCTCCATTTCCTACCACCACAACTGTCTTCCCCTTGACATCTAGGGTTGTAGGCCAGCTCGCGGTATGCACCAAATCACCTTGGAACTCGTGTATACCTTCTATGTCGGGGAGTCGGTAGTTGTTCAGTCGCCCGACAGCATAGATCAGGATATCCGATCCAACCGTCTGCGTCTCTTTCGACTGTACATTTTCAAAGACAGTCGTCCAACGAGCAGTGCTTTCTTCCCACTGTGCCGAAACGCACTTCCAGTTAAGCCAAATGAATCGGCGCAAATTATGCTTCTCTACCGTGGATTCCAGATACTGCTGGATCTCGGGAGCAGGGGCGTACAGCTTGGACCATTTCGGATTGGGATTCCAGCTGAACTGGTACGTATGTGAAGGCACATCGCAAGTGCAACTACCAAAGTCAGCGGAGAACTTGTGCATGCAGGGAGGCATACCCTGGATATCGATTCTCGTACCAGGTCCCCCCAACACGCGGGTTCTTATCCCTGATTTCTAGGTCGATGTTAGGAAGGCTCGATGTGATTTCATGAGCGATCTGGATTCCAGAAATCCTGATCGAAACTGTTTAGTGTGCGGGATCTGAGGTTGGCGATCCAGATTTAACCCACCCAGCGCCAATGACAACCACTTTCAGCGGACGATGCAGGAACGAAGTCGGCTTGATATCGGTCATGGTCGAATGTAGGCAAGAGTGCCAAAATGGCGGTTGCTCTTCTGCGTTACTAGTTACTCCTATATAAAGGTTCCCTGGAAGCATGGCTTTGATCGGTACTAGGTACTTATTTAGGGTTCGCCAATCTTGTACGCTTATGCAGGTTGACCGATCCGGCCGGCATTTGGCACCAGATGACTCTGATCTGCATGAACCACATGCATCTATGCGTAAGTAATTGGCTTTTAGTGGCCCTCCCAGCGTCTGGATCGGGCATGGCTGCATGTTGACATCAAACACATCTTGCATCCACGGATGTTACGCAAAGATGACCCGGTAGATAGTCGATCACCAAGCAGCACCCTGTTTGCACGAACTATAAAAGTATATCTGCGGGTATAGCCAGTCATAGCTGATCTTATACTGTCCACAGACCTCTAAGTGAATGCCTATTACGACCGGATGCATCGTCCAGAGCCAGGTATGACAATGCGATGGGTTGGCCAATTCGTCAGGTCCACGTAGCAAATGCATACCGACTAAGCGCTAGCATATCCCGACCCCTAGTGCATATATCTTCTGTCGAATCCTGCACCCCCTCCTGGAGGGTCGAAGCTTGCACATCGATGACCACTTGCAACTCACAAGTACAAACATGGACAACCACTATCGAGACGGGAGATCCATCAGTGAATTCACAGGAGCGATGTCTCGTCCTGGAAAATCAATCATGGAGCAATTCACCGACATCGTCGAGCAACATCCTGACAGCATTGCTCTTGTCTGCACTCACCAACCCCCGGGACTGTATGATCTTCCAAACGCTGCGTTAGAAGACACGCAACCATACCTCAGATGGACCTATTCCACCCTTGGGGAGGCTGTGAAGCGTCTTGCTAGGGGCCTTGCTCTGAACGGCATAGTTGCTGGGACTCCCTTCTTCGTCTTATGCCAGAACCAGGCAGAGTATATTGTTGCGGCCCTAGCAGCCTATTCGATGGGGCTGGTCCATATCCCAATCAGCCCTCAGAATTTGTCGAAAGTCAGGGAAATGCAGCACATGGTAGATACGGTCATCGGATATCAGTCCGCAGAGCGGTGTGCGATTCTCGCTGCGACGGACGCGGATGCGCGTAAAGTCGACGAGCATCTGTCTCTCCCTGAGAACTCGCTCAAAATACTATGTGATACTAGGGAGAACCAACCGGGATGGGTGCCTATATCTTCCCCTCTCGATGCCGACCCCAACGGAGATGAACAGCAATGCCCCTCCACCGAGTCGGAAGAAATATCAATTCTCTTTACGAGCGGCACCACATCAGCGCCGAAAGGCTGTGTGATAAAGCCGGCTCGATGGCTCAACAACCTCTGCGCTTCACTGAGCCTGGGCTCCGTTTCGCCGTCAGACAGTGTTGCAGTCCCCGTTCCAGCCAACCATGCCTTCGGGTTTATTTGCACGATGCTGCCATTGATTCGAGGCGCCTGTGTCGTATTCCCCGGGGCAAAATTTGAGCCACGAGCCACGGCAGAGGCTCTACACCAAGAGATGTGCACTCATGTCGCCATGGTTCCGACCATGGTCTACGGTCTGGAGGATGCCTTGGAGGCTCCCGAACTCACCATTGAAAGAGTCAAGGTGGCAATCTTTGCCGGAATGACAACTACATCCGAAATATTCAGGCGGTGTCAGAGCTGCCTCAACGGCTGCCAGATTGAAAACTACTTCGGCATGACAGAGGGTGTGTTCTTGTGCACCGGTGCGACGAGCGACCTAGCGAACATCATCAAAGACGAAAATGTGGCTATTGGGAGGCCTGTCTGCGGATCCGCCGTTCGAATATGTGCACCGGACGAACAATGTCCTCTTCCCGTTGGGGAATCTGGGGAGCTCCATTACTCCGGGGATTCGCTGATCTCTTCGTATCTCAATGCCGATGGGGAGGAGTTCTACGAGGCAAACGGCAAGACATGGTTTCGAACGGGCGACAGAGTATTTGCAGACGAGGACGGCCAAGTTTTTTTCCACGGCAGATACAAAGACTTGATTATCCGCGGAGGTGAGAATATCTCGCCTGCGAAGATCGAGTCCGTTCTGTCCGAAATGCCCGAGTTTCGTTCGCTGCACCCTCAGATCATCGCAGCGCCCGATGCTATAGCAGGGGAGACCCCGATGGCTGTACTCAACGCAGAGATCAGCGATGATCTGATAACGCGCATGTCAGCCGTCATTCAGTCATCCCTTGGAGTCTCGCATGTCCCATCTAGCGTGGTATCGCTACAGTCCCTGGGTTTGAGCGATTATCCGAAGACGGCTCTGGGAAAGGTCCAAAAATCGAAGCTCAGGGAGATCGTGACTGAGTATAGCCACCCACGTGCGTCCGGAAGCGGAGAGCGCCCAACATCCCAGTCTGGTGTAGAGCACCAACTTAAGAAGGCATGGGCCAGCGTTCTGGGGAAGAAGTTGGATGATATCGATGTGACAGTCCCTGTGTCGCAGTTCGCCGACAGCATCATCCTGCAGAGCGTCCGAGGCGCTGTTCAGAGAGACACGGGACGGCATGTTCCGCTATCGCGATGGCTAGCTGCGTCCAACATTGCAGATCAGGTCCAGCTTCTCGAAGCCAGCGATCCACGCGGCAAAGGACCGGTGACCCAAACACTGACAAACAAGAGCCATTGCCTCGGAGCTGATGACATGGTCCATACAGGTGGGAGTGAGCATGTGGCTGAGGCAACGAGGACAGCAATTGAGAATACCATTGGGAAATACAATCTTACCTGGACTGATGTTATGGAGGTAACCCCCTGCATTGATTTCATTCAGACAATTTGCAGGACACAAGTCGTCAATACCTGGAATATACGCACCCTGATCATCACGAACAATGCAACTGCTGCAGTGAGCACACTTGAGTGACCTGGTAAGTAGCTTGCTGATAGACATAGGAACTTCGTGAAGCGGCTGTGACGACAATAAAAAACAATCCACTACTTCTCTCTTTTATGATCGTTGATCCCGAGCTCATTAATCCCGAACTGGGCCTATACGCTATCATCCGCCCCGAGGCAATCCTGGATCAATGCGTTCTAGAGTATGGCGCGGTAGACACATTGGACGATGCTCGAAGGCTCAACATGAATTATCCTTTCCCCGACCATACCCTACTCCCAGGGCCGTTATTCCGTGCTCTGGTATTCTTTGTTCAGGAAACTCAGTCGGCCGCGCTAATAACGAATAGTGGGTGTCTGTGTCTTTACCGCAGGACATATCGAGAAGCTAACGATGGAGTAGTCTCTCATTCCATACTGGAAGCCGTGTACCACCGATACTTGCATGACTGCATCGACTCCGCATTGGGCCGGAATCCCCTCCCCCAAAGCATCAGCTTCAATGTCTGGGCTGACAGCTACCATGCATTGCGCAAGTCTCCCAGTGCTGAAACAGCGGTCAACGTCCATGTCGAATACTTGCACGACATACACGAGCACGTCCATGCACTGTGGCCGTATCCAACACACGAGCTAACAGTCTCGCCCGAGCGTGCCGATCAGGATGGACACATAGTGATCTTCACAGCGCCTTCGTTTGTCCAGCTCCGGGAAAGACACCCGCAGGTCACCGCCCCGGTGATTCTCAAAGCAGCACTCGCGCTTCTGGCGATATCTCACACGAACCACACGCATGCATTGTTCCTGAACCTAGAAGCAAATCGCTCCACATTCCCATTTCTTCCCTCCTCATTAGCAGCGCAGACGGGGCTGGAAGCGGCAAATGTCGCAGGGCCAACATTTAGCGGCGTGTTGAATCTCATCCCTTTCCAGCCAGAGCAGACGGTCATCGACTACCTTCTGCACATCCAGCAGGTCCAAGCCATGCTATCCGCGCATGCAAACGTGCCATGGTACGAGGTGTTTCGGAGACTCGGGCTCCCCGCCCACGAGATCCTACCCCAGGTTGCAGAGTCTCTCATCTTCAACTGGATGCCGGGCCTCGGCTCCGCTGTGTTCGGTGAGAACCCGTTCCGGAATATGAGGGTGGCACAGACTCATATCCGCACCAAACTCGGGCTGTTGGCTAGTGCAGGCGCCGGGGGTCCGGATGGGAGTAATATTGTGCTGTTCTTGCAGGGCGCAATCGCCAACTGTTCGTCGGTGTGGGTTGAGAAAGTAGCGGAGGACTGGAAGAAGATTGCACTGTGGCTGGCGGCGGAGGAGTCGTGGACCTTGCCAGTTGCTCGCTTTGCGGATTGCTTAGCCTAGCTGAAGTGTCCAGATGTCGGCGGAGTGTTCCATGGTTCTTTAGATGCATATCTCGCTTGCTCTTGGCATAGATCGGACACCCCATCCGGTTAGTCCGGCTGCCCGAAGTATAAAATCCTACCCTCCCTTCAACACCATCAACACCTTCCACAGACCATCTCAATCTCGCTGCTGCTCATCACCATGTCTCCAAGCACACAAAACATCTACGACAACAACGACTTCTTCAAGTCATACGCCACTCTGCAACGCTCGCAACAGGGCCTCGCCGGCGCCAAAGAATGGCCGATCGTCCGCGACATGGTCCTGGGCCCGCAGCGCAGCATCAAAGACTACAAAGTCCTCGACCTAGGCTGCGGATACGGCTGGTTCGCGCGGTGGGCGCGGGATGCCGGCGCAGCGCACATCACCGCTGTCGATGTCTCCAAGAACATGATCCAGAAAGCGCGAAACTTCGAGACGCAATCCCCCGCACCAGAAACGCCAATCTCGTACGGCATTGCCGATCTTGAAACCATCACGCTGGCCAGCGAGTCCACGCAGTACGACCTGGTGTACAGCTCCCTCACCTTCCATTACATCCACGATCTTGGCAGGCTCTTCCGCCAGATCCGCGGCTGTATCCGGCCCGGCGGACGGCTGGTCTTTTCTGTCGAGCATCCCATCTGCACGGCGCCTGTTGTGCCGGGACCGGCGTTTCAGCGTTCCGCGGAGACGAAGGACGGTGCGGAGGTGGAGGCCGCGTTCTGGCCGCTCAACTCGTACTGCGAAGAAGGGCCGCGGTATACCAGTTGGCTGGGGACGGACGGGGTGCGGAAATACCATCGCACGCTGGAGTCGTATCTTGCACTTCTGCGGGAGAGTGGGTTTGCACTGACGGAGTTGAAAGAATGGACAGTGTCCCGCGAGGATGTGGTGCAAGAGCCAGAGTATGCGGTCGAGCGACATCGGCCGTATTTTCTTCTGGTGGCGGCTGAGGCTGTATAATTCCCTGCCGGGATCTCAGGATTTTTCAAAAGTCTAAGTCTATGGAAGATAACTATATACAAGAAATAAATGCACACTCAGATTTCACACTCTTCTTTCTCGGCATCGTCCCCCGTCGACGGCAACCGGAACATCCAGATCGCCACGCCCACGAACACAAACGCCGTGCTGGTCATCATCCACGCCAGCCCGATCCACACGCCGCCCAGCTCGAGCCCGATCTGGAAGACGGCCGTGATGGCCAGACTGGCGATGACGTTGCCGACGGACTGCAGCACCTCGATGATGGTGAACAGCCGCGCCGTCTCCTCGCGCTCGACGAGCGTCGTGATCAGCGACCTGGTGAGGTATACGAAGCCCGAGCCGGCGGTCTGCAGCAGGAGACTGGGGACGAGGGCGGCGATGGAGGGCGACAGGCCGATGCCGAGGGTGCCGGCCGCGAGGAAGATGATGCTGGCGCGGGCCAGCTGCAGGTCCTTCTTGTTCGTGGGCATGGTGCGCAGCAGGTAGCGCGAGATGGCGGGGAGGACGATCAGGAACAGCGGGATGGTCAGGGCGGGCTTGAAGGACATGAGGAAGTTGGCCTGCGCCAGGGACCAGTCGTAGCGCACGGAGATGTACTGGATCAGGAACCAGGACGAGCCGCGGCTGAGGCGGTAGACGAGGAAGGCGGTAAGCAGCAGGGTGATGCGTTTGTTTTTGATGATGAAGGCGTAGGGGGAGAAGTAGGTGCGGGATTGCGCTCTGAGGGAGTGCAGGATGGAGGATTTCGAGAAGCGGTTGGACTGGTAGGCATCGCTGTCGATGTTGAAGCTGTTCCGGTCGTACTCCTTGCTGAGGACGCCCTTCCGCCCATCGCTGGCCAGCGAGAGTCGGGCCATTTCGAGATTAGTCCCCTTCTCCGATGGTCGTGGAAAGGCATGCATCGTCTCGGGCAGCGTGAGGGCGAAGAGCATGCCGACAAAGACCACCGCCCATCCGATCAGCAGCGGAATCCACGGGTCAAAGTCCATCAGCCAGGAACTGGCGGCTGTGGAGGCGAAATCAGCGCCCATACTGGCGACGCCGAATTTGAAGAACATGGCGGCCCTAGACAGTCAGCATACATCGCACGATCCCATTTTATGGATGAACCATACCTCTCTTCTTCGGTGGTCACGTCCGACATCATGGTCCAGATGATGGCAAACGCCACGACCGGGCCACCACCGAACAACCACGCCAGACACGACACCCAGACGGCCCGCAGCGGAAACACGTCCGAGTACCACATGACGAGAAACATGATGATGCAGTTCAGGGCGAAGCCGGGGATGCTGAGACATAGGGTTGGCTTGCGGCCGCGGCGGTCCGCGAGGAGCCCATACGGGATAGCCAGAAAGATACCTGTAGCAATGGTCAGCATACGTCTTTACATCCAAACAAGATGCACTCGGCATGCGCCATGTGGTGCATCCGTTAATCACCACCTACTGAGTAAGCCATCAAAAAACTCCATGTACCCCTTGACGGCGGCCAGCTCGGTCTGGACCTCCTTGATCTTGCAGAGACTCTCGCTGACCTCGCCGTTGGCTCCGATCTGGCGCGGATCGTTGGCGGCAAAGTACTCGCGACAGGCGATGGATTCATAGATGCGCGTCATGGGGCCGCCGGCCATGACGACGCCGACTTCGACGGCGAGAATCATGGCGAATAGCGTGACCATCAGGCGGAAGCGGAGTTTGGGGTCGATCACCCTGGGCGTCTCTGTCTCTGCGCCATGTTTCTCGTCTAGCTCCGGCTCATCGTGGTGCTTGGGGGTGTGGCTGCTGGAGGGGAGAAACGGGGCGTCTTCCCGGTCAAAGTCGCTTGGTTCAGGGGGCATGGCTGCGATGGACCATTGCCCGGTAGAAAGTGATGGCTATAGAGAGAGGCTAGTTGAATGGGTTTACATATGGACGGCAGTGAGCATGGAGAAGAGGGAGGAGATGTTAAAGGGGAGAATGAAGTTGGGTTGTTTGGAGGTACCTCGGGGTGCTCCGGATGGCCCAAAAGGACAGTCTGATGAATTATTGAAGCCGCAGGATCCACTGCACAGCCCAGAGTGAGTTAGTGGTTTGAGATGGTAGCCTGGAATAAGAATAGAAATCAGAGAGTCTGACAGGAGGCAGTGTTTGATCTACGGCTTCTGGCTTATGTATATCTTGTGTGGTTATAGCTTCCGTATACTTCCTACAGCAGTCCATGGTAAAGAACAATGTCGTTCATTCATCGAAGTCTTTATTCTGCTTTATTCTTTATTCTTTTTTGGCTGCTGCTGACGTACACCAGACAGCCCCCCTGATTGGCACACAGAGACAATTGGATAGTCTGTATCGCCATCACCTACCAATCAGATGCTGCGAACGACCCACACCACGCGGCCGAAGTCAGGGGAACCCTGTCAATATGCCGCCTGTTATTGGTTGACAGCCTCCCCTTTGCTGCCCTGCCAAATCGGGCAATCAACTACTCCGTCGCCCAAATGGCTCAAACGGCAAGATGGCCGCAATAATGGCCATCACGATGTACAGCGCTGCGCAGGTATAGATTGGCACCGACGTGGTGGTCTGCAAGAGTCAGTACATCAACCGGAAACGGGTACACAGGACTAACATCAGCCGCATCTCCCACCACCGCACTCACGATTCCCATCACGCGGTTCAGCGCAATCGCAACGCCGTTTCCAGTGCCTCGATGCGCCGAGGGGAAGACCTACACTGTCAGTGATGTCGCTTCCTGAGAACAAGGCCAGTAGGGTGGAGCGAAGTACCTCTGGGGTATACGCATACAGCGTCCCATAATACACGTTCAGGCAGAAATTGATCGTACACGTGAATCCCACATTCTGGCTGGCCGTGCGCACCTGCGTATAGCAGAAGAAAAAGACCATCGTCACCAACGCCCCGATGATCATCGTCCCGCGACGGCCCCAGAACCACCGCGAACGGCACATGAACCCCGCCAGCACCGGGCCCCAGATACTGCACATGTTGGTGATCGCGTAGTTGCGCCACGTGATGTACGGGCTGTCCTGCCCGAACTCGGCGCCGCGCGACTGCAGATACACCGGGAGGAAGACGTTGAAGAGCGGGTAGGCGAGTCCGATGAGCAGCCATGACAGCCACACGAGGCTGGTCGAGAGCGCCATCTTCCGCGTCGCGTACAGCCCCTTGAGGTGGAAGCGCACCTCGCGGAGAGAGACCAGGCGCTGGGTGAGTGCCATCGTGCTGGTGTCGCGCGGGACGCTTGGTCCGCAGGCTTGGAGTCGTTCAAGGGTGAGGCTGCAGGGCCGGTTGTAGCGCGTGGCAATCGTCTGCAGCACGCGCACCACCTGCTCGTCTTTGCCTTCGGACAGGAGGAACTTGGGGGTTTCTTCCAATCGGACGACGGTCACCCGCAGAATGGACAGGACGAATACAAACGCCCCGGACGCGAACCAGACGTAGCGCCAGCCTTGGTTATTCTCCCGGGTGCAGGGGCCGTCTTCTGGACAGGAGAAGTTGGGTAAAAAAGCCCAGGCGAACAGACCGGCAATCAGCTGGCCGACTCCTAGACAGTCGCGCAGTTAGCTGGAGCGGCAGATCTTGTATGCAGGCGAAGCCGTACCCCACCAGGCGGCCATCAGGGTCAACAGCCATTGCTCCTTGCTGGGGAGATACTCGAGAAAGACGGTAGTATCCAGCACGAGGTTCCCCCCAGCACCAAATGCACTCAGGCATGTAAACAACCCCAGGACAATCCAGTTCGGCGCCGCGCCGGCGACGATCGTGAAGACGCTCGAAATGAACAGCGACACGTTGAAAGCGAACCGCCGACCGATGATATCGGCAGAGAACCCCCAGAACAGGGCGCCCACCAGCATACCCGTATACACGGCAATCGTCAGGCCGGTCTCGTATCCGGGGTGAAACTCCTTCACCGCCTGGCCGGCGATGATGGACTGGAGCAGGAGAATGAGCGAGTCGACGGCGTATCCGAAGCCATTAAGACAGAACAGCTTCCACTGGTGGCGGGTGAATCCGATCTCGTCGATGGTCTAAGGATCGTGGAGATTCGTTTAATTCCATCTTCATAGCATCACAGCACGGCATGGGGAGGAAGGCTAGATCCGTCTCCTGATATCACTCACGTCGTTGACCAGGGCCATTTTGGCAGCCAGCACCTCGTCCACCTTTTCCCCGTGGAGCAGGTCCTTTCCGCCATACGCGATCGAGTTTTCCTCCGAGGGGGGGCTTGGAGGGCGTTTGTCCTGCTGATTTGCGCTGGCCGTTGCGGCGGCCGAGCTACCAGCATACTGTTCAGTATCCATGTCTATCGACAGACCGAAGCGATTCAAGCGATTCCATGTGAGATCGAAGAAAAAAAGAGGGGCATGAGGGGAAGCCACAGATTTTAATTACGCCCTGCATTTGTTTTCTTTTTTGGCGAAGACCCTGTTTTCTTTGACGCCGCGGTTCTGTGCATCCAATTTGCCGATGGCCGGCTTCACCATTCGCGATTGCTGTCACGCCTTGCAGCCAAGCAGGCTAACAGGCGCACGCGTGGTGAAGTCTGGCATGGCATTGGACAGAATCGAATACGACCTCAACCGCGCGGTGATCGGCCTGGAGAATGTCCAGACAGAGGGATAGCGCGAGATAAGACTCTTGTCTAGCGCACGTTAGCGCGAGTGGGGGGATCGAGTGGCAGAAATGTCCGGCATGATCCATGCAGCGAGATGTGATGCATCGTGGGGCTGAAAAGATGAGTAGCGGTTGATATGTAGGAAGTATGTAGTTGTAGATACTTGACAGGATATTGAGGATGGTGATGCTGTCGAGGGTTTAGGGCTGGGGTCACTTGACCAGCGGAGGGCCTACTGCACCCCTCTCTTATTCCACCCGAGGACTTGTTTGTTGATTCAACACGGAGCATGCTTCATCCTCCAAACGTCAATCTGTTCTTTATGATAATCGATCAGGAGCTCATGGTCCATATTTGTCGGTAGTCGGCAGCCAGAAGAGATCAGTCTATTAAAGCGGTACCGGAGCTGATGGTTGACATGATACATGCCACAATATGACATGTATTATGAAGATTCATTGAATATTTGACAATTCTCCGTACTCTATATGTTTCTTCGCAGTCTGTCCCTATTATGTTTCTCTTGGCTGATGGAAATATAGGTCTGTTAGGTTGAACTTGTCCGTCCTGCCTGTCCCCAGAAGAGTTGACAATGGTGAACGACAACGAATGTCCTGAGAATATCAAGAAAGACAGTCGACAGATGTATTTAGAGGCTCAAATTCTTCCCTAACCAGCCAGATCATCCGGCAGAAGAAACTCCAAAGATCATGCAAGCGTTCGCGATTCAGGGCAAAGTTACGGACATCAGCCATGACACCACCAGGTACCACCATCTGAGTGGTTCTCCACTGTCCGACTGGTTGAACTATACTGGCAGCGCTTCAGACCTCCTGAAGATCATCACATCATCATGGACTCCTAGCGATCGATCAACCGCGGCACCAACAGGCCCTAGTGTCAGGAACCCGAAAGCCAAGGGCCAAGGAAGCTTCTTCGTCGACTCATTCATGACACACCGTGATGACACTCCATATATTGCACGCATCGAACATCCGAACGCAGGCAATACGGAATCACATTCAACTCTGCAAGTGATCAAACCAGCCGAGGATGAAAGTGGATCGACACCGACGATCTTTGGCATCGCCCTGCGGGGTTCCCCAGTCATTTCCCCAGAATCCTCGTTCTTCACCTATCCCGGCTGCATCGGCATCCTGGTTGCTACGAGTCCCATGACGATCGAATCCTAGTCGGCCCCATGAACGCCCAACTGCAGTCAGGAATTCGGAGCACGCCCGAGGCCAATCCGCGGCCCCAAACTACGCCGTATACCGTCGTATCCAGTCCAAGCAACCCGGCTCATCCGGATCGTGCCCTAGAAGCTGTGGAGTATGGTTCTGATCAGCAAAACCTCGGTAGCATGCGATGATCCACGGTGGATCACGAAGTCCATATCTAGGCGGCTGTCCCCAGGCCGTCCCAAGACTGCCTTCCCGGCAAGCTGGTGCCAATCTCCCAGACCCTCATCATGGTCGCTCCCTCCCGGTCCCTGGTGCGTCTCGCACAGCTGGCTCTCGTGAGCCTGACTGCCCTCGTCTCAGCCCGTCCCACGACCTGGTCGGTGGCCCGGGGCCTGCCTGAAGCCCCGCCCGACGATCCATTCTATCAACCGCCAGCGGGCTTCGAAAACGAAGCCCCCGGCACGATCCTGCGCAACCGCAGCATCATCGCCTCCTTCTTCGGGCTGATCCCCAACCCGGTCGAAGCACACCAGCTGCTCTACCGCACCACCGCCGTCAACGGCTCGGCCATCAGCACCGTGACCACCATCTTCAAGCCCCTCGGCGCCAAAACAGACCGCTTCGTCTCCTTCCACACCGCCTACGACAGCTCCTCCATCAACTGCACCCCCAGCTACCAGTACCAGCTCGGCACCCCGCAGACCAGCCTCATCGCCTCCGTTGAGATGCTCATCATCGAGGCCTACCTGCTGAAGGGGTACATCGTCGCGTCGCCGGACTACGAGGGCCCCGACGCGGCGTTCAGTCCGGGGCATTTAGAGGGCATGGGCGTGCTGGATGGCATGCGCGCCGTGTCCAACTTCCACAGCACGCTGGGCCTGGACGACGAGGACCCGATGATGGTTGGCGTGGGCTACTCCGGCGGCGCCATCGCCACGGGCTGGGCCGCCTCGCTGCAGAGCGGGTATGCGCCCGACCTCAACGTCAAGGGCTGGGTGGCCGGCGGCACACCGGCGAATCTCACGGGCACGCTGCTGCTGCTCGACGATAGCGCGTTCAGCGGATTCATTCCTGCCGCGATTGTCGGGCTGTCTGCGCCGAGTGCGTATGGGGCGCAGCTGGGCCCGGTGGTTGATCGGATCATCACGGACGAGGGCCGTGAGAAGCTCGAAGCCGCAGCGACGCAGTGTGCCGTGGCGGACCTGGCGAGCTTTTTCGAGCAGTCGCTGTTTGACACAAGCATTCAGACGCTGGGTCGGGGGATTTTGGACGAACCAACCATCAAGCAGGTGCTGGCGCAGAATACTATGGGCGTGAAGAAAAGCGAGACCCCCACCGCTCCTATGTTCGTCTACCACGCCACGGCGGATGAGGTCATTCCGTATGCGAACGCCTCTGCGACGGTTGACGCGTGGTGTGGCTATGGAGCCGACGTCAAGTTCACCACGTTTGGGAGCGGAGGACACGCGACTACAGAGGTGATTGCCTTGCCGGACGCGATCGAGTTCGTCGAGGCGGCTTTCGGGGGGACCACGGAGAGTGGATGTTCGAGAAATACGGAGTTGGCTAGTAAGCTGAATCCTCTTGCGCTGGGGCTGGATCTGGAGCCGATCCTCGTGCAGCTGGTCAATGCTTTGAGCAAGCTGGGTGAGGGTGATTCGAATGTGAAGCAGAATATTAGTGTGTTGAAACAGACCGTTCCCTCGTGATGGAGACGGTAGTGTTTGTATATAGTGAGGTGGATATATAGTCTTGTGCCTGGTACTCGACCTTGGTATATATTTGTCATGAGTGACTATACTAGCCCTGTGAACCAGGTTCACATATTGGACCATTACTTCGTATGCTCGAGCGGACGAAGGTGGGATATATTCAAACTATATCTACCAGAGTGCCCCCGTCGAAATCTGGCCGAACCTGCTATCTCTACCACAGGTATAAGGGCGAAGGCGATTACATATGGTGCAGGGGGTGTTCTATTAGTAAGTGCCACAAATCTGGTGCTGTATCACCAAAGACAGTATGTACATCAAGAATAAAAGGTATTTCCATGATCTTTTAGTCATAAGATCTGTCACCCCAGTCCCTACTTCTCTCCTTCAATAAAACTACTCATACTGCGGATCGTAAATCCCCGTCCTGTAAGCCGGAGTCTTCCTGTACACACATGATCCACCCCGCTCAGGACGGATAATGCACCTCAGCACACGCAGGCTCGGGATCTTTGATCGTCGACGGAAACGACCCCTTGGTCGAGCCCCTCCGTGAGCCCTCGGTGAAATCCTCACCGTCGAGAAACCCCGCCCCATCACGAATAATACTCGTCTGGCTCTCGCGGTGTTCCCGATCCCTCGTTCGGTCGAGACGCGACTGATTATGCGTCCGCCTCGACATCTCCAGCGCATCGGACGGATCCGTCGGCGCCGAATTCGAGTGCGACATGACCGACATGTGGACCAGTTTGCCCAGGATGGCGTACTCCAGCTTCAGCTTGACGCTGTACACCACCGCCTTGAAGGAGACATGCACGTGGAAGAGCCCCGCGTATTGGAAGCTGACGATGGCGGCGTCCATCAGGATGAAGAGGACGTTCACGATGACCAGCTGGACCAACGTCGAGCGGTACTGCCGTCGCGGGCGCAGCTTCAGAAGTCGCAGCGCCGCCTTGGTGTAGATGACGGAGAGGATGATTTCTTGGATGGAGAAGCCGATGAGCTGGACGCGCTCGAAAATCCCAAAGGCGGGCGTGAACCATCCCGTCGACGGGGACTGGGCGCCCATTTCGAACACCCAGCCGATGGTGTGCAGGATGACTCCGTCGATGATGATCATGGCCAGTGTGCCGCGCAGGACCTTGCGCGAGTAGACGACGAGATGGAGCCGTGACCAGAGGACGAGGGATTGTCCGGTGACCATGGCGCACCAGCCTACGTCTGCGAGCGAGACGGCGAAATAGCCCGGGTAGACGTTGAAGATGAGGAGGATATAGCCGACGCCGAAGGGGAGGATGCCGAGCGAGGAGACGAGGAGGGCCCAGAAGTAGAAGCCGCCATATTTCTTGAAGGTGGTGAAGCAGAGGACGACCAGCTCGAGGGCATTGTACCAGGAGACGGCGATGAGGGAGGCAATGACGAAGTCTTCGACGAGGTTAGTGGTGGTATGAGTGCTTCGGATGGAGGACATTGGGCATAGTTCCTCCGGCTGGGGGAGGGGGAGCAGGGAGTTGCTGGAGCATCAATGGCATGACCGGTAGGTACGTAGTATTAAGGATGGGTCGGTTGGATATAAAGCCAACGGTAAGCCGGTACCCTGTCGTATTATGGACAGGGAGCAACCAAAGAGACTTTGCACTAGGGCACGGTTCCTGCGACAGAGTTGGGACTAGAGATAGCAGATAAGCCTCACCTGTGATCTCTACAGTAATATCACCGATATCAAGCTTTGAATACTAGCCGGTTCGCTCATCTTTGCCCGTCGGGGACTGGTACGACCCAGTCTGATCGCGTGCTTAAGGGTGCACGTATCTATTCCAGAGTTTAAAGGATGATTGTACACGAAATCTGAGACACACGATCCGATCTCGGGGCTGGATTAATCTCCGACCAGGTGGCAGAAGGTACTTAAAATCCTATTTGAACCTAGTTAAACGAGAGAAGTGGCATGATTGGCGGTACCTTCCGGTTCGCTAAGATTAGGTTGTTACGAAGTTGAACCTTGTGCCCTCCCATCCAATCATTGTATTGTTGGACCCTTGGTGGGTTCAACAGCCACCCGAGGTAACATTCTATTGGTCGAGAAGACCGTTTCCTTGCCAAGAAAGCATTTCTAGAAACCTTCTATAGTAGGCCTAGTTACCTCCTCCATATCTACCTCGAACGCCCAATGCATGGGTGGTTCCGTACGGAGTACGGAGTATTATTATTGAGGTGTCTACCTTCTGTTTCTAGAATAGGCTTCGGTCAGCGCCGCTTTCCGCTGCGAGTCAGATTAGCATACAATGTTATACGGTATAGGGGTTCTTTAAGTGTTTTTCTGCGGGGGGTAAGGTTTTTCTCGTTTCCCCCTTAAGCACTGTGTTCAAAGTATAACATATACGATAAGGAGCTTCAAACTTTCTACCCTAGCAGATAACCATTCACAAAGGTCGATCCATCAAACGGAATTAGCAGATTCTACCAAAGAAAATGCACAGAGCAGAGACCTAAGAGGCATTATTGGCCTTGCTTACGATTAGTATTACGCTTGCGCCTGTAAATAGTACCTCGATGGGCTATCCTACGGCTGACGCATGTGGGGGAAGGTAGACAAGTTGAATGTGACTATGCTCTGGAGCAGAGTCAGAGCCAGTAAGTCTACACTACTTTATAATTTATATATTACATATGTTTGACTTAAGGCTCATAGTGTTCCTGGAGTCGAGTAAACTGCACTATAAGAGCTGTTGGCGACAGCTGCTCTCGATGTTCTTCACCATTAGCCACTTATAGTGGGTTCCGGCCTATGAAATGCATATAACAGAGTTACCTGGTGAATAGGTACGCAGCTTTACCTGGGTCATACGCTCTGTCGAGACTTTCTTTATGGTTCATTAGGTCACTCCTTTGCTGCTCGGGCTTTTGCTGTCTCTGCTTGGGTAACTGTATTTTATGGGTGCACTAGCAGATTCGCTTCTCACACGCCGTAGAGCTATTCCTTCGCTTTACCACCCAAATGCAATCCTATCTATCAATTTCAAGGCTATCTGGCTGGCTCTAAAGACATTTCGGAGCCCTGACGTATATCCATATTTGAAAGGATCGCTTTGTACTCAAATGAGAACGCTGTATAACTACGTATCCCCTAGGTTAATATTTGATCTCTCATGAGCCGTGCCTCCTCGTATGCGGCAGCGATCTGCTCGGCTCGTTTGGGGGAGCGTGCAATAACATCGAATCCAAAGAAATTAGGCTGGACGTTGAATCCGGGGCAGTAGTCATAGAGGGGAAGCAGCATGAGATTCCCATCTGCATCTTTCTTGCGGCTCAGAGTCGCCGCCCAGGCAATGCGCGCAGTTAGGATGTTCAACGATCGCTCTGCGATGCTCTGGCCAGGACAAATCCGACGCCCAAATCCAAAACATGAGTAATTCTGCATATTTGGGAATTGGGTCAATGGTTCGCGGTAGGTCGGGAAGCTGGGGTCGAGCCACCGCTCGGGGCGGAAATTCTCGGGGTCGGGATAAAGCTCGGGATCCCGATGGATTGCCCACTGGTTTGCATGGAAAACGGTCCCTTTCGGGAAAAAGTGGCCTTGGTACGTATCGTCCTGGGTAAGCTGGTGCGGGACGTTGCCCGCTGTCACCGGCCTCCATCTCAGGACTTCCTTGATCACGGCACGGACGGTTGGAAGGTTTGGAAGATCCTTAAACTCGGGCATCCGGTCGCCAACCTGGCGGTCTAGCTCGGCTTGCATCTTTGTTTGCCATTCAGGATGGTGACACATGGCGAGGCAGAAGGACATCATGGCGGCAGCGGTGGTGCCCGTGCCCGCTTCAAAGAGGGTTCCGATCACATAAGCTGCTTCATCATCGGAAAGTCGAAAAGTCTTTTGGTTTTCCAGAAACGTCCGAGTGAACGATTTGACCGAGTCTCCTCTTTCGAGTGCATCGCGGACGTCCTGTTGTAATTTTCTAAAGAGGCTCAACTCCTCCGCGTGCAACCGAGCACCCTCGCGTTTAAACGGGGCGAGAGGTAAAGGCAGGTTCATCAGGAATGGGAAGGAGTCGACCAAATATTGTCCTGGAGAAGCCACGCGCTCAACTTCTTTGCCCACATGGACGATCCGTCTAAAATCGGTCTCTTGACCAGTCTCGATCCAACGGCCAAACCCGAGGCGATAGACGACCCCGCAGGCGTACCGCTCAAACCATTTCTCGTAGTCCCGGGGCGCTTTTAGAAAAGAAGCGAGGAGCCTTTTCGACTCGTAATCCTGAACGGGCTCGTAGCTGGTCACCACCGTCGTCGTTGTGAGCTGATGCATCAATTTCCTTCCGCGCCGCCAGCGATCTGCGGTAGGAGACATTAGTTAGGGGTGTATAGGGAAACATTTGAGATGAGAAGCGGACCATTATATGGAAGTAGCAGTGGTCTGAGGTTGTCCGAAAGTAACCCCGAGGCAAACGGCAAGTACTCTCGCGAAGAGTAGAGGGATCCTCGCTCCCTTAGGAGATCGTTGGCAATCTTCTCTTGAGAGATAACAACATGCTTGCGGCCGGCAATGTTGAGCTGGAAGATCGGCCCATATTCATCTGCCCATTCTTTAAACCTAAGCCACGAATGCACCTTGGGTATGTCCAGCAAATTGCCGACAAACGGCTTCCCTGGAAACGTGTCAGTCATTGGCGACCTCAGGAGCAAGAGTTGGACACCGACCTGGAGGACCTGGGAGGGGTCTTCCTGAGTGTGAGTTGGCATTCTGCTTCTGTTTCCAGAGCACGGTGGCCCCGACACCGAGGACGATCATGTACAGGTACAACAGCATCATGATGCCTGGACACGATGGAGCTTTGCAGCAGGGACTGCCTCTGTTTATACTGCACAATTAACCCCACAGTCTTGTGGGGCTTTGGCATGATCATCCAGCACCCGGGCGGGGTTGCGCATGTGTCAAACCAGATATTATTACGAATATATGGGGCCTAGCAATCAATTTTTACATTGACAGGATGACTTCAACCCTCTCCCTCCGATCCACCCCAGTTGTACCAGTATGGACAGGACGGTCTATCACGTTTAGCTCATGGGAGAACTCCACGGAGTAGTTTGGGATCCGCTGAGCGGCAAGATGGCGCGCTGTGGCCAAGGCTATCCCTGAGGCTGAACCCGTCATGGCAATCGCTTTCCGGTTGAACGTGTTCATAGTTCTTGTTTGTAGGTACGGTATTGATATAGTTATGTCGGAGTTTATTAGACTTCTTGCTGTTTAGCTCCATGTTGCTGCTAGAGTTATTATCAGGCTTGAGTTATTATCAGGCTTATTTTCCGATAAAAAATCCCGCTGCTAGTGGAGCGGATAATAACCTGCTATGTATACTATGGCACGATGCTCTGCTGGCAGTGGGTATTGATGGAATCCTCAAACCGTAGGAGGATAAAATAAGGAAAAGGACAGGGTTCAGAAGTATGCGCAGTGTACTTTTACAGATATATACATTGCCTTCTTCCACTCCGTTGAGCAGTGCTAATAATTGTGTAAGAAAGGAGTTTATGTCCATGGGCATTGTATTCATAAAGTCAACCGAGGTAGCCTCTTATCTACTCATACTCCGGATTGTAAATCCTCGCCTTGTAAAACTCGGCATCACTCCATCCCCGCTGATCCGTCGCCGTCCCCGGGTCCTTCTCACTGCTAAACGACACATACTGCCCCATATCGTTCTTCTCCCCACGGATCCAGATATACTCGCCATCCTCCGTCTGCGTCAGCGACTTCAGCT